ACCCAGTAACACCGTTATTATTATCTTATTTATAAAGCCACCCCACTTTGCTTTTATTAATATTAAATTTACTTCAATTTACCGTAGTTTTAAAAGTATAACGATATTATTTTCGTTATTGTGGGAACAGGCTTGAACGATCAATCATAATACTCGAGTATGGTGTCAAGGTTATAATGTTGCTGATGGTTGGATTGGGAAGTCTAGCTGGACCTGCAGGTCTGGCTAAGTGATCTCACAATCCGATATCTAATCTCTTATCTAATCATACATCTGGGTTCTGTATGGATGGTTTGACTGTGGAATCGCATGGATCCAACAGTTATTATATAAACAAATCTTGCTATTTTATTAAACGGCAACGTTTTATTATTAATATATTTTTATAAAGCTATCTCGTTTTGTTAATAATTAATTTTAAAACCCCCTTAAATCTTCGTACCTTTTAAAGACTAGAAATACTACTAGGTTTTATAGTTATTTCCTAAGATTAAACGAGCTAATTCGTTAATTAACGCTTTCATATATCCCTCGTCATACCCTTTCAATTCAAGCCGTTAAAACACATTAACTTTGTCTTACCTTATTGCAAAATATTATGATATGAAATAAAAAAAACATTAAGTCGAAGAACCTTATAGTAATTTATTATTAAACTATTAGCGCTATTTATCTACCGAGACTTTAAGCTTTAAAACGCGTAAAATAATAAAAAGATTTATCGAAAAGCTACTTTAATAAAGTAACGTATATGTGTTAACAAAACAACTATACGATTATTAAGTATTATACCTCGAAATATTATATTTATTTTGTTATGAAGCCGGGCTATTAAGAAGCCGGCCGTATTTGAAACGCCCGCAATACCGATATATATAATATACACGTGTTAAAAGTATAATACAATTTATTATAATAATAGCGGCTTTTAAAGCTACTAGTAGTATTACTACCTTATACTAGTTATAAAATCTCGTTAACCTTTGTTAAAGCTTTTACCGTTATATAGATTACCGATTTGCGGTAAAAAGCTAATAAGTAATACCGATCGTTTTATTTAAAAAACCTTATAAATTATAAATACTTCGGCTCTAAAAAAGAGTACTATCTTGGCTACTTATTTTATAAGCTTACCGTTATTATACGTATTAATTCGTTGTTAATAACTAGTTATTTATATATTTAAAAGCTAGCTACTCTAAGGTCAAAGTTCAAAAACTACGTATATTTAATACTTTTTTAAGCTTTATTAATATCTTTTTAAGCGGTATTAACAATGTTAAAAATAATATACCTTTCTTTTACCGCGGGTATACACTTATAAAAACCCCGATTTTTATAAGTTCAATATCTAGTGAAGAAATCACTCGTTTATCGAGTTTTTACGTATAAGTATTGCTAAATAATCAAAGATAATATTAAGTTAAAATAACCGCGTATTTCGTCTTTTTAAGCTTTTAAAAGCCTAGTTAATAAGCTTTCACCGACTTTTTGTAACGAGCCGTCTAACCTATAAGGCTAAAGGGTTCTATAGGGTTTATGTTCTGAGGTAAGTCAACACAAGGGACGATAGAGGCTTCTGTCAACTAGATGACACTCAGATGCTGGGGCTTGGTCTGAACTGGGTTCACTGTGTAGTCGAGTCGTCAGGAGATTTCTCCCACCTTAGGGTTGGCTAAGATGCTTAGATTGATCACTGAGGTAGAAACTGTCTATCTATCTGGTTGGGAAATGTCTGTCCTTATATATCCAATCTCTCCCTCACTGATTAGGTGGCTCACCCTAGATCACCGGTGATCCAGTGATCCAAATTCTTAGTCACGTGACCCAGGTTCTGCTGGTCACGTGATCTGTGTACCGTTGCTCCGTTGCTCTGATCTTTCCACTGATCAGCACCCCACTCTTTGGTCAGCCTGTTTCTAATCGTTCCTTCTAGGCCTGTTATCAGGCCGCACTGTTCGTTGGTTTGTAACGCTTTTTTATACTTATATCAATAACTTGTTAATCTTTTAATATATAAGCTTCATTTTATAAAGTTAACTTGTTTTAAAAACTTATTAACCTTATTAAGCTATAATATAATAAATAATCGCCAGTAATTAAAATGACTTTAAAAAATATAACACGTTAAATAATAACGCGAAAAGGATACAAAACGAGAAAAAGGGTATCTCGACGCTTGATCTGGACTAGCGTATAAAAACGCATGTTTTTACTCGTTCATTTTTATTGTAAATTCGAGCGTTTCGAGCCTTTTAAAGGGTTTTAACACCTTTTAGACGGTTTTAATAATATATATACGTCGTCAAATTTATAAGGCTATAATCGAAATAAAGCCCTTTAATTAGTTTAAAATTTAAGGCTTTTTATCATAATAATAAATAATTAAGTTTTTTTTACACACGGCTTCTTAATGTAAGTTATTAAAAAAACCTATTATAAATAACTGCTTTAACTGATTAAAGTACGGTTAAATAAATAAGATAAAGAGGGATTATTATCATATAATAAGTATAGCCTTCTTATTTAACTAGATAGCTAACCTACATAGAATAATATATTTAACCCTTTATTTACTCGCTTTAAGCGGTTCTTTAATACTACGCTTCTAATATTTAAAAGCATAGTTTATATATAAAACGTTTAAAAGTATTAAATATTTAAATCATATTGTTAATAAATAATTACATATTAAACGAGAATTTTCAAACGTTTAATTAATTAACTTAAGTTATATTAACTTTTAATAACTTCTAAAACGTTAATTAAACGCGAAGTTATTAACTAATAGCGTTATTAATATACGTTATGTATAACGTAATAGCTTTAAAGTTATAAACTTAATAATAAATACCTAACCTTAACATATTAACGCTTTAGGTAGCGGTATATAAGCCTAGACCGTAAATCGGCTATTCGTGGAAAAGCGGGTCGATTTGCGGGCTGGGTTCTCCGAGGCAAGCTAAAGCGCAAAGTCAACAATGGAGACTACTAGGAGTACCATCGAGTGCTCGCCCCTTGTGATTGGCAGGATGGGATGGAAATATGCCTTGTACCAGCAGTGCTAGCAGGGCAAACCAGATGGAGGAGCGGGGAGCACATGGACAGCGTGCCAATAATGCCGCCGGTAAACTCTCGGAGAGCGCGATCATCATCATGAAGATACAGTAGCAAGCACTCAAATCCCCGGCCCCTCTGCCCCTCTCGAAGACCGGTGAACCCCGGCGCGGGTTCAGGCACGGGAGTTGGAGCGCAGGCATCAACCCTACACCCGTCGTCGGTCGCGCGCGGGGCCATCTCCACCACCGACCCGTGGGCCGTTAACGATATGTACTTTAAGTTGCGCTGAGAGATGTATACGAGATGAGGCTTACATGCTATTGTGATAGCCCGTGGAATATGCGGTCAGTCATCAGTCAAGTCTGATTCTCTTACATATCGCCGACTGCATGCCCTCATCTACGGCGCCGATCATCGATGACAAGATCATCGATGACAGATAGATAGACAGGCAGACACTGGACAGTGACAACCTGGCACAAGGGGGCGGGACCCAAGTGATCCTGAGGAGGACGCGGGCGACGTCAGCCTTCCCCATCCGATCGTAAGAATAAGAATAAGAATAAGAAGAATTAGCTTGGCCAAACGTGACAGCGTTGCACTCTCCCAGCGCGCGGTAGGGGGTTCTTCAGGTAGGAACTTGGCATGTATGTATATACGATACGGTACCCTGATAACGAATAAGGTAGGTTTTCAGGCTAGGTGGTGGTAGTAGTAGTATTAGCAGCATCAGCAGCATCGCATCAAGAACAGACAGAACACGCGCGGCCGACCAATATGTGAGGCTGATAAGGCGCCGGGATCCGTTCGATCACACCTGCTCCCTCCCGAATCACGAACCTTATTGCCTCTTGCCGTACATGTCATATTGACAAACCAGAAAGACATGATGCTTTCTTTTTTCAATTTCGATATACTCTTCCCCGCCCTATTCGATGTCTCTTCAAGGCCGGTCCTTGCCCGCCTGCAGATCAGATCGTTGTGCATATGTATTGCGTGCTGCGTGCTGCGAAGCGAGGTCACCGAGGTCCCCCCCCAACCAGGGGTAAGGCTTGTTCAATGTTCCCCAATCTGTCGAAGGTCGAGACAGGGGTATTTCCGTGCGCGTGTGGGCGCAGTGTCGTCCCGTTTCTGCGCGTACTGTACTCTCATGCCAGCGCCCCTATTGAATCCCTCTGAAGTTTAGGACGAGGATCGAGTCGCTGCGGCTGAAGTGTTAGATCAAGGGAAACGGATGAAGGATGCTATCGAATGAGATATCGCGAGCAATGGTATTTGGGGGCAAGAAGGTAGTTTGACTGGTTTGAATTTTTACTATCTTGATTCTCATAGCCCATCACTGGCCATTGTCTTCTCGTCCTCATTCATCCCCTTTCGTACATGGAAGACACACAGGTCAATCCTTCATCTCCTCCCAGGTTCGCATCCTTCCAGTCATGGCTCTGATGATACAGTTGGCCATCGAAGCCCTTGCTCTATAGATTATAAGTGAAAACAGCCTCGATCCAGAGAAGGAAGATCCTGGTATTGGAAGCCTCGATAATTAATCCTCTCAGTGGTTGATTGAACGCCCATGTAAATGCCGAATGCTGTGTCCCAAATGCGCCTTCTTCGGTGGAAGAGCCGAGCCCCGTGCAGTTTATGCAGCCCCAACCCCAACCATATCCACCCGGATGAAGCAAATCCCCCCTGAACCCTCAGACCGGACCTACTCAGACTCGGTCGGCTGCCGGCGTTCGTGTTGCGTGAACGCAAAAATAGGCGGGTATACTTCTGGCGGCCGTGAATGTCGTGTCGTACCCATATTGGTATCATTGAATCCTTTGCCTCCCAACTACTTTGACTCCAGAGAATCCGCGCAGAATTAAAAAAGTCGCAAATTCTATAAAAACGACAGTTTCGAGATTAAAGGTTGATCGGTCCGAATATGTGTATGTTCTCTAGTGTAATGAGGAGCTCGCGCTGTCGAAGTTGTGGCATCCACGCTCGTGTCGCTTCATGTTACTTCGGACGCTGAACGCCTTGCCACAGCCAGCGTGGGGGCACTTGAACGGCTTTTCGCCTGTATGAGAGTGGCTGTGGATGCGCAGAGAGCTGGGCCTCGAGAAGGCCTTGTTGCAGGTTTGGCAGATGTAGCGGTCTTGTGATTGAGGGAAAGAAGCTGCCGATGAAGGTGATATGTAGTGGTGGTGTTGCCATGGGCTAGCCCCCAACGAAGGTGCTAATGAGACGGTGACGGGAAGAGGAGGGAATGCCTTGGAGGATGGTTAGCCTGTTGATCCTGGAATCGTGGCCCTCGTGACAACTAACCTGGGGCAGCGGTCTCTGGTAGTAAAGTCCAGAGATCTGAGACTGCGCTGAAGGAGCGGCAGACATTGGAGGAGGGTAGTAAGATCCCATTGCTGGTTGGTTCATGTACGACGAGGCGAAAGCTTGCTGAGGGTATGATTGGACGTGCATGGGCATCCGAGGAGCGGCAGCCGCAGCCATTTGGTGGCGATGGACATCCTCCACGGGCGGTGTCGTTTCGTAGTAGTAGTTGGGTGCCGATACGACAGACACTTGGCTTACTGATTTTGTCGAAGGCGAGCTGTATCCCTCGAAGGATGCTTCAGTACTCATGGGCGGGGTGGGAGGCATGTTGGTCCGGCCCGCATAGTGAGAAGAATTTGGTCGAGTGTCTGCCTTGGTGGACGAGGCTGTTCGAATAGTTAATAGTCTGTTCCGCGTGGGGAGAAGCTACCCGATCCGTACCTTGAGACTGAGGCGAGTGCTCTGTTGTCGGTGATCCAGCATCCGCCAATCCTAGCAAGTTGGAGATCGAGGGTAGGGAGCATTTCGAGGTCTCGTCCATTGGGGGCGATGGAGGCGGTTGCGGATATCCGTAATGAGCACCAGGCTGATTCGTGTAAATGGCAGTGGCCATTTTTGTATTATGTCGTCGAGTTGTGAGCAGGTTGATCGACGATATTAGAGACTAGTTGATGGCTCGTAGTTGTCGTAGAAGGTATTATGCATGGAGTAGTCTTTCCAGTCGATAGATATATTATACTGGGAGGGATTCGTGTACGTCGAGTCTATAAAGTGAAGGTCGACAGGATCGATGGGATGGGGGGTGTGGATACTTAAATATGAAAGAGAAGATGGTGGGCGAACAAGAGGGTTGATGATGTATCTATCAGATCTCCCGGAGGTACAAGATGGAGACGATCAAGTGTCAATCCACATGAGAATCCCTGGAGCACAACTGTCACAAATTGGGTGTGGGCCACGGCAGACCTGGGATGAAATCAACAAAGTCGATCGCCCGTGTCGATGGTACTCCTGCATCCACGATGGGTACATATAGCGCCTCCTTTTAATGGGGGAGCTTGGACTGCATGTGCATCGATGCGGACCCTGGAAGTGCTCGTGCTCGCCCGCGTTCATGGTTCCAGAGGCAGCACCCCAGTGTGTACTGCTGCATGGGCTGCGGTACGTAGCAGATCCCAGCCAGAGCTGTGGGTGAGATCGAAGGATGTATGAGAACGACGAGGCAGTATTCTGCTGGGATGCCCGTGGGATCGCCCAAGATCAAACGGCCACTGGCCATCCACTCGCAGGGGTCGTAAGAAAATAGCGTCCCTGCGTGTGGTGTCTCGGCTTTCTGGGTCCTCCCTGGTGGACCGTTAAGCTATACTTTTCATCCCTCCTCCCCAGCAGGCCAAGACCTGGCCTAGCCAAGACAGAACGGCGCCCCTGTCACGCTGCTGTGGTGGGTGTGGTGCATGGCGCTCTCGGGCCACCATTGCCTATTCGGGACCACTTGTCGTCCGGATAGTTGGTCTGTGACCCCTGACTCGACATGTTTGGGACCAGGGCCCCGGTCTGAGGTTTTATGGGGTAGGGGACTTGAGACGACAGCCGAGTTTCTTGTGCCTGATGACGGATGACGGATGACGCCGCAAGAGCTTCATCAATGCTGGCCCTGCCCAGGCCGTGCTGTGACCGGATTGTTGAGCTGATCTTATGCCGTTCCTCCCCCGCAGGTCTAGACATCATACGCGGCACAGGCGCATGCAGGCCGTCAGACTTCGGATGACCGCTGCCTATGTTGCAAAATGTTTCGATATGTTGATACCATGCTGCGGATTGTCAGATCTCTGTGAGGCACGGCTCAGATACTGTCTGAAGCCCCAGACTTCACCTCTACCGTCCACTCGGCAGCATCGGAAACGGTACTGAGCAAGCCTTGCAGGCTCTGCAACAGGGAGCTCCTCGGTAGGGAGAGATGCCGCGATTGACTTGGAGCGGCCCAAGCACTTCCTGGTTTTGTTGACGCCTTGTTGTTCCATTGACATTGTATCCGACAATATTGTCGGGATGGACGATGGTATCCTAGGCCCCTCGGGTTGGGCAGCGCGGTAGGTGGAGGGTGCTTGGATGTCTAGTCGGTGCGAAGGCCATGTGCCCTTGCAGAACACGATTGATCGGACGAATTCATTCGACTGCGCAATGAGTATGGCAGGAGTGCTCTATCCGCTCGCCTCGTGGCCGTCATGGGATGAGGGTTGCGATGGTGCTGCCGCCAGCGGGATGCCTGCGGACGTTGGAGTCGTCTATCAAGCTCTGTTTACCTCTAGAGACAAGGTTGGTCCTAGACTCCCAAAATGGACACCACGAGGGCTTGGCGGATCGGAAATAGAGCTCATTTGCAGAAGCTTATGCCACCATCTCATTTTGTACCGTAGTACGGGGCCGCCGTTGGGGTCGTAGCTGGTGTCGTGGTCTGTGGAAGCCCTAGCCTGATGGACTGATGGACTGATGGATACCTACTACGCAGTACTAGTACCGTACTGTGCCGTATGCTAGCCACGACAGATACCAGCGGCAGCTGTGTACGGTACGTATGGCGCTATTCATCAGGCAGCGAGAGTATTGGGCGTCGCGCTGGCATCTCCTACTGGCCATGCCTTGCACACAATGGAGGCGTCGAAGGATCCGGTAAAAAGTGCTGTTGCGGTTGTTTCCTGATCCTCGCGTGGGAGTCTCTCGGGCTTTCAGAAACGAAGGCCAATGTATTATGATCGCCATATTGGCGCCAGGAACCTGCACGCTTGCGCTGTCTGGGTGGCTGGCACTGCTGGCCAGGGGATATGATACGCTGGAACTTGCCATGCTTTCTTGAATCTTCGGGAGCTCTCCTGTCTCTGCTCCGTGCCCCTGTGGAGGGTCCGTGATCACGGTGATCGACTGCCACAATGACGAGGGGTGAACAAGCTGACATGGAAGCAAGGATTGTGGTGTGGTGCCGCCCTCTTCGGGAAGGCAGCACTGTCACACCCTCCGGCTCCCAGGACCCATGACGGCCCTGATACCTGGAGTCCCAAGCAAAACACCCTGACACCCCCCGTGCTGACGGCATGAAGGGGAAACGAAGTTCCGAGAGCCCCGGGACTCGAGCCAAGCCAGGAACCTGGACCCCTGGTGAGGAAGGTTTTGGGTTTTGGGTGGAAGTCGTCGGCAGGTTCGGCTCAGGTCTGATAGGCTGGAGTGACGTATCTAGTATTAATTGATATCGCCGGCGAGCGAGCGCGTAGCTGCGGGCGGCGTACGGACACGGGAGTCCATATTCATCATCATTAATCAAGACTGTGCAATGTGCAGGCTCAGCCTGCAAGATTTGACGAAGAGATTACGTGAATGCACAAGTGGAAGCGGGAAAGGGGCTAAACCACCACGTGAACTCTAGCGCCCTCTGTTTCCCCTTACTCCCTACTAGCTTTGATGTTCGGTACTCAGTGAGGCAGGCGGTGAGGCTTGCTAGAGAGAAGAGGGGTCGGAGGGGTTTCAGTGGGTAGGTAGAACTATCGTGAACAACAATCCACCAGGAGTCAGTTTATGCTGTAGTTGCTACGCTAATGACTAGAGACACCGAGCACGTGTATCCAGACTGACTATGATGACAGTGAGTTTGTTCGTGGGATGTATCTAAGGGAGGGGACCTCATGAACACTGTCGGGAGTAGACTCAGGGCCAAAAGTAACACATACATATAATAATGCCAATAACACGCATAGTCGCAGTGTGAGATGCGGGAAGGCAATACTGCGGTCTCGGGCAAAAGAAAAACTCCCGGGTCAGGTATCGACGGGGCCCTCATGACCGCCGCTATACTAAATTGAGTGTTGTCACTGGAGCCCCCGTTGCACATTTTATGAAAGAAATTCATTATTACTTAGCGCGGGACATGACCAGGGAACTTTACATACCCATAAGGGGCTGTCAATATCCATCATGTAGGAATCCTCTAGATATCATCTCCTCGCCAATCGAACCCAAGCTCGTGTCCGCTCTGCCGGGTGCGTCTAGCAGATCTCTCCTTCGAGATCTCTTATTATTACTGGTAAACAAATCAGTGAAGGACTGCGAGTCTCGTGGTGACATACTCGGGATGTTCAGCTGATCAAGATACGGCGCGGTAATACTGTCAGTAGACTCTTTGAATGTATCTCAACTGTAGGTCTCTCTATGTAATTTCTGGTCCCCTGTTTAGTGACCTGTCATACCTACTGCACGGTGTATGAGACATCGCGACTGCCACTGTCTCACATCCGCACTTCTTCAGCCTTACCGAATTGGTCTGCAGCTCAGCCTAACTCGATTCGGAAAGCAGTTCGTGAGGCTTGACAGGCGTCGACCGTTGTTGGTTTAAAAGGTTTAAAAGGCCAGGCAACCCCGGCGGGTGGCTGACGATGGTGGGATTTCTTACATACCCGCCGCCCTCACGTTCTTTCTTCAGCCGCCTTTCTCAGACCACTTTCGAGACCACTTTCTTCGACATCGACGCCTCTTCCCCCCTCCAGTGACAGGACGAAGAGATATTATATTGAATTGACGGGGCTACTTCGGAGGCTCTACTACCCTTGCTAACTTAGCAGCGGTCACGATCCGATAAATCATAATGGGGGGAATGCCCCTGTTGGTCTGTTCTGCAGCAGCACCGCTGCCACCGCATCGCTCACCAGCCAATCCGCAGCCGTGCCTGTCGTCAACCTGGGTTAGAGTTGTTCTTCGGTGGGCGATGGCTGGGGCTCTCTCTAAAAGCGATGGCCGCTAATGCGCGGTCGTGCTGATCTCATGTCGTCCAATTCCCGCATGGCGGCATCCATGATGCTTCATTGCCGCCACGCAGATCTCTCCCACCTCTGAGTCTGCACGGACTAGTCTGATGTTTCGGGTACTTGTTCGTGGTGAGTCTCGTGAGTCGTGGTGTCTCGGAGGTTCAGACTTGAGCTAGTACCGGTACTCACATTGCCCACGCCGCATAGTTGCGGTGTAGTGTAATAGCTTACTTTGATGGCTCGAGCATCTTCTCTCTAGACAGTAACTGAGGTAGTATTCCGTTACTTGGAAAGCCCCCGTCGCGGATACCAGCCGACACACCATGCCGTGATCTCTTCTGATCAAATTTCACTTCATCCCTAGCTGCGAACTTGCTTGTCCGTTTTGGATCCTTCACGTACAAGACAATACCGTGCCGGCAGGATCGTTGTGCTTCCATCTTCGATCTTCACAAAAGCTGCGACGGCGTTATCTCCGATCAGCCCTACCGTGCTCATATTGATTACTGTAGTAACAATCAGGGACACATCAGAAGACGCGGGTTTCGTGCGACCGACGTCACGGGTGGGGATGCAAAGTACAACCGCATCGTTCAAGTCAATAGACCCCATGTTGCTACTCCGATACTCTTCCCTACAGGCAGTGCATATGCCGCCGCTCTTCATCAACCTCGTCGCGATCCCCACAATCCGGCCTCGGCTTAGCGGTCGGTACAGTGGTCCCGTAGCGCACCACGACTCCACGAGAAGCCTCGTTCCCTATGCCAGCGATCTCCTTGCAACCTTGGACGGGAAGACCGGTAGCCTCGCATGCTATCACGTGTGCACGGAGTAAGATCAGGCCACTGTCAACCTACTAGTAGGGTGCGGCGTCGACTGTTTGTGACTATGTTCGGATACGTTGGTCGTTAGACTATACCTAGTCGAGACGTGCGAAGACAGCTGCCACTGGGATCGACCTTGTATGAGGGAGCCAGAGTTATTGCATGTAGGCAGGATGTTGCATGAAAACGAGGCCCGTCGTAATTCGTTTACGAGGTTATTTTGGGTCTTGTAGTGGATGACGGGCGTGACGGGGACGTTTAAACTCGCAGAGATCTCCCGCTAACATCGACGCCCAACGGCACTCATTTAACCCACACGAACTTCGCTGATGCCCGATATGGGGGAGCTTAGGGTTAGTAGAGCCGCACACGTGGCCTCACACTGCCTCAATAGGTCTTTCTGTTGTTACTCTTGTCGTCAGCTATTGTTGACATCAACAAGGCTCGAGGGCTCGAGGGGACAACAGCATCGGCTCGGAGACGGCAAACCGAACATGTTTGCCATGACTTTTATGAGATATCGGGACGCATGTTACCGTGTGATGTCACGAGCCCACGACGGATCTCCAGTCCAATCCGCAACAGCCTGTGCCGGCAGGCCTACAGGAACGGCCAGCAGAGTGCCGAATGGGAATCCGATGGCCTGTGATGATCACTGCAGATTTGCTGCCTGTACCGAGCACTGCTGCCAACGAAGTCGATGATCGATACAGGCATGTCTGAACTCCGTAGCTGCCATCTCATCTCATCTCATCTCGTCACACATTCACTATGGGACCAAATCAAATGCGCGCGTGCTCTCCGCAGATGACGTGGTCACCCACCGACGTCTTCGTTTTTCATCTCATGTGCCGACGATCCTGCCGCGAGGATGTCCGATGCATGCTTGCCCAGCAGGCCATATCAATAAGAAGACATGGATCTCGGTGATCTACTCCAGGTAGTAGCTGGTAAGCATTGTGGTTTGCCATGCTTTCGGCCCACCTGACTCCCCCACATTGATTCTTTCCAATCTTCTCCTGTCATTGTGGTCTGATGTTGCTGCTTCCAGCCTTCCACCAGGTATTCGGATGACTAGAAGATCGTACCTAGGCGCGCATAGGAAGAACCAATACACAACAAATACACTAGTCAGGCTCGGTAATCCTCTCGGTGCCGGAGCAACTGTGTTTGGCTCGTCAAGGCTTCCATCACGATGGTGTAGATTACGATCTGACATCAGCCATCAAGGGTGAGCCTGACAGATTCGCATGCAGCCTCGAAAGGGGAATCCATCGCTCGCATCTGTTCGGCTGACCTCCCTGCTGCTGATTTCTCTCAGTGGAGGCCGATTCGGAATAAGCGGCTCAAGGGAGCCAACCCACACCCCGAGACTCCTTGTGTTGTCGGGTGAACTGTCACTCACCGACCTAGGTGTGGGTAGATGCTGGCATCCTGGCGCCCGGGTTCAGCATCCCGTGCATCATTGGGTTGAATGTATTGCGTTTAGCGTCCCTTGATCCGCTTGATTCGCTTGATTCGCTTGATTCGCTTGAAGAATGTCAGATACCATTCGAGCATTGCAGCAATGCTGTGTCACGATCCATTACTCCTCACTAACATGGACTGACAGGTGCTATTCTCAGATTACCGGTATATACAGACTTACTATGCTCTGCTCATGCCTCGATGCGGCAGCGCCTTGCGAACTGATACTCGTTTCGATAAAGAGCGAGCAAGTGCCCGGGCCCGAAAGGGGAGACTCCGATACCAAAGTGGCTAGACGACCGTTCGAAAGTGGAAGGTTTTAAGATGAAAAACTACCCTCCAAACAGGATGCTCCCTGGACCGGCCGTCCGCCCTATATCAGCCACACTATATACCAACTTCCATCAATTTCTTCCAGACGTGCAGCTGGGGCTATGGGAGCTGTAGCCGAGGCAAACGAACGCTGGAACATCCTGAATGTGACCTTTATGGTGTCATTGCGTCGTGAAGCACCACGCAAAGCTCCCACTACGTATGCCCGTATGTACGGGCCCTTTGCGACAACTGGCAACACCGGCATAGGACACCCGATAGGTCGTCAACTCCTTCGTCGAGGGTCACATCATCGCGTCGACTATCGAGATGGACTCAACGGGGCCGAAGCAGATCCACCGATCTACATTATCTGGATACGCTCGGAATTTGCCATACAGTTGCGCAATATTTCCTGTGGAGGGCAAGCTTCGTAGAGGGGTACATTGCTGATACATTCCGGGACTCCATCATGCCCATGTTCCTATCACTGGTCACCAGCATTCGATATCCCGTCTTCCACTATAATGGTCCACTTTGAGATTTTTTAGTTGAGCGTAGAGTGGCCTCTCTCTATCGTACAGTCTCCGTTTTGTTCTCGTTCTGTCTCAGCTGGCGTCTCTAGTAGATCGTGAGAGCCACCCCCAAGACCCTCTTCCTCACTAGCGAACAGGCAGTCCACGACCAAGGGTCACACTGTTGCATCCTATCCGCTTGTGTTAAAGGAGGCGGCATCAAGATCAGCCATGTCTCTTCAGTTCCCGACTTGAGTACGGTCACATTGTCTCCGTCAGGCTACAGACCACGAACTCCGGCATCCCCCGCCAAGCCTAGATGTCCCGATGGGTTACATCTGAGGAGATCCTCGGGCAACCCAAGCCGTTGGGCTGGGACTCCATACATCTACTCCGTGACTCCAGGAGCCGGGGTCACGGACGAATGGATATCCTAGGGGTTCTGCGCCGTGGTTCGGTGCATTTGCACATCATGCAGACACACCGTGCGATGACGTTGACCATTCATGGACAGCGCAACGATCTCTGACATGCATTCTTGTGGTTGTGTGGCCCGAACCCCAGCAAGCCACTCCATTATTACCAAGCTCCGACTCAGCAGGCTGCAGTCATATATGGTAGAGAATTATTATACAAACCCGGCGGTATGATTGTGGCAGATCACCCGAGCTAATCCTTGACCTTAGATCCGGTCCGAGTCCCTGATGGTACACGTAAGACGGTATGTAGCATCTACACGCGTACCGCACACAGACGGTCCTCTTTTGCGATGTATTGCGAGAATTCTGACATTCAACCATGCTGCACAGTACGATGTTACGTCCGGCACGATCACCGATCAAGAGGACGCCCTCCCCTTCTACCGCCGGTGGGACGAATGTGCCAATAAGCTCTGATGAGCTGACCCATCGAAACGGTGATGGTCCCCTGCAGCCATTGATGAGCGACAGCAAGGGGTCCCGGTATCCCATGCGAGTGTCTCTCGCAAATCTCCCAGAGGAAGAAGTCGAAACGGCGATCGATGATCCCCCTTTCGCTGGCCCCGTCCGGGTGCGGAGCCAGGTGTGTGTGGTCACTGTCAGCCCCTGACGCTCTGATTTTGTGGTGGTTGGAACTTGTCCACAGCATTGCAGCCTGCCAGTCGCCGGCACCACACAGCGTGACATTGCAGTCGCCGAACCCTGGGGCCTTGTCAGTGGTCACCATACCTGCCTCGCAGAGCTCTGATGTGCTTCCAGGACCACAGTAGATCACCCCGAACCCCCGAGATCAGCGCAGATCCCTGATGGCGGCTGCAAGATCCCGGACGGATGGTCTCGTGAACTGATCTCCGTACAACACAGCAGAACATTCTCGCAAGTCGTCGCTCTTCTCTGCAGCGAGACATCGCTTAGGTATCCCACGTTCCATCAACGGCGGCTGCGGACTGTAGAGGTCTCAGTTGAGGGTCAAGCAAAACGAACTTCTTCGAGAGATGGCTGCGAACGCGTTCACCGTAGCCCGAAAGGGAATTCAATCCTAAGCGAGTATCCGGACTCGTCAGACACGCATGCACCTCGTTACCCTTCTGGACCAACGCAAACCCCTAACACGCGCAGTTCACGTGGCTGACAGGAGCACGCTCCCTTGGACAATTTTCGTGATGTAGATGCAGGTCTCGGGATCGACACGAAGCCTCCGCAGGGTCTCATTAGAATGGAAGCTTTAACGAGCCCAAAGCGCGGCCGTGACATGGGTAGGCCCCGGACCCTGCTTGCTTTTTTCCTGTCGTTCTTCAGAAGCAAAATACTCGTGATGGCATATTTATCAGATGTGGAAAGTCTCGCCGACCTGCAGTACAGTAGGCTGCGATACCTGCGGCTGTCTTCACACGCACTCAACCTTATCACATCACATCTGTTTCTTCTACCTGCGGTCTCGGCCACAACTTACTACTTCGATGCTCTACCGTATCACGCGCATGAGACCCGCAGGGAAAGAATCGTGGGCCGTGCTGTTTTCGAACTCGCGAGTCCGACGAAAGCCTCCAACAACTCCATCCGCTGCAGTCTTTCTGACGCTCAGATGCTCACACCATTGATGTAGCTGTTACGAAAAAAGGGCCGTCTCCGCCCTCGCCACTTCCCCGTCGCCCGCAGCATCGAACTGTGTAACCCACGAAGTAGATATCTGACCCCATCGGGACATGTTGGGCCGCGGGTTCGATCCTTTCTGGACACATGTACGGTTTGCGTCCGGTCCATGGATCCCGCAGCAGTGCGTGCAGTAGAATAGTATTCCACATCGATACCATGAATGCATGATAGTAGGCCGCGACCCGCCACCGTCTGCAGGCCGGCAGGCAGGCCGTCTAGATCCGGTGACGAGGCAAGCGGCGTGTCACGCGTACATACGGTACAGACTCGGTGGTTTGCTCCGTGATATGGCGAAATATATACTGGCTGGTACGTAGGTCGGTGGCCCAACTGAACAACCAGTGGAAGACGGACGTCCGTGAAAGACCGCGAGATAGCTCCGCCTACAGTGTTAGACGACGGGTTCACTATCGCCCATAAGCAAACTCCCCGACACCTAGGGATGGAGTTTGAGAAACACAATACAACTCATGTACTGTGTTGTATTGTACTTTTCAATATCAACACGTGATTCCGGGTGGTGACGTATTGGATGGTACCTCGTGGTACCACGGACCACCCTGACGGCAGGTACCGAAGTTCCAGCGTCGAGGGTCGACCCATGAATAGTCAGCCGGAAGCCGGAATTACCTTCAATTAGGCTGCGAAGGCTGTTCCGGAGGTTTGTTGACACCTTTGGCATGCACGGGCGCTCTTTCGTCGCTTTGCTGTATGCCCATCTGCATCAGGCGGATCGAATCGTAGGACCGACTGCATCATGTACCAGCCCCGTGATGCTGTCGGAGTAAGATTGCGAGTGAGCTGGCCGGGCAGGCATTCCGGGCTCGTAACGGACTAGCACGTCGGTGTTTGATACGTGATTTGCGAGCATCGTGGGGACCATGGAGAACGCAGGGAATGTGGAGACATCTGGGGTCAGTCCCCGGCCTGCAATCCCCGGGCCTGCCGTGCCTGCCCTTCCCTCGGTCTCAACTGCCGCAACGGAGCGGAGACACTTTGCCCGAGGAAGCAATCACCCGCAACCTCCTCTCGCTCCTCACCATTGAGGTCAATGGCAACAAGGGAACATTCAGCCTTGAGTCGGGTGCGGGAGGCTGCTGTATGTGGAAAGCACCCGCCATGTTGGCAGTCGGGTTTTGCCATATGCGTGCTCAACATCACGAGGGCGACTGTCCTTTTCTTACGGACGATCCGTTGCCGAAGAGCGTCACTTCGCGTGCTGGGCGCGTTTTGTTCTACCGAATAGTACGTCTTTGACCTGCCTTTTCGGTCTTACGATACCACCGATCATACATAGCGCCTCGCCACGCGAACATACACGATGAAGGCTCAGTGTAGGCTGCGAGTTGGCATGCTTGGCGCCGGCGAAGTTGCTCAAGTCGTCCACCTGCCTGTGCTGTCTCTGCTGAACCACATCTTCACGACCACCATCATCTGTGACCTCTCGCGCAAGGTGAGTCCACGCATCTGGGCTTTGTTCCCGATACTGAGCCTCGACTGACGTGCCACCAGAATGCCGAGCACTGCGCCGACAAGTTTCGCATCGCCACGGCCACCACAGACCCGAAAGACGTCTTTGAAGAGCCCGGAAGTAGATGTGGTCTTCATACTCACATCCGATGAGTGGCACGAGACTTATGCCGTGGCTTCCCTTGAAGCTGGCAATCATGTCATGATCGAGAAGCCCGTGTCACTGTCCGTTCCATCCGTGGAGCATGTCATTGCAGCAGAGGCAAAGGTCAATGGTCCTTGAGTCTTCGTCGGCTATATGCGAAAATATGCCGCCACCTTTACGCAAGCTTTCAAGCGAGAGCTTGCCGATATCCCTTGCATTCTTTACGCTTGCTCTCGTGACTTTAGTGGACCGAACGCATATTTTGTCAACGTATCCTGTTCTTTTCAGGCCAAGAACACCGATTTCCCAGCAGAGGCAGGCAAGGCACGCTCGGAGCGCCTCGACAGTCTTTATGCCGAAGCATTCCCAAATCAGTATATAACCGTGGAGCATGTGAAGTATGGCCGCTTCCTGGGCAGCTTGGGATCCCACGATATCTCCCTCATGAGAGAGGCACTCGGCTTCCCGGAATCTGTTAGCGGTGTCTCGGTCAATGAGCCGTTCTACACAGCAATCCTCAGCTTCCGCAACAAGTCGGGAGTCGAGCCATTCTCCGTTACATACGAGTCTGGTATCGACGCTGTGCCCGATTTCGACGCACACTTGGCCGTGTATGCCGAGAGGAAGCGGGTGATGATCAAGTATGACTCGCCGTACGTCAAAGGCTTGCCCACCAAGGTCTTGGTGTCGGAATTGAACGAGGCGGGCGAGCTGCAGACGCGGGAGATACTGAGCTCGTACGAGGATTCCTATACCGCTGAGCTGCAGGAGATGTACGCGTGCATAGTGAACGGGCAGGAGATTAAGACGACCGTCACTTCGCTAAGCGCTATGTATCTTGGTAGTGAAAAGGAAAGCTTTAAAGTCGGCAAAGTTAAACAGCCCATCGTAGACGAGCCAAAAGCACCCGCGCCTAACCCTAACAAGCCGGATGGTAGTAATAGAACTAAAGGCGGAGGTACGGATGAAGGCGACACCGATTCTTCTGCTTCGTCATTAGGGGCCCCGGCATTATGTATATTGGTTGTCACGTTGGCATCTGCTTGGGGTTTTATATAGCGACCAATGGCCACTAGATTATCATACTAGTAATTTAAGATTTCATTATTATATAGTATATGACGGCTTTGCAGACTACGCATGGGCAAGGGCGTCCTCCAAGGTCGTAACGTAAGTCGAGGGCTCAAGCACCCTGAACCTATCCTCATTAAGACCAGTAAGGAACGGCTTCGCCGGGTTGCCGCCCACCGCGGTATACGGCTCGACATTCCGATTCACCATCGCCATCGCCCCCACGAAAGCGCCCTTCCCAACCGTGACGCCCGGCATGATGGTCGCGCCCGCGGCAATCCAGACGTCGTCCTCGATGGTCACAGCCCGGCCGACGCTAGGATCGGGACTGCGCCGCTCATCGGGGTTGATAGGGTGTCCGACGCAGGCAATCGTCACGTTAGGAGCGATCTTGACGTGTGCGCCTATAGTGAGGTCTGCGACGGGTACATCCAGGAGGACGCAGTTGCGGTTCAGGAAGGCCGTGGGGTGGATCTTCACCCGGAGGCCGTAGTCCATCCAGATGAGTCCTTTTATGCCCGGGGCCGTTGTCTGGTAGATTGTGTCTTTCTTGTTGGGTCGAAGGTTGACATCTGCAGCCAGCTTAGCGCTTTGGTAGCAGCATTTGCGTCCTCTGGGAGCGCGTTGAAGGCCCGACAGGAGAGGGCGCACTCCAGCCTCGCGCGGCGGAAGTCGTCGTTCTTGGCGTCGAAGACGACGGGGTTGGCTAGAGTGTTTGAAGTCAAGTTGGGGGATTGCTACAGAAAGCTGCGGCGGAGCCGGGAGATGATCTGTTTCTTGAGTTTTAAGTCGAATTCTCGTTACCTGGGTGGTGATTTATGATTTTTTTCATTTTTTTGGTGACAACACATGCAATCCTTATGTATAAATACCACTGGCAGCCATGGATCAAACTGATTCTCATCATTTTCATTGTTCATGCTTTCAGTGTCACAACTGTATTGTCCTCCCGTTGCGTGGGGCACAGGGGTAACTTCAATGCAGCGACGGGCACATTGTACAAAGTCGCATTGTCCCTGCACCAGCTCATTGCCTTTGAATGAAACCCTTCAACTACAGTGGCATTGTTCTCACGTGAGCCAGTTCCATGAACAAAGCAGGGCAAGACCAAGCCAAATATCGGTGCTGGAAAACCTGAGAGGGTAATTGTGAGTACCTATTCGACAGCATAGCGTGAGACTTCGAATAGCTGAAGCGGCCAAGTATGTTGAACAGCGTCTCCTCGACATAGGGTATAGATTTGCATTGTGTATCTACAATGACCCCTCATACGTCTCCGCGGGTACCGTATCTCAAGGCACTGTAGCGTAGACAATATTCTTGTAATAAACGCCCTGGACCAAGCAGACTTCAAGGTCTCGACGTCTTCTTTGCTTATTTCATAGCGCTTATCTTAAAAGCTGCTTACTTGCTTTGGGGATACCTTCTAGTGAAAGCGGTTAGCCTCGGAGACTTTTGTGGGATCAGTGTAGCTCAATAGGGGTGCCTTTGGCCATGCTAGACACCTTGTCCCATGATCGTGTTGAGGCTATCTGATCCGGAGTCTGACAGGACGGGACAACGCGTGGCGGTGAGGAATCTCTGCAGCGTGGCGTACTAAACACTCACACAGAAACAGACCAGAGCCTGTCTAGAAGTGATGCCGGGTGGCCGAGTGATCGAACGAGAAGGCTTTCAGGACGGAAGTTTGAACTGAGTCTCTTCCCACTCCTCCCAAGATGAAGATAACTGATGGATGAATTATGATACCCTGTTGCTTTGGGACTGTTACTAGCGCGTAGACTGGGCAGTCACTCCAACCTCGCCCACTCATACACACACCCATCCACGTCGTAACGACACAGCCCCTCGACTCACGGTAAATCTACGAATGTATGTGCGGGACCTACACCGCAGGATCGCCAAAGGCCTCTCAGGAGTTGAATGAAATGGTCTAGAGCAATGTGCTATACAGGATAACATGTTACGCATCTGCCAATACCGACAGAGTTGCATATCCGATGTTCTGACCCACAATCTCGAGACTCCCAGCCTTTCCAGCCCTCGCAAGCGGCTGGTTTCCTATCTGGGAAGCAAAACCAAGCCGGACCTGGCTGTACTCACCGACAACTCCACCACGTGTCTCGTGGCAACCTCGTCTGCACTGCATGCAGGAAATGCGGGGACCCCATATCCATGGCGGAGAACAGGCTAGAGTTGAGCACTGGCAGGTTATAATGGCGCGTGATAGGTCTTTATATTTGATCGTGGACCATGCCATTGTGATGAGCCCTTCCCATCCTTCAAATTCACCTACTCCCACAGCCTTCGCCTCGACACGCTGCTACCGAGACCAAACATTGCTACATCATGACAGGCGGTGCAATGGCGTCTCAAGGCGCTGCTGCCCATAGAAGAGCGCAACTCACCGGCAAGACAGGCATCAGTGCGTTGATGTCGAACAAGACGGCCTTCGGGGTCGCGATGTTCGCCTCGTGAGTTACTGACACTCTTACGATGTCATGCTGCTCCCCTAACAACTTGTCGCGGCTTCGGTGGCTTACAGTATGGCTTTCAGCAAGGCGTTCTCGGCCAAGCACTCGTCATGCCTGCTTTTAGTCGCAAGTTTCCCAGCATCCATAACTCATCGAGCGCTACTGGCTGGCTCACATCGATCCTCCAACTGGGCGGATGGGCTGGTGCACTCTCGTCCGGCGTCCTGAGCGAGGTCTTCAGCCGCAAACATACCATCTTCTCCCCCTGATGGCTTATACTCATGGGTCTGGGCAGATCGCCAACTTCGCGTACTCATGGGGCCCCGCCAGCTAGACTATGATCGCTTAGATCTTCCCGCTTTCCATCAGGGCGAAAGGCTCCTCGATAGGTGCCAGCCCCAATTGGATGAACAATTTCGTTATTGCCTTCATCACTCCGCGTACGTAAATCGATGGGTAGAACCCTTGGGATATGTCTGAGACGTTCGCTGACCTTATGCCTTGTCGCTCCTAGCCATGCTTAGCCACATCAAGTTCGGGACCTACATCTTCTTTGCGGCCTGACTTTTCTTGAGCATACCGTTCGTTTACTTCTGTGAGTCATCCCCGTCTGCCTTGCGTGCAGAGCAGCGACTAATGAACGGTGCAAGTCATCCCGGAGACTCGCGGCAAGACCCTCGAAGAGATGGACGCAGCCTTTGGTAGTCACACGAGCGAAGAAGACATGGCGGCGTTGGCACAAGGTCAAGAACAGGTCGGAATTCCTGCGCTGTTAGATGGATCTCAGCCGGAGAGAGGTCTTGAGAAGGAAGCAAGGGGAGAGACGATACACGTCGAGGCGTGATCGTGTGCTGAATCGAGCACAGCAATGGCATTGTAGGCGCTGAGTCGTGCGCTTCACCCGCGAGGACGTATGGAACAAAATTCTCCATCTGCTGTCACATTATGCACCGCAAGTGACTCGGGCCCCTTCTCCGATCCTTAAGAGTTGACGCACTCGCATATACCCGGCCCAGTGATACAACCCATAGAAGCCAAAGCCCAAAGGCTCCTCGCGGTCCGGAGGTAGTCTACCGAGTATGCGCAATATATATCTTCGAGACAAGCTACACACACCCATAATAAGGATCTCAGTAATACCAGCTACTTCGTAGCTTCTCAACGCGCTTCGCGCATTTGGCGTGTAAGCTTACGTATGACTAGTTGGTCCAGCTATATCTAACTAGCGGCAGGCAACGCCGCTCCCGCGGCTTTATTGCCACTAACGAGAGGTTTTAAAGTAAAGAAGCTTAACGATAATATTTGTTATTGCACTTAATATACACTTAACTTAAGGTATTTTTATTTATTTAGTTTATTTAGTCTATTTTTATAACTTCTTAGTTTAATTATACTTAGCTAGTAATAAGCGACGCCGCTTTTGCGGCTTTATTAGTATTGACGAAGGCTTTTTTAAACAAAACCACGTAATATAGCTACGTAACATAGCTATAACGCTATAGCGCCGCGTACTAGCTATAACTATTACGTTAAACTAAATTTAATAGCGGCAACGTAAATAAAACCCCCATTTTTTAAGGAAAAAAATACATCGCAATAATACGGTTCGTTTTATACAAATATCGTTTAAGTATACCTACTAGTTAAAGTATTACCAAAAAAAAGATTTAAACGGGGCAAAATCTATTATGTAATTAGTCGGCGAAATCGTGGCGTCACTAATGTTTTAAAAAAGACTTAATAGTCGACAAGGTTCAGCCTTACAAGCCGACTACCACCCTGCTGATCTAGCTGCAAACCAACTTTTATCGGTACTCGCAGCGTGGTGCATGCCGCCGTTAAGTTCGGCGGGGAAGTTTTATGGCTAATATATGTATAGAAACGGGGGCGATCTGGCCGTATGGTTGTCTTGTCTCTTACCAGTCAGAGAGCAGCTGATTATCACCTAGTATGCTTGCCATCATCTACACAGACGAAAGAGAAGACGTTCTCAAGCGGTTGCAGGACAAATAATTTTCAAGCTTTCATTTGCCAGTAGGCAAGGCAGACTTGGAGGACTTAACAAGTAAGGTAGACGGGCTATTGAGTCTGAGGAAGGGCGAAGGACTCGCTTTTGTTGTTTGCTCATTCTGCTTCATGTATGATACTGTTTCGTTGGTCCTCGCTTTCTACACGCTGCAATTGGGTACACACTCTCGTCCTACCTGACGACGCACATGCAGATCGTGACGGGTAATCGCTGTGTTGGGGAGTAAGGTTTCCTTTACCAAACCGAAGCGGGCATTCCATTAAAGCAGCAAAGATAAGCACGGGGCTCAAAAGGCGGAAAGAGGCCCTTGAAAGATCATATCAGTGTCATCGCGAGAACAAACCACTGAATTTGTCAAACGAAGCAATTCGGCATATATAAGTAGTACTACAACCTTTTGTTTGGTATCATCCCAATCCGTAACCAGAGTCGCAATCCTAACCGGTCGTCGTCGTAAACATGAGTGAGCCAAATATTCACTCTACTCCACTGCCACATCATCACGACCAATCAACCACGATTCACTCCAAGACCTCAACCCAGTTGTTCTCGAGCTGGCGGCGCTCGTACCGCGACTCGGCCTGCTGCCGCATGACCTCCTCCGCCTCGAGCTTGTTGGCCGCGGCCGTGGCCGTCTCCTTGATCAGGACCCGGACCGCGCTCATGAGTACCTTATACCACCCGTTATGCGGTTTGCAGCGCTTCTTGTCGCAGGTGCCGCAGACGGCCGGCGGGTGCGGGTCGTCGGCCGAGTCGAGCGGCGCGTCGAGCTTGCCGGCCTTGAAGGTCGCCTGGCCCTCGGCTGTCTCGAGCCACGCCGCGAATTGCACGCGCACCGACACGGTGTCGAGCCGCCAGTCGTAGCCGCAGCTGTCCTTGGTGAAGTTGCCCGCCTCGATGGCTGCCTGGCGTCGGTGGTTGGCCCAGTCCATGAGCTGCATCATCTTTTTGTACTGTACAATTTCGTTTCCTAGGGCCAGGCGCTCTGCGGCGGATGTCTGCAGAAACTTCTGCTCTTCATCGCTGAGGACACCGTGGCGGGTGGGTAGACCATTGGCCCACATACCCTCAATGTTGCCTATGTCACCAAGTTAGAAATACAGCTAGTATTGAGGGGTTGATTGGTATCATGATGTTGTGTTATGTCTTAAATGTGAGTAGACGAGCGGGTCATTCAACAAAAGTACGTACCAAAGGGCTTGTCACCAAGCTTCCAGCCACCCTTCTCAGCGGTGGCGGCAAGTAAACCCATGAAATCCTCCTGTGTAAGGACCTCGACAGCTTTCTTAGAGGCCGCCTTCTGAGGTAGAGTGGTGATCATGGAAGCCCACCAGGCATCGCAGTGGTCGTTGCTGCAGAAGACGCTTCGGTCCTTGAGGTTCTTGGTGAACAGTCGGGCGGCGTTCTTGCAGCCAGGCAGGGAGCAGGTCTTCTTGTACTTGGTGTAGTTACGTTTCCCATCGGTGCAGCCGGGGCAGACGAAGCGCTCGACCAGCTTCTCGCCGGTCTCCTTGGCCAGGCTCACGCACTCCCCGTGGAACCAATCTTCGCACACATCGCAACTTATCATCCATCTGTGGTCGTCTGGTCCGCGGCAGATACAATACGGGCCGTTGTCGGTCTCATCGTCGGAGCTCGCCTCGTTTGCGTCAACCCCGCCGGCAGCGTTCTTCTTCTTTGCGGCCGCAGCCTTGGACTTGGGCGTCTTGGTCTTCCGGGGGCCCTTCTTGGCGGCAGTGCCTTTCTTCTTCGGCCCGGACTTCATCTTGGCGTCATCGGTGGGCGAGGATGAAGGGGGCTGTTGTTCACCTGCATCCGGGTCTGGTTTCACCTCGAAGGCGAAGGGTGTATGCGTGCTGGTCGTTTGCTCAGCTGCAGCTTCATGTGCCCCTCCATTAGTCTCCCTGCCATCAGCTCCGTCGCCCAAGCTGCCATCGACAGCCGGCTCCATACCTCCCATCTCGACATCCCCAACACCCCCAACACCCCCAACACCAGCCATCTCATCTTCCTTCACTGAGTTCTGATCAGTCATTCTGAGACCACAATACCCTTCACTTTCAACCTGGTTGTAGAGCCAGCTTTGTCCACAGAATTTAAGACTTCAATCTTTTGAGATCTTTACATCAACGTTATCCACAGAGTCTGGTGTGAGATAATGCAGTCGGTATGCCCGGCATCGTTAGCCCCTGCTGCTATGGCTTTGGGTTTCAGTTGTGAGCTGTGAACGACGCAACGAGGAAGCTGACATGAAGTGACAGAATTGAAAACGGAGCCAGAGGCTGCACACTGCAAAACTAAGGACTGGAAGGTTTGCAGACTGCTCGACTGTACTGGGATGGGAAAGGGAGAAGAGAGAATGGAAGCCACACACGTTGGATGAAGCTATTGTGTCTGGTATGAAATCCATGGCAGCCCGCCACAAATGCAGTGGCGTCGATCTTGAGGATGGTGCACGTGCGATGTGCTGTTATCGCAGCGGCGTACCGTTATCAGACGAGTCCGTACTGTAACAATACACGGAGTAGCACAATCAGCGACCGCCCATCGCCAAATTCCAGTGTTTTCGATAAGCACCCCCTAAGCTAAGCCCCCCAGCGCTTGCTTACAGGGCTTTCGGCTTGCTAAGTTTAAGCTAAATTATGGGGCGAACCAGACCGAAAGGAGATAAAAGCGCACCGCAGCCGCAAAAAATTTCGGGCCGGATAAACCTCGGCGCCGATGATCTCCGGGGTCGAACAGCTATTAAAGCCACACTTTAACCACCACAGCCAACATATTTAATATGCTTATCTACACTTATAGGAATTTCGGCTTCTTGCTTAATTAGGGTAGGTCAAGGGGGGTAGGTCAAGGGGGCTAGTCGCTTACTTCGCTTAACTTGGCTTAGCTTGACTAACGCTTGGTCCAGGGGGTCCTTATCGAAAACACTGTCGCCAATCGCCACAGAGTCCCACAGGCCAACCTCAACATTGGGGGCCGGCTGAGAAAAGCGATGTCTCATTGCTTTTTAAATTGACCTGCTCAAAGTGGCCAACTCGTCGCACACCAATATGGCAGATTCGACTGCTGACACTGTTCATCCGAGACTGTACCAAGTAGGTGAGATTCTCGCTGAAATCCAGCTCATCAGACTGTCGTCACCCACCATATCCGGCCGGTCGCCCATCGTAAGCGCCTGTTGCAAACGACCTCGGGAGATGCCTGTCACCCAGCGCCAACATTGCGGTATTTGACGCCTACGTCTGGGAAGTATCCCACACTGCCGCTCATCAAGTGGAGGGGCGGCTGCGAGACCCTCATCTTTCCCGCCACAGAGCCACTTCGTCATGGACTCATGTCCATGGCTGGCACCAAGTACAGGTGTCTCGAGGCATTTCCGGCAAGTCTGCCTTCAGTGTTGGCTCAGCTTATCATATAGTCTTTTCATACAGTCTTTTGTATGATAACAGACATATGTTCTTGGCAATCTTGGAAGTCGACGTATCAGCCGACAGCCTATGAAGTTCCCTGTCTCTGCCCCGCCGTTTCCCATCGAGACAATTTTCTAGGGTCAGCCAAGCTCCGGCTGATGGAAGATCTCGTCTTCCATCTTCCGAACCCGTCGTCATCTCCAGTACTCAATCCGTTCACGATTGGGCAGGAGAAGCAAGTGCATGTGCTGAAGAAGAGCAGGGTCTTTTAATTCGTTGCCTTCTCTCAGCTGAGCCTGCTGAGGGAGATTTGCTTCGCTTCCTGCAGACAAAAAAAGAAAGTCTCGCGGCTTGCAGCTACACCACGCCTCGACTGGCATCTCTAACTTCCTGTCCCGTGGGAGGACTCGAGCTGAGCCGAGGAGTCGCGAGCACACTCCTGTTGTGTGTGTGCTAGAGATTACCTACCAGGCCAAGACGGAGTGTGGGTGTGGTCCGGCGGCTCGAAGAAGAAGTCACCGAATCCCAGCAACAAAAGGTCGCACTCGTGTACCAGAAGCTCGATCTCTAATCCCGGCGCTCATCTCTCCTCCTCCCTGCGAACTCCTGCAACCATTACCGAATCTCCAGACTCTTAAACGCACCTCCACGCACACCCCAGCTGATCTGGCGCCCCCCGGTAGTGTAGTCGCCAGCCTACTATGCGATGCCCATCGATACTGCCATCCGATATCGAGACAATGAAGCCGCGCGCGCCGCCCGACTCGACGCTTGACCATAGGGTGTCTGATCATCCCTCGAATCAGACTCAGACGACGTTGCATCCGAACATTTACCGCCTGTCCTGCCGACGCTACACAATACTCTCGAGCCCGCGCACGACGTGGGCGTAGACCACTGCCCTCTCTCGGCTGGGAGCCATGCCATCGACAGAGGCGAACACGGTTGAGGACACGCAATTGGGCCTCACCGATGAAGAAATCGCTCTTCTCCGCTACCACCAGACCCAGGCCGGGTCCTCCTCTTCGCGCGCCGCGAGTCGCGCATCGTCTCAGGGTCGCCTGCTCCTCGACAGCTCGAGTCTCGCGGCGCTATCGCGGCATCTGGATCGGCTTCTGCAGCAGATACAGCAGCGCATCGAGTACCTCAGCGAGCAGAGCTCCATTGTGACTATGCAGCAGTATGACCGCGCCGGCAACCTGGTGGACAATGCCGATGCTGAGATTGCGCGTTTCCAGGACATCATGAGCCAGATCGATGAGCTCGAGGTCGACTTCGATCGCATCGCCCATATTCGAGACATCGTACGCGACTACCGGCAGCGTGTGGAGGCTCTAGAACGGGAGCTCGAGCACTCTAGCTCGTCGCGGCGGGACCGCGATGGCCACCACCGCCATTCCCATCGGCACAGCCACTCGCATCGAGCCGAAGGCGGCTCCTCGGGACGGAGGCATCGACATTAATCAGGACGGACAAAGTAAATACGATCGAAGCCGCTATGCGGCGAGCGGACTAGGTTAAGGATCGGTATGTCTTACGAGGAGAAGAATCGATCCCGAGCCGTCTCCGGCCGCGATACGGACCTGGCAACACGATTGTAATTCCCCGAACGGACAGTCAATCAATAATAGCAGCAAAGACAAGAAGAAGGAGATGACGAATGGGTAGAAACACAAGGTCACACGACCAGGGAATTGGGAACAGGACAACGGTTAAGGCAGGGCCACGTCCATGTTTGCCTCATCAAAATACAATCGGCGGGAAACCACAGCACCGCCATCCAAATCTATAGGAGCTCGCCGCTCTTTCGGCCGGCCAGTATGACAGATTCAGCTGGTTTCGAGCCCCAAAAACATTTCATTCTCATTCATCACCTTATCCTATAAGCCCTCTTTATACTACCACCGCTATCTATACCTTATACCCTGTCAGAGAAAGTTATTAATGGAGCCTCACGGCTGGACTGGATAAGAGAGGTTGGCCTCACGGCTCATTTTTTGGTTATGGCGTTGGTTTATCATTACCCTGTATGTATCTGGGTGTCATGTGTACGCTCAACGCTGTGAGCGTTGCGGTATTGACGACGCCGTCCTTTGGAGACAGAGACACGTCTGACGAGGGTTTGAGCGGCAAACCCATGTATTAGATATATATCCAGCAAGGAATCGAAGCACTGGCTTACATTCTAATCTAGCGGCCGTTTCGTTCAGCGCCCGCCTCCTTTTGAGGTCTTATTGTGCGCGTGTCTTCGCGAGGCAACCTCTCCGGGACATGAATACAAAACTGAAGCGATCATATACGATACACACCATGGAAGACACACGTGTATGATGCCTAGGCCCAAGGATCACTGCGGACTATCATCACTGCCTCTTCGCACGTCGCACGTTAGGAAGGAGATATCAAATTTGTTAACGGAATTTGATGGATGGAGTAAGTAAATAACTAGATAACGCTTCTGGCAACTAGGAGGCAATATTGCCAGACGCAAGTGTGCTAGATCATACCGGAGCGCCGACCAGCCCGAGCAAGATTCATCGCCGGACTCGAACGGTCGGGCCATCTGCAGCACAAAACACACCGCACAGGTATCTCGAAGGAATCCATAACGCCACAGCCATCGTCATCTTCGGCGGCTTCGTCGTCGTCGTCGTCACGTTCGCCTTGCCTGGCGTCGCTGACCCCCCCTTTCCTTTCCTCCTCTCCTCGCCTCCGCTCGGAACCGCCCCGTCATTATATATAAGTAGGTTAGTAGGTAGGTAGAAGTAAGTAGGGAGGAATGTGTGTATGTATGTAGCAGGGGGTAGATAGATCGGTAGTATATACAGCAGCAACAACAACAGACACCTCAAGAAACCACCCCCTCCCACGATCTATCTGCCGCCTCCTTCCCCTTCCCCTTCGTCCCCAGAACCACATCACATCACAAATCACAACATCAAAGCGCATAATTCTCCGTATGCAAAAAGATCTCCTCAAGCAGCGGATCGCCCCAGATCTCCGCCTGCAGGCGCGCAACCGTGTTAGCAACACCAACGCGCATGCCCGGCGGCCCGCACACGAACACGGCCGTGCGCCGCCCCAGGATCCCCCGCCCGTCCGCGCCGCCCGTGGTCCACTCGCGCAGCATGTAGCCCAGGTCCGGCCGCCCGTACTCGACGCTCCACCCGCCCTCGCCGTCCATCTGGTGCGGCACGGGAAAGGCGAACCGCATTAGGGATTTTTGGAACTCGGTCGGCGTCGCCGGGAACCCGAAGTCGAACCCCGACGGCGGGCCGAACGTCGACGTCGGCCGCTGGCCCTGGCCTGCTGCTGGCAGGTTCGTCGTGCGCAGGTGCGCGAACTCGGGTGGCCGCGGGAACATGTCGTGCGACACGCCGCCGTCGGAGGCGTCTGCGTCTTCTGCGCCAGGGGGCGGCGGGAATCTGCGCGGCGATGGCGCAGGTGGTGCGTAGTTGAAATGTGGCTGCAGATCGGGTCGCGTCTGCAGAGGTGGGAAGTGGAACTCCCGTTTCGGCTTGTCTTCTGGAAAGCCGTTTAATGGAGCTGGGGGGATTTCATCATAAAGACCCTCCGCATCCCTCTGTTCGCGGCCCTCGAGCTTGCGCAACGAGTCCTCCTGGGCCGACATGCGGTTCGTGTGTGGTGGGATATGATGCGGTTGGAGGTATTTCTGCTGAGGTAGTGCTGTGAACCTGTCCTCGTCCTCGGCGCGCAGCTCGCGCTCGTACTCGGGATTATCTTGCGCCTCGTCGTTGATCATATGTGAATGGCGCTTGGAAGCGATGCCGGCTACGAAGTTATCCAACCTATCGTGGAAGACACCGCTGAGAGGACGGGGCGCCCGCTCGCGCTGGGGCGGAATCCGGGACTGTCTCACGGCCGAGGTGACGAAGAACTTGCACGTCACACTCTCTGGTGGCGCCGAGTCGCGGCAGATGCGTAATTCCTCTCGGAACCAGTCCATTGATTCCAGTCGCTTCAGCGCCCACACGACCACTACTTTCTTGGTGATGGCCTTTCCGTCACGCATTCGTTTGATCAAGTTCAGGAGTTGCGACATCAACGCTGTAACGCCGCTTCCACCAGCGATTAAGATGCAGGTATCGAAAGCGGCAAGTTCTCGACGCATCCCACCGTATGGGCCATCGAGATAGGCTCGGTATGTGTGGAAAGGGCCCTTGTCGATGGCAGTTTGCAACACTCTTCGGGTAAAGCCGCCATATGGCTTGAAGACAACAACACAGTCCCTATACTGCTCCCCGTATTCAGAAGGGAAGTCCTCGCTGCAGAGGGAGGATATGGTGAAGGGGTGATTGTCGAAGAATGAGATGCCGGGCATTCGCAGGTAAACATATTGACCAGGCTTCCATTTCATCTGAGTAGGGACGGTGATCTTGATCGCGTTTTCGGTCATCAGAGTAATCGCTGCTTCGTCCCCGACCATGAACGACATTCGCCATGGCTTGATCCAATTCAGCTTGAATAACCGCATAGCGTAGCAGATGACCCATATCGCGATGGTGGCGTACAAGTAATCCCAAGACTGCAGGTAATTCTTGGTGTGCCAGAATAAGCAGCCCAAATACACGAATCCAACTGGTACGTGCAGCGTAACGAACACTTCATACGCAATTCTGCGAATGAAAGGGAGTGAAGCAACGCAGAGCCAGACCAGCGGGACAAGGCACGCAATGCCGGTCCCATAGATGACGCCGCTCCCTTGAGGGAACAGTTTCTTGTAGACCACCATGCCGCCATCGTCCCACACAGGCTGAACGTAAAACGGCACAGTGTGTACGAGCGAGAGAAAGAGACAGAGATATCCCGCCCATCTGTGAAGCACATTGAGTCGCTCTGGCCCGATACCAGTGATTAGCGTAAGCAGATTGGCTTTCATGCTTGTCGCGACAATCCAAGGGGTCATCGCAACAGCAATCATGCCCGCCCGGACTGCCATCGGTGGGGAACCGTACTGGATGCTTTCCCAGTATAGGGGTTGTTTCAGAAAGGTGTACAGTGCCACAAACGCAAATGCGAGAAACCCAATGCCTAACACCGCTAGCGACGAGAAGGTGAATCGATGTTTGCGCCACACGATATCTGGGATCGGCCGGTAGAAGACCCATCTAAACAGAGCGAGGGCGTCGAGTACGGGCCCAACTGCAGAAAAGTCGGTTTTTGGCTTGAAGTCCTTCTTCTCTCCGCCCTCGTCGGGAAAGAAGTGCCTGTTGGTTTGGCTCGTTTGCATACCAGTTATCGCGTATTCGGGATCGAGGCTGTATAGATCTCGGTAATGCTGTTCCACGTCTTGTTTGTAGATCGCCTGCCGTATCTTGTCCTGCCACCAGTGCCATATTCGCACAAATACCACAACGAGCATAAGGGCTATAGCAAAGTACGACCATCCCCTTGCATATTGCCCAGATTGAATCCAGGGGTCGACGGTGTCGGCTTCCACCAAGCCTGCCGGACTAGTTGCTGTCAACGGTATATAGATGCGTTTTGCGAGGTCCGCAAGCCTACTTGAGGCTTGCTCCATGACCGAGTGATCATGCGAGTCCATGACCGGAGGAGGCGTCCACAACTGATACCGAGCGCAGATAGCTAAGCTGCGTAAGCAGGCTTTAGGCCATGGGCATATGGGACGTTTCGGATGCAGCACGGATTCGTCGAAGGCTTTGCTATGTCGAGGGTGGCGCACTCTGTATGACAGAGTAAGTACTACTTCGAGTAGGACAGTATGCTATAATGCGCTTGCCCCGGACCTTATATAGCTTAGACGAATGGAGCGATGGAATGGATATCTGTCGTTCGATGAGGGATTCCAGACTCCTCAGACAACCATGTTAGAGAATACCGAAAGACAACAACGCTGGTAGCCATCGAAAAAAACCACGACTTGGCGACGACAAGTAGCAGACAGGAGAGAGGATCCGGACCGACGCTGGGGTGAGGTCAGATGGGTATAATAACCAAGTTGATGTGAGCAAGGGTGGCTTGCCGTGGACGGGTGGGGAATGAATCCTTCCGCCAGGTACGACATGCAGCATAGAGGCACACGCTGTCACTCTTCGTCACACCACCACCACGAGTACTGTACATTAGCGAACGCCCCCTCCCCGGGCCCTCGCACAATGGTGATCGCAGGCATGCGAGATTGACCTCGTGGATCCCAGAACGGGCAGGCTCGACGTCTCTCAAGTTCGGTCAATCAGAGTCCCGCAAAGCATGGTGTGGGCTCGTGCCAGTCAAGCAGTCGTGCCGAGCACAGGGCCCAGCGGCTGACCGTACTTTGATATTGGCTGGTTGAGCTGTAGCCGTTCCCCGCACACACTGCAGGTGTGTACAGTGTAGTAGTAATGCATCCGACATGGCATAGAACAGGTGTAGGCGCTACAGGTGAGCAGCTCTTGGATCCCGGCAACCTGCGCGGGCCGTTGTCAGCATCACCAGCATCGTCAAGCTGGCAAGGACTCTTTGAAGCTAGGAATCGCCCGTGCAGATATCCCGCTCTACCTGCATAATGAAACCCGGATCTAGACTGGTGGCTGGAGATGTGAAAGACTGGGAGGCATTCGAAGGCCGAGTCGGTGTGCTTCGCATCGCCGGGGCTGGTTATTATGTCGCGGGGTTGACCGTTGCACTAAGAAGCTTGCAGGAATTTGTCACATGCGACAACCTGCTTTTGGTCCCAGCTCGGTACCAGTGACAACTTGACAACCATACCGCAGATCCAATTACTTACATGACCTCTCCAAAATGCCCGGAAGACACCACTTGGTGTTCGTTGTCCGACAGCCGACTATGCGTGGCTTGCTGGTACGATCGATCGTATGAGTCTCGTCGACCTGGTTATCTCAGTTGATCTCATTTGGGGGCGGCGAGTATGGCCGTCGAATAGAGACGAAGAAGCCGAGATGGCCGTGATATGAGCACTGAGCAGGGACAGCCACACAGCCAATTGGGGGTTCAAGGTGGCGGGCGCGTAACCGGCTGATCTCATTTGCTGACCTCAAGCTGTCGCCCACGTTCTCCACCGCCCACCCTGCTCCATGTGCACCGCTGCCACCGCAAGCATTGACGAATCTGAACCTGCGGATAGGCTCTGATCATTGACGGGTCTCTGACCCCTTGCTCCGATAGACGGGTTGCCGGAACGGGTTGAAGTTGTGAGCTGCTCAGTGTTCACAAAGCCATCCACTGCCACTGCCACCGTGACAAGGTGACGGCCAGCATCGTGCATTACTGTGTATGCGTACCAGATTGCTGGGAACCAGTCAGCAGGAGTCTCTGAGAGAACCAGAGACCAGAATTGGCGAGTATCGCTGGACAGGTGACGATACGGTGTTGGACAATGCTTGTCACGACAGTCACTTCAAATGCACCCGCGCACCAACAAGCATGCAACGTCTTGCCGTGGGCATGTACGGTAGATCATTGCGGGTTGACGCTGGACTGCGGCGGTGTCTTCCTGCCGACTGAGCCATTTCTCAAAATGGCCATGTGATTGCTGTATCCAGTCATCTTGGCGTTCACAGCTTGACTTCGGGTCAATTTCGGCCAGGAACCAGGAGTAATGCATTGATGCATTGAGGAAGAACAAAAAGAAGGTAGGTAGGTTTTGCAATGGGGTTTGGTTCGGTGGCGGTGCAGCGTCCTTGTGGCTTGACATTCTTTCGTCCGTCAGCCACATCCCCGGTGATGGTGAACTCGTCGAACTGCCAGTCGCAGTCCGAAGGGTAGCACGACGTATGCATGTCCTCGAAGTCTTGATATTCGACAAGGCGACAGAGCTCGATGCCGGCCTTACGCTCAACGTTACCGCTGAAGCGCTCCTAGAGGGCCATTGGCTCCCACCAGGCTGCCAGCCAGCCTTGGTTTATTCTACATCGGTGTCATGGGCACAGGCACTTCACCGTCGTCCTCATATACCTCCTCGGAGTCAACTTCCGGACGACCCTCTTTCCACGCCGAGACTCAGTGCGAGAGAAGGAGGAAGAGATCCTGCAGTTGATGAACGAGAGGTACTGGCGAGGATAGCCATGCGGACGGCCGGGCTTGAAACTATTCGAGCACGTTCAACGCCAGCAACAAGGTTGGCACTTGATGCCCCCGAGAAGAACAGTGGCACAGATATTGTGTATCTGCACCGGCTTGGGTGGCCCCGGCTACATTGCAGCACTGGGTGATTCAGTACTCTCTTTGCATCTGCGAGCAATAAGGAAGGCGAGCACGGATGCAATGATTATGTGGACGGGCATGCTAAAAAAGGGTCAACGAAAAGAAGCATTCAACATTGGCGATTCATACCATCCGTCAATACATCCACCATCCAGCCAGCCAGTCTCAAATTGAATCACATGGGAGGACTCACTCTATCAAAGTTTCCAAGTAGCCACATTACAAAGCTTACGGCCCAGCCCCCTATTCCACTCACAACGGTACAGGATATATATACGAGTTTATCAGGTTAATCTGGTAGCCGGGTTGGTACGGCCTAGCGAATAGCGGAGTATTCTTATTCTATATCCTTAGGCACAGCGGTTCGATTCCTCTAGCGGCTGAAATTCCATCTTTTTGGCCCTACCCACCCAAACACTCATACTCTCTCCCCTTTCTCTTTTCGTATTGAGTTAGCCAGCTTGTGCACACGCCTGGCGACACTTGTCACGACGTGATCACCGGGTACGTTCGGTTGAGTACCTGTTGGGCCGAATAGACTACTCAATATCCTTGGTTGGAGTGCAGGCCGTGATGTGGTCCATATCAATTCGGACAGTCTATTGTCCGCTTGCCTGGATCTCTGGCCGTTGTGTCCGGCGGAAGCACGGCACGGGAGAATGCGCTCGTCCGACTACTTCCGCGTCTGAGCCGGTGGCTGTAGTACAACCGTTAGCCGGCGCGCACGACAAATTACCTCGGGGCAAATGCTGTACCGTTTCCGCCTAGTTATCAGGGCCTGGCGACGCCCTGTATAAAAGCAGGTCCCATCCTCTCTTGGACGAGATGTTCCTTTCATTTCATATCAGGTCAATGGCTCGTTAGCTAGGCATCTCAAACCACCATGGCAGAATCCAGCATGCTACCTCAAGGGGCAACCTTGCTTCTTCACGACGAGAAGAACCATATCGTCCCGAAGGTTGCTGAGCTTCTGGTGAAGGGACAGATCTTCACCAAGATAGGCGAGAACATCCAAGCTGGTACAGATGCCAAGGTCGTCGACTGCAAGGGCAAACTCGTTTCCTCGGGCTTCGTCGACACTCATCGCCACATGTAGGAACCCCAGTACAAGGGCTGCCACGCCGATCAGACCTTTTTCGAGTACATGCCAGCTGGCGATATCTCCGCCAGCTCTTGGTCGAAGGAGGACTTGTTCTGGGGCCAGCTGGCTGAGGCACTCGAGTTCATCGATGCTGGGACTACCACGATAGTTGACCACTCGAGCTGCAATACAACAGCGGACCATCGTGAGTTGGCAATGATATTACCCACCCCCATGCCCAGTTGCTAATGCCAAGCCACAGCGCAAGCAGCCATACAAGCTGACCTCTCTGCCAAGCTCCAGGCGCACCTCAGGATGTTCGCGGACGGTGTTGACAGGTGTTTCACTGGAAGCAGCGCTGACAGAAGGTCTTTGGGGAGAGTTTTGACCTAATGTGGAGGCGAAACCGGTCACAAAGAATCGTAGGACTTCTTTGGGGCACCTGGGTCTGCTCAACGGGAGTTCGTGGTCTGCTGAATGTCGACTACCTTGCTCCTTATACACACGCCGACACAGTAACTGTTGACTTACAGCTACCAGGAGAAAAAACCCAGGCCAGCTATCACACAGCCTCACACGGCCTCGCCATTGTCCATCCCACCAAGTCATCATCGCAAGCTCTGCCATCATCAGACCATCTTCAATACCTCGAATTCTCGTCAAGTATGGCGGCTGCAGATCGTGACGGGGATCATCGCGAGGCCACCTCCACATCCGGAGAACAGCATATCTTTGCTGCCAAGTTGTATACACCGATCAAAACACGGCAATCTCGCATCCTTAGGCTTCATCGCGGAGCCGAGAATGACCCTCTTCGTGCGGAGCTGTTGGTCGCCGGCCTGGCACATGGAGATGGCTTAGTAGTAGGTATGGACCAAGAGCTCGTAGCTACGAAGCCATATCCTACTCATGGGGCGCACCAGCATACACAGAGCCTATATGTCTCAATGGCCTTCAGTACTGCGTGACGCCTTCGCTGGCGGGTGCATTACGGCGCTTCTGGTATCCCGATCGGTGTCGGTACATCTGGGCCGATGCGCTCTGTATAACAGGCCGACGACAAAGAGAAGAGTCTACAGGTTCTTAACATGTTCACCATCTACCGTAAAGCGGCCCGAGTGCTTGTTTGGCTAGGACCGGAGGCACCGAACACAGCGTTAGCACTGGAAGCGATCCGCCGATATCACGAGGGAGAAAACATCGATGTCGCCAAACCCGTATCGGTCTACTTAGATGGTGATACACCAGAGCCCGGGTCCATACCAGATCATGTCAGCGAAGATTCAGAAGGGGAAAGAGTCGACGACGAAATGTGGGAAGATACGGACAGCGAGGAATGCAGCTATGGCGAATTACCTCAAGAGGCTCGCTCTTACACCGCACCTTCTGCTAACCCTCTCGTGCCCAATATTGATGGTTCTCTGCGTCGCGAGGAGTGCCCAGGCGCTCCACCAGCCATGATGGCGCTAGTTGAGAACCGGTCCCAGGACGTCGAGATCTGGGAAGATACGGGCAGCGAGGCTCGCTCTTACACACGACCTTCTGCTAACCCGTTTGTGTTCAACATTGCTGGTTCCCTGCGTCACAGGGAGCCCCCAGGCGCCCCACCATCCATGATGATGTTAGATGAAAACCCTTTCCAGGACGACGAGCTTGTCGGTTTAGGAGATCTTTGCTGTAGACCGTGTGCTCGGCGAGTGTGGTACGAGCATGGCCTCTAACGGAACTTGAATCATTGCTGATGTCCAGCGAACAGGATACAGCAGGAGGTCTTTGCGGCTAAAGAGCTCAGGATCTACTGCGGCCAGCATGAGCTGGATTTCCCAACGTACCGGGAGGCGGCGCGAGTCACTGGAGCGATACACCATGACCAGCGCAGGATCCGCGAAGACGGCAGGCACGAGATTATCAGGCGATCGACGAGAGCGATCGCAAGAATGCGAAGTCAAGATCCCGTGGAATTAACAAAGCTGGAAATAAGTCGATTCCGGAAAACCTATCAAGACAACAACTCGTCGGTCGACCGGTTCGAACTTCAGCCGGGGCGGGAATTCGAGAGAGTTCTGCGGTACGCTAGGTACCTTGAGGCCTCGGATAGTCGTGACTATGTTTACGCATCGCTTGGCTGCACAGATTGTCCGACCTGGGCACCGTCAACTGGAACGATGGATGGCGGGGTCCAGAGCCAGTTGCTGAAGCCCGGAATACCAATTGATTACAGCAGGTCAATCGCGGAGGTCTTCGGAGATGCGACGATATATGTGATCAATCTACAGCGTGATCTGCAAATTCTGGAGGATCATACGCCAATGAAGTCGTCAAGAGCGGGTTGCCAATTACCATCTTGGACAGTGGACTGGACGGCAAATCTCTTCGGACCAGTGTGGCGGCATGGCAGCATAGTGCGTCGTCGTACTCGTCTCCTCGAACTGCAAAGTGCACTGCATGATGGAACTATTCGGTTCTCGGGTCACAGACTCGGGACAGTGGTGTCAGTCGAGCATCGGCGAACAATAACGATAACGACGCATTTGGTACTCAATGCCGTGAACAGCCACGGAGATCCGGCTCTAGCATTCAGCAAGTCTGGCAGCATAACGACAGTCTGCACCACTCAGAAGGAATTTCAGCTGCCAGTGTCATCATTGTGGTCCGAAGACCAAGAGAGCAATCTGAACGAGCCTTGGATCCCATTGGCTCTCTTGAAGCGAGCACAGCCAGGCGACATGATCGTTGGCATTTACGGAACGCCACGAGCCATGATCTGTCTCCGACCATCGTCAAGTGGTCGTTTCTCGTTCGTCTGCCTCTACGATGCCGAACAGGGCCTATATGCTCTACTGGGCCCACAATGGTTCAGATTACGTGACTAGTGGACGAAAGAGATGGAAGCCGAGCGACTCGACTCCTCAGCTCGCGAGTCTTTCCGTTTTCATGTCCCGGAAGAAGAGGGGGCTGGAGCCGTGATGCTCCAATTACTGACGAAAGAGAATGCTGAGCTGTTCGTAGTCCATTGATCACCGAGGCTGGTTCAGGTGAGTCGGGTCGTTAGCAGCAGGTCCACCTCACGCATTTCACTTACTGCGAGCCAGCTAGCCATGCGTCTCCATGTGTTGGATCCATCCGATGTCTGCAGGAAGACTGGTGATAGCCCGGTGTAATGTCCGTCAGCGATGCGGTACGGCAAGTATTGCGGGGCAAAGGCTGCCTGTCTGCAGGACGAATCGGGAGCTTAAAGGAGGGCATGAAGGCCGACATCCTTGTGTCTGATGGCTCGAGTCCGGCTATGTTGGCTGCTGCCGTCGAGAACACCCTTGCTGCTATCGTGCTCCACAGTAGCTCGAGGGATATCGAGATGGTTCTGGTGGATGGCGTCGTTGGGAAGGGGGCAAGCTGATGTCGAGGTTGTAGCTGCGCTGGAGAAGTCCACGAGCGTCGTGAAGTCGGGCACAGCCTTGACCTGGAAGGACGTTGTCAAGGGGGTGTTGGGGAGTCGGCTGTCTATCAAGGAGAAGCTCAAGCCGATCCCTTCTGATGTTGGCGAGGAGTGGGCTATCAACATGTTCATGGATAGACAGACTCTGCTGGAGAGGTAGGCTGTCTCGGTTTCAAGTTGGTGTATCTGTCTTTGAGTTTATTGAGAGGGGCGCAATGAGAGAGTTTCTGTCATCGTTGACGACCTTGATTTCCCGTATCGGGGTAACCATTCATCCACTCAGAGCCGGCTACAGTGAGCTCTGATAACTACCAGCCACGTCGTATGAATTGCGGCCTCTCGTCTGGTACGTCTGGAACGACGGACGGACGGGAGAGTGCATAGTCGTCCTCTGCAGGCAGCCCGGTCTGAATAGCCCAAATGGCACATCATCACCCGGCAGGCCGGGTTGGCATCAGCAGTACTATGGTTGCCATCAAAAGAAGCTGATCAACGTACCAGTTGGACATATCCGTCGTTTTTGCAGTCGCTGACATGCTGTGAGGGTTTTCTACAGACTTCTAATCCTCCATCTCCCACCCTGAATGAGGACTGCTAGTTACCAGGGTCCATCTTACGGACAGCGAAAGAACGTGATCACAGAGCTCACGCGACTTTCATGTCAGTAAAAGGGCGGAAAACTTCCCGTCCACCGCTCGTCGTCGTCGTCGTAAGTGTCGTGGCTTGGCATGCTTGGCCCCCTGACCATGCGCGCATTTGACCTAGGTAAGCTGCGATGGTCGCAGTAGGGACGCGCTGGCGCGTCAGAAGCAAGCCTCTGTTGCTCGGATTGTATGCGACAGGTCACGCGGGGATACTTACCAATCACGGCCACGAGGAATCCCGTTGTTAGCCAGGGCCCAGGGTTACCTCCGAAAAACGCAAAGCCCTCTTTCCGAGACGCTCTTGCGGGGCGTTAGTTTTCGTGCCTTTTGGGCACGCGATCTACGCGTTATACTTTAAGTACTAATATTTACTAAAAATTAATACTGTAAATATTTCGACGCGACCGATAGAAAAAAAGTCTATAAACTTTATAAATAAAAATACCATATTATATATTAACTTATATATAAAAGAAAAGTTACGTACGTCATATAATTAATTATTAACCTTTGTGAGATTCTATAAGGGTCACAAGCCTTGGGGGTGTGAGCGGTCGCTGCAAATGTTGTTGTCATTCTCAAGTATGCTCGGCAGGGCTAATCTACAGCTAAATACCATATTGCACCGCCAGGGTGGATCTACTGTTCCCTTGACAGCCCCTTAGTGGGTACTGCACCTAAGGATCTGGGATCCAACATCTGACAGATAGCTTTATTTTCAAGTTACGATTAGTTTTTAATTTAATAATATATTAAAATTAATATATATATATTACGTTCTTAACTTATAACTACGCGTTTAATTACAGTTTTAAATTTTCTAACTAATTGTTTTAATTCATGTTAATCTTTTATAACTTATGAAGTTTAAATTAAAGTCGTATTTATTAGTCAATAATATTATTAATATGCGTATACATTACATAATATCCTTGTAGCTACAAATTTAATAGCAATTAACATATTATAACCCCTTGCAACATACTTAATACCCAGTCTACCAGGCGGCCTTTCGTCACTTTGTGTTGAATATACGGATGTTGATTGATTCTATTGATTGTTCTGCTCTGCGTGCAGAGATTGATCATCTGTCTTCTTGGTGGGTCAGATGCCCTGTGCGTCTCTGCCCCTGTCAGATTTGAGCCAATCGTCAGAGTGATGTGTGTGTGTGTATTCTCTCTGTCTAGAGTGTCCTTGTGGGACCGTGGCAGTTTTGTGTCAGAGGGGGCTGGATTGGGACGGAACAACTAGATTCTGTTTTCTACCTGTCAGGGTGCCTTTTAGGCGTACCTTTAATTCAACAGCCCCACTGGAGATCTTCCGGTGTCTATCTCCGGCTCCCATTCAACACCTTGACTATCTAATTAGTTCATTCACTTAAAAAAGTAGGTCCATCTTTCTGAACAACCCGATACCTCAGGCCGCCTAGCAGACTGGGCTTTTCCGAGGTAAGCCCAGGGCACATTATTAGTGCCAGGGCGGCGGGCCGGTACCTAGACGCTGAAGGAGCAATTGGCTGGGTCAGGGGGCCACGTTAGTGGTAAATCACTGGAATGACACCATGATCGGACGACCACTCCGCCAGCTGCAGGCCCGCCACTGTGGGGGAAGCTCGCAGCGCTCCCTCGGACCCTGACGCATCCCGTTGTTAGCGCCCACTACTGCCGTTGTAGCGTCGTAACGGCCATCCCCATCTTCGTTTTAACTTTAAACCAAACGAATGTCCTCGCACCCCCTTCGTGATCGCGGCCCGCCGTCCTGCTCGGTTACCTGCCGTCTTCTCTCCTTTTCGGGGTGACCACGTTATTCTTGTCTTCGCAACGTGTCCCTCGCTCGTGTCCCTCGCTCGTGTCTGGGTCCCTTCGTCTGTTCGCCTCTGTGTGAATCTGTACACGATATCCGCGCCCTTGGTTCGCGTCGACTGGCTGGCCCGAGACTGACGCACGACATTTACTGGCTTCCTGCCACTCGCTCACCATGGCTGTCGTCGATCCCGGCACCCGGAAGAAGGTACTGAAGGTCATTTTCGTATCTTTATTACTGGATCTGGTATGTGCCTAGCTTTTGAACCCCCGGGCTAGAAGACCCAAGCTCACAGGATGGTCTCTAGATATCCTTCACCTTCATCCTCCCTCTCTTTCCAAGCCTGCTCGAATTCTACCGGAACAGTGAAGTCGGCCCGGAATCGCAGTCGACGTTGCTTGCGCGTATTCTACGGGGACTCAACACGTACAAGTCTGCGTTCGCGAAGCCGATCGACTCGAGATATGACATCGTACTGCTGGGAGGGGCCCTAGGCAGTCTATTCTCCCTGCTCCAAGCCATTGCTTCTCCCGTCATTGGACGCCTGTCCGACAAATATGGCCGACGGACGGCGCTTCTTGCCAGCATGTCTGGAAACATCCTCTCGGTGCTTCTTTGGGTCGTGGCGGTCGACTTTAGGACATTCCTTGCGTCGCGCGTCGTTGGTGGGCTGTCTGAGGGCAATGTGCAGCTGGCGACAGCCATTGCGGCCGATATCTCTGATGAGAACAGTCGAGGATCAACAATGGCTCTGATAGGCGCATGCTTCTCCATCGCCTTTACTTTCGGTCCTGCTTTAGGCGCATACTTGAGCTCCATTGCGACTGTGGCCGCGAACCCATTCGCAACCGCCGCAGGCGTGTCCCTGCTCCTCATCGTGACGGAGACGGCTTATTTGTACTTCAAGCTCCCCGAGACACTACCAAGTATGACGGGCAAGGTGACAACAACCACGACCAAGGTTGTGACCAAACCAGCAGCTGTAACGCGCACCAACTCGCACACGCTGCTGAACGCGGTTCACTTCACCTTCCTCCTGTTCTTCTCGGGCATGGAGTTCTCTCTGCCGTTCATGACATACGACCTCTTCGGGTATTCTGCAGCGAACAATGGTCGGATTCTGGGCTTCATTGGCCTGATCTCCTCCATCCTTCAAGGTGGTGTGACCCGGCGCATGGCTCCTCTTCGGACCGTACAGCTCGGTGTCACGACCTGCTTGATCGCGTTCGTCATGCTCGGACGCCTGAACACCGTCGGCTCCTTGTACCTCGCCGCCACTTGTCTTGCGACGACTTCGGCTACGGTGGTCAGTGGGCTGAACACGCTCGGCAGTTTTGAGGCTAGCGCAGGGGAGCGAGGAGGTAAGCTTGGCATCTTGCGAAGCTGGGGCCAGTTGGGCCGTGGACTAGGACCAATTCTCTTCACAAGTGTATACTGGTGGGCTGGCAGAGAAGTCGCGTATGGTATGGGCTCCCTAGGCATCTTGGGTGTGGCGTTATTGGTGTTCGCCGGGTTAAAAGCACCGCCTGGGTCTTTGAAGAAGAAGGCGGTTTCGGAGAAAAAATAGTTGTAGTGTATAGTCCGGTTTGTCAGATATAGAGAGGCGAGTGAGGCAGCTACGGGTGCCTTTTGTACAACTTGTCAGGATCATAGATGTTTGCATAATGTAGCATATAGCAGAATGTTCAGAATCGGCAGAGTTCAATCCATGCTGTCTTCTCACGTCTCAAGGCGAGTCTGCTTGAGCTGCATTTTAGGGCTAGTTCACCCCAAAATGCTTACCAAGGTCAGTCGCTGGTGACGGCCCCCTTTTCCGACTGGAGGTCCTTGCGGGGTTAGAGCAGCTATGATAGGGGCAAGCAGTAAAGATTCAGGGGTCACTTCTGAGACTTGCACATTCCAATTCTAGACGCTACAAATATCAAGAGCCACACCGAAGCATGACATTGGAAAGAGGAGCGTCTCCAAAGTGTCACCACCAGCAGCACTGACCGATTCTCAGCGCCATCGCCGGCATGAAAGCGTGCCGCTGCCGGCGCGGAGCAACTTGTTCGTAATGCCGTCCTCGGCTCCGAAGTTCCCACTATTTTTTCTGAATGACGAACTATATCAATGAGGGGTCACCTTGCGGTCGAAGAGCTTAATGATAAAATAAATCATAAATCGTCACCTTTTGAGCAACGAACACATAGTAACCGATCAATCAATATCAGTACTGCTAGGAAATCTGCAACAATGTCGTCTTGCTGTGTAACCGGATTCAACTGGTGAGTTGCTGGTCACCAGACTCCAGATGACCTCATTGAGATACAGGCTGGGCAGCACTACAAGCGCATTGGCATTGCTAATCGTGTTTTCAACAGGGATGGAAAGCCATCAGGCAAAGAAGAGAAAATCGCTGGTCTCAACAGTGCGTACCTTACTTCATGGCGACACTTCAGCACATCAACTGACCACTGTAACTGTAGCCTACGTCGCCGGCAGCAACAGCGATGTTGCCATTCTCAGTGCGTATCTTGGACCTTGGTAGACCTCCACAGCCCAACATACTGATCAATGGCGGGCAGTGATCCACGATGTCTTCGGCTGGACATTCACCAACCTCCGACTCCTCGCCGACCACTTCGCCAAGGAGGTCAACGCAACCGTCTACCTCCCCGACTTCTTCGGCGGCGAAGTCATCGAGCCCGCCATGCTGTCCGACCCAGCGAAGCGCGGCCAGTTCGACCTCATGGCCTTCATCGGCCGCAACACCAAGGAGATCCGCTACCCCGAGATCGAGAAGACCGCAAGGGAGCTCAAAGAGAGCAAGGGGTACAAGAAGATCGGCACCATCGGATACTGCTACGGCGGCTGGGCCGTGTTCCAGCTCGGCGCCAAGGGGAAGGGCTTGGTGGACTGCATCAGTACGCCCCACCCTAGTCTGTTGACCAAGGAGGAGATCGATGCTGTTGGTGTGCCTGTGCAGATTCTGGGTACGTTGTGTTGTGTCTGCTTTCATATAGGTATCCGAGGAAGTGTAGTGCTTGCTAACAGTATTTCCCTCCAAAACAGCACCAGAGCACGATCCCCAGTACACCGCCGAGCTCAAGGAGCACAGCTTGAAGGTCATCCCGACGCTCGGTGTCGACTTCGACTACCAGTACTTCCCCGGCATCGCGCACGGCTTTGCTGCCAAGGGTGATAAGAACGACCCCAAGCAGAAGGCTGCGCTGGAGAGGGCCAAGAACTCTGCTGTCGCTTGGTTTTCGCAGTACTTGCACTTGAATGCGTAGAATGGTAGATATGTAGATGTTGAAAAGGGGGGGGGAATTGCTTACTGGCAATGTAATAGACTCGGGTTGAATATAGTAAATGCCTTAGATTTCCTGGCATTGCCATTACTCCTGGCGCTCCCACTTGTAGATGTGATTCAGAAAAATTATGGCATAAGACGAGACGACAGGTCAGCGCAGCGTGGAAACAAGGTTTTTTTGTTTTTCCCCCCCCCTAGACGCAATTGAAAGAACCATCTGAAGACGACAATATTGCACGGCTATCCAGCGTTACTTGGACCCTCTGGTGGTCATTGAACATGCGTCAAAGACATCGACTCTGGACTAGAGGCATTACCTTGGGATAGATACATTGAAAGCTTGTAGTTAGTTGCTCAGTCAGGGCATCGCGTTGAATGCTCATGGAGCTTACTGGCCGCGTCTAAGTTAGGGGGAGCCTGGATAAAGGACAACAGGAGAACCCTGCTGCCAAATATCGCGTGTCTACGGCTAAATGGAAGGTCACCCAGGGACCATGGCGAGCATGGTAGGGGATAGATCAGACTTTATTAGTAAGCGCCCTGCGGATGGGAATTAATGAGCTTCTTGCAGGCTTTCCAATGCTACGGATCTGCAGACCAAGATGAACCATGTAAGGACAGTTAATGACAATATCCAGCAGTTCACCGACAGACGACCTTGCCACGGTCTCAAGTCGGCCGACGACCGAGACCTGATACTTGGTGAGCGAGCACGGTACGGTCTTTGTACCGAGACGTATATTTCGGCACCACTAACACGTCCCAGCTGAAACTGGAATGAATTACTTGGTCTGGACGAAGAGATGGATGCTACCCTAGGCGGAGCAGTCCAACTCCTACCTAGACAAGACGCTCCTATACGTCGACCGTCATCAAGAGCTCTTCTACCACTAGGCATAGTCGACCAAGGTATTTCATCCTGTCTTGATTCGTCCCGTCCTTACCTCGGCGATTAATATATAGATTGAATTATAAAATGTAACAATATGAATTCTGTTAAAGATATGCTAACAAAGGTCAAGTACTTCACAGTACAATTCGATCGGAGCATACATCTGGCTCGGAGGACTTGCCAATCCAGCCAGCCTTGTAAAGTCAGCAAGCCTTGCAACCCTTATACAGGCCATGCAGCCCTTACCCAAAGCAGGTTGTGAAGCCCCTAGGAGTCCCACTAAGATATCTAACAAATCCGCCGCCGTAGACGTCACTGGAAGGTCGCACATAGTATACACTACTACTACATGTCCCCTTCTGTCCACGGCGTTTGAAAGCATCCTCTTAACGACGCCTCGGGAATGGAGAGCCGGGAGAAAGACGATGCATGGGCGGCTTGTCGCTGGTACCGCGAGGGGTGGGACAAGGTACTACATGTCACCTGGAGGACGGGAGGACCTGGGGAAAGGATAGACCAACAACCCAAGAGCCACTCTCGGCGAGGTCCATTGCACTCACTGATATGGCGACTCGGGTCCGCAAGTTCATCCTTATTCGCCTGCGCGTGTGCGATAGAACACCAGCGAGTCAAGTTGCTATGGCCGCGTTCACTCCGTGGTCTGCGCGAGTATTTTCCGTACCGAGTCCGCCTTCATGGCTGTAGGGGTGGCTGTAGGGTGTGTAGCCAGATCCGGAAGTCACGCGCATACTCATTCGTAATTTGCATCCTGGACGAGTCGTCTATCATCCGTCGCGCGAGACACAAGTATTGGAACCCGGTGGCTAGGCCCCCTGGCGGATAGGGAATGGGAGCCTCCGTGCACTCCAGATAGCGACGGCTGTCGTGCCCGTCAGCGACTTCCCGCCACCGCCTTTCGCTCTGCGCGCTGAACTTGGCCTCGAAGTTGCTCAGCAGCAAGATTCCCGGCCTCGCCTCTCGCCGGTCGTACCGGAAGATGCACAGGCGGTGTTTCCGAATGTCCCACAGCTCCATGATTACGAGCTGCGGCATCCGCTGGGCGGCCCCGGCTGCAGCCTGATTCATCACGTCGTAACTCTGATTTCGGTTTTGTCAGGCAGTGCGCGGTTAGGGACAGGTACTTGAGATCCTCCCAGTGCAAGCATTTCATCCGCAGCGGATCTTGCCCGGGCATGAACGCGAAGAAGAAGTCCCTTGCGTTGACGTTGTTTGATGCGTACATCTCTTCGAGTTAGAGACTAGATTGGGCCAGAGCTTGGCCCAGGTAGGGGCTGCGCCTCGTCTCGATGTGGTTGTGCAGCACCGGGTCGGAATCTTCGAACATCGAGACTATTTTCAAGCTTGCCTTGTATCTAAGCTTGGCGACGAGCAGGTGATAGTGTTCATTGTCACGTATTCTCCGCGCAAGTTGGTCTCTCTTGTCGAGTCCGCGCAACGGCTCGTATGAGAAGATCTCGAGATGGGTCAAAGCATCGATGATGGGCATCAACGCTGAATGGACAGAAAAGGCTCGGCAGAACTGCCTTCGGATCATCAACTGGTGAACGAGGCTGTTTTTAGGCAGTCCTGGTTCCATTTTTCGCGCTGACAATGCACTCAAGTTGAACTTAAGGCCGCAAGTAGGCCCAAAGAGTCTCTCTTTGGCGCCCTCTGACGGCCGGAATACCGTTGGTCCCTTGAACCAACCATGGGGCAGGTCTCGATGGAACTTGATACGATTTAGTCGGGTCCGCCCCAGAGCCTTGTCGTGCAGCCGGCTCCTCAGGTCCTTGCAGAAGTGCTCTGCGTCGCTCGGCGAATGCACGCTCAGCTCCAGCGTCATCTGCTTGCTGCGCACCCCTAAGTTGCGGTCTTCCTCGCAAGTCGACAGGATGGCGAAGAAATCCCACCGCGTTGGTGAAGATAATGTTGTGGGCCCTTATCTCTCCGGCCGACTCGGCAAACTTGCAGCGGTCGCAGCCGTACTCGGGCAGCTCGACATGCAGCCAGATCCAGTGCAGCATCGCACGCCACCGGCCCTGCATGATTCTGCCGAACTCTGCCACGTCGGACTGGTACAGCGTGAGCGCGTTGAAGTGGATTGGCTCGAAATAATCCTGCCATTCGCGGCACACGGACGCGTAGGCTGCCTGGTTGCGGTTCCGCGCCTGTGTCGTGACCATGTCTCTCTCGCGATCCGGTCCCGCGACGACTTCCAGAATGATTAGTCTTATCTCTGGGGGCAATCGCTGCCAGGAGATGGCCCGTTGTCGGCGGGTCAGGACGGGCATCTTGAACGGTGGCAGATGTCTGTGTGTGAGGTTTGCGAGAAGTGAGGGTGGAGAGCAAGCAAAGAAGGGCAAAGTTTGGGAAAGTGCCTGTTGATTCAACTTCTGCACCTGATGCGGCTTCTTAAGCCATCGGAGATACCCAGGGGGTCAATTTCTGCCATCTTGTCTGCTCTTGAACTCTAATCATCATTCCTGATACCAAAGCTTGGGCAACTAGTAGGTTGAGGAAGCCAAGTGGCGTTCGCACTCTCATTGTCAACCAAAATGCACCAAACCTTGATCGCTGTGGAGTTCGTGAGTGGCCACGACGGGAGCCTTGGCCTATAAGTGGCTGTTCAGGCACTATGGCCTCTTCCCACCGTACCAGGTGAGGTATGGTATGGTGAACATGGCGTTTACCACGCAGGTGGTGGTGCGGAGTTGCTTGAAGATAACTTTCGGGCCTGGTTGTCTGTCAGCAGTGAAACCTCAATTCGTTCCTTTCTTCATGTAATATGAAGATGCTGGGAACTCTAGACCATAGCATGATTCCGAGGGCCCCAAAGACAAAGCGACACTTGATGATTGTCATTTGTTCCAAATTCCGTTCTGACCGGCGACACTCTGCGATTCAGGCTTGCAAACGCGGAGTGTCAGGCGGAGTATCAAGAGGCACCATCGCGTGAATCAATACAAACACCCGACCTCAACTTTTGACCGAGACTCCCAGAGGATCACTCAAACGATGTCTTGGTGGAAGGAAGTTGCAAAACCTTTACAGGCTTAGTCACACGTGATGACTTCAGCGCTTGAGCCTCATGGAGGTCTGACACACCGTGACGTATCGCCAGTATCTTCTACAGTGCGTTCCGCGTCGCGTCGCTCACGTTTCACAATAATCATCGCAAAGTAGGGCAGTCAAGGAGAGGTTACTTGAGAGTGCCCAAGCTAAGCTGGATGTCCACGCTGTGCTGAATCCTGCGCCTCATTTAGCAGTACCTGTGACGAACGCCGCACCTGTTGCCGAACAACCATCCATCGCTCCTGCCACCACCGCCGCCAGCGCTCCGAGACCCTCGAGCAAGACGCGCAAGGCGCACACCTCCCTGGAGGAGGATATCGCTGCTTACAAGCAGGATCTGAACGGTGTCGTTAGCCAGCTCGCTTACCAGGACCTGCCCATGCCCAGTTGCAATGTCGTGCGCGGACGCATCAACAAGCTGCTTGACGCCGGCATCATGACGAATACCGACTTTTGCAGGGCCATCGGCAGCAGCAACACCAACAGGCTGACCAACTTTCTGAGCAAGACCGGAGCGAACGGGTTAGGCAGTTCTGTCTATCTCAACGCCTGTGCCTGATTCACGCAACGAGAGATTCTCGGCATCAAGATGCCAGACGTTAAGAAGAGACAGAAGATGGAAGCTGATGCTGCGGCTGCTGCTCCTGATGCCGGCGCTGGCGCTGGTTCTTCGTCGAAACCTAAATCGTTGCCGAAGGGTGCGGCCGACCTGCCAGATACCAGCGCCATTCGGTTGCCCGGGGAAGAGACGAACCAGGTTCCCGTATATGACAGCTGCGACGAGATCCGCAAGAAGATCAACGCACACCTCAAGACACCGGGCTTGACGCAGGCCCAGTTCTGCAGAGACATCCATGCGCAGCTCAACCAGGCCAAGTCCAAGGGCATCCAGTCGAAGCAGCTCGCCGACTTCCGAAGCAAGAAGGGTCCCAATGCAGGTGCCAAGAGTGTTGTCTTCTACTCCGCGTACGTCTACTTCGAGAAGCTCCGCATTGCCCAGAAAAAGCCCAAGAGCAGCCACCGCGAGAAGATGGAGGAGGTTTGGGGCGCGGCCGGAATCGACCGTGAGCACGATCATACGGCCTTGTAAGAGCACCCATCTAGATTCGCCCGAATGCTGCTAATAGTTCATAGGGTGACGGTCATGGCCGGCGAGATTCCATACTCTGACCAGTATGGCCAACTTCGCGTCGATAACCGTCGTTTCTAAGGGTGTAGCATGACTCGGCACGGAATGTGGTGGCTAGAAGTGAGCGGGTGACTGTAAGGACTTCACATGGCGTCCAATATACTTACCTACAGATGGACTACCAAGCCCCAAATGGCCATTGGTGCAAGGTATTGTTCACCCGGGCAGACCAAGAGCAGAATACCATATCTCACTCATGATATAGCGTGTATCCTGTTTTGCGAATTGACACTATACTATTCTCAAGGTATCACGCAGTTCACAAGCGAACCCTCATCTGGGCCATACCAACCACTCTGAGCTTACCTATCCATCCCCACACCTAATCGATGCAATTGGTGTCGAGGAAAGGGGCATGATCGTCCGCACTAGCCACAGCTCTCGTCGCCCTTGAGCTCCTCCTTGACGCAGAACAGGTAGCCGTTCCAGTTTCCGATAATCATGTCTAGGTTTAGGTTTTAGTGCGTTAGTAAGACACAAATTCGGTTTCCACATCCTTCCTTCCACCTGCCAACCTCTAACTACTAGGCCAGAGGCGCTTCAAAGGGGGTTACGAATGAATGCGCAGGGTCAGGTAGAACTCACCAAGTTGCGCAGAGCGTTGTAGGTAGCGCCCATTCGGCTGATTGCAGTTGCACTGGATCATGGTGCTCTTGGAGCGACGAGGACGCAGCTGTTGCAGTAGTCGCTGAATTGGCCCATTTCCTGCTGGACGAGCTGACCCATATAGACGCCCAAGCAGCTGCGAAGACAGAGACGGTGGATCAGTGCGAGTCGGACTGTTGTTGTTTGTGGGCACAACCAACCAGGGAGGGATAGGAAAGGAAAGAAAAGGAAGAAGGGGTAAGGGGAGGGGGTAAACTCAACTGGTTCAGGTTGATCCTCGTGCACCGACGCTCGTGGTTGTGCTGGGTCTCGCAGTCCGCCTTCAGGTACCATACCGGGTGCGCCGAGACTAGCGTCGCCGTGTGGCAGGACGCGCTGAAGTACTTGTCTTCGATTTTGCCTTTCACCATGAATGGCGCGAGGGTGCTGCTGTTGGCGGCTTTGGGCTGTTGCTGGGAGACGGTCAGGTTCGTGGTGGGGGCTGCGCTGGAAGGGGAGGCGAGGGTGGCGAGGGCCAGAGAGGGAGAAGGAGCATGGTGAGAGGGAACATCTTCGTGGCGTGGAAAGGCTGTAGGTACGGGGCAAGGGCGTCGATGTGTAGGTTGGCTCGGCAGGTTGGTCGGTGTGGGAATGAAGCTGGATGTCGAGCGTAGGGATTTATAGTATTTGAAGCCGAGACTTCTATGATTGCTCACTGTAAGTGCTGTTCGTCAGAGAATGGCCCGAAACACCCATTGCGGCTCTCGGGTTTCATAAGGGGTTCTTGGTGAATGCTCGACTACCATCCTTCGTGACACAGGACCAGTCACGATGTCACAGAAAGGATATAAGGGTGTTTTCACACGCTGTTCTGTGTTAAATCAGCCTCTGACTCCGTATCCGCTTCATCTTTTAGCTGTTGCGAACACAGTATGGAGTCTTCAAGAGCAATTGCGACAACTAAATGCTAATGAAAGATCTTGTAATCCATCCTTCCACTCCCTAATAGGTAGATACATGAAAGTGTGTGTCTTCCACTATGGTTCCTCGTTGCCAGCTGTGACTTGGTGGTGTCTGCTGGTGGAAACCTCTTGCTTACGAGTCACGATACGGTCCGAATCTACTGCATCGTTGCGCATTTCCACAAGGGGTCTAGAGTAAAATCGCGGAGCCACCCTATCAAATACTTGGTAGTGGCAATAACATAGCGGCCTGCCCTGACCGTAGTATCAACGGACCATTATTGCCAGAACACGCGCTCGCCAGCTCTCTGCAACCGTGACTCTGTGCGGTACTCGGCGTTCTCCTTGTGGTCATTCAGACACAACCGATAGATAGCAAAGCTAGATGGCTGAGCCGATCCATATAAGTTAGTAGCTGGCTGGGCGTTCTCACAGGCTAACTGGAGAAGTATCAGACCAAGCAGCACCTGCAAGCTTAACAGTTCCTCGATAGTTACCGCTTATGAGGTGATTTTATGACGTTTTCGATATTCTGCATGCACCTTTTTACCTGGGATTTTGATTTTCCTGGCCAATTTTATAATGATAGCACCCGTTCATATGCATCACAAAGCAAACAATGGCAGGAGAAAACATCGGCTCTACATCTGTGACTGGCACAAGAGCGCCAGGCCACTTTCCAGGTATGCGGTTAATAGATGGCAGGATATGCCATTACTGTACCGAATACCAAGACGAAAAGAATTTAGATAGTTTTGTATCGACGCTGGCAGCAGCATCATTGACTCGAATACCCCAACCCCCTGACATATCCCCTCAACCCTCCGCCTCTTCAAGAACAAGCAAAAGAAAGCGACACATACGGCACATCCAGACAAGTATTCTCCGGGATCACCGTCGACGCCCCCCGACAGCCAGCCTCGGCCCAGGACCGCACCTGTTGGCAAATTAGAGTTAGTAATTACCCCTTTGAGATGTTTTGCCGAGAAAAATGGAGTCCTACGTGTCTCGGGAGCAAAGGCTCTTGACACAGGCTAGAAGAGGAAATTCGCGCCTAGGACATGATCACATGGGGTGATAAGAGACTCGAAAAATGTACATACGTTGCACCTCAGCGTGCCCTCGTACAGCCATGCGACCGAATATGCCGGGTTGCGCGGGGTCAGGCAGTACGCCCAGTCTAAACGCACCCAGTCGGCGGTAACTACGTCATTGCAGCCGGGGGTGCCGTAGGTGCCTACTTGGACTGTGTCGACGTCGATGTTGCCGGTATTATTGTTAGGGAAGGTGATGATTTCGGGGAGGAGGAGGTTGGCGGTGGGGTTGGCTGGCGTTGCTTGGGTGGTGAGGGCGAAGCCGGCGAGGCTGGCGAGGAACGTGGCTGCCGCAAGGCGGAAAGAAGCCGACATAGTGACCTTCGGGGATAATTCTCGGGTGTAGAATGAGGGTTTCGGGCGGTTTCGTGTGGTTCTCGTGTGTATGAGGTTTGTGCTTGGTAGGCTCTTGGTCCGGGACTCCCTATAAAGCTAAGAAGGGTACCTCTCAGCGTAGCGAGGGTGGTGGTGGTGGGTAAGCAACTTGGCTGCAAGAAAGATAAGAGGTGATCTTGACGAGCGAAAGAATTTGGCTCTCCTGAGCACCTTTATAATGATACCACCTGTTCATGTGAATCACAGAGCAAGCAAGGGCAGAGGCAAATAAGTCACTTAGCGCTTCTACATATGTCATTGTCGCCAGTACATCCACCGCGCGCCATCCCAGATGTGCGGTCAACACAGACCTCGAAATTTCCCTCATTGGGTAGGACGAGGGAAATGTAAATTCGTACCGAAGCTGGCAGCGGTTTCATTGGCTACACGATCGCGAAGGGGCTGAGCAAAGGCGAATGCATCTGTTTTCTCTTGTCAACATTCGACATCGGTCTCAGAAATGATCACAAGCTATTCGAAGCGGTGATGAATGCAATGGAACCTTTTGGAATATCCTAAATGGCTCGCGCTCGTATTAATACACCGCCATTCGTACACCTGTGCCCCCTTAGTAGGAGCAAAATGAGCTGACAGTCGGCACGGGATCGCACTCCTTGAACATTGGTGTAAGTACATCATCATTACTCATTCAACCTTGGCATCCCGACATCTATCGCTTGCTCCCTAGAAGGGCCGAGCAGATCTCCGACATCGCAGTTGGTGTTACCTCACAAGCCGCCGTGCAGACGTCTGAGTGAGATACCAAGACCCCTGTCCAGAATTCTGTGGTAAGCATCACAGAACAAGGTGGAAGTGTAATAAACCACTGCTCAAGATTAGGCCATCGTGTTTGTTCGAGATGTAGTAAAGAGCCGCTGAATCTTGTTCAGATCGGGGTGTATGTGGAGACCCGTAGGGCTGACTGTCTGAGCTTCCCTCCTGTCAAGGAAAGCAGTCGGCGAGTGGTGGTTTTGGTTCGTCGGACTCCTCGATCTGACTCTCGCCCGGACATTGGGTATTGGGTATTGATCAAACAGTAAATGCAGACCGGGTGACCGACACGTCGGTGGTAACGGCCACACCGCTGTAAGGATACGCCGCAGTATCCGCGTCGGCCGCCGTCGAGGTCGTGGTAGTCGGGCTGGACTTTCCAATGTAGGACACTAGTTCCATTTCGTCGTCCGTTTTGTGGTCTGTAGGGTAAGACCGGTCTGCGAGTTTTCGGCTGCCAGAAGCGTGACCAATCGAGCCTGTTTGAACGTAGCCGTTGGTATTGCGAGTCTTGGCCGTGTTCATTGGACTGTTGGCTCCTACGATGAGATTCTTGAGGCCCGGCAGGGAGACGACGATGATGCCGGTGCACATCTCGGCCGTGCACAGGGCATCTGGGTGGTGCCACGTCAGTATATGGTGCTGTAGTAACGGAGGGTGGAGCGATGGGGAAGACATACTGCCACTCGCGTCGTCGAGATCGTAGTCGGTGCAGTATGCGATGAAGCGGGCGGCACTCATGATCATCGTTATGGCGCCCAGGGAGAAGATACCGGCAAGACCAATCTTCTGCCGGCGACGAAGCATCAAGCAGTTGAGAATGAAGAAGGGGAGACCGAAGACTAGACCACGGCCAGTTAGCTAGATGAACTCGGCGGCGAACGGCGGTCGGTAAGCAGAGATAGGGTGCCATACGTAGCAAATCGGCGGATATGTTCAGTGTCCAGTTGATTATCAAGCTGTTGAAGTTATTCCACAGAGAATCCATCTGGTTTTCAAGAGACCTGACGACGCACGGGCGTTAGAGGTGGTGACGACGAGGAATAGGTAGTCGTCGTAGATCTTACCAATTATCGGAGATGGGACTGCATATCAGCGTATCCGTCAAAAGGGTTGCCAGAAAGGCAGCAGTGACAAACGCCGAGACAACATATAGCGCGATTCTCAGGCGCTTGAAGCCTCCTGGGACGAGCCACCAGTAGAACGTTACGATTGAAGCCTTGGCCCAGAACAAGCCGATGTCGAAGAAGTAGCACCCGATGAAGACGGTCTGGAGAAGACGTATGGTCAGCCTCGTCCGTGGTGCAGGGGAGATCTGGGGATGTCATCACGGAAACGCACCTTGAGGTATGCGACCGATTCAGTGGCTCCATCTTCAGTAAGGGGGTAAGTGAAGGCGAGGTTCAGGGCGATGGTGGAGCAGATGAACCACCCCAACGTACAGAGCCATCCTGCCCATGTGCAGTAATCGGAGACAGTCAGGCCGCGACGTTCGATACGAAACCGGACATAGGTTCTCAGAAGGGTCACCGAGAGTGCTAGAAAAAGCAGCACTGCTTGGAGGATCTGTATAGCAACTCATTAGCCAAGTTCGATGCTGGAAGGTGTATAAGACACGTACGATCGACGAGATAATCTCCATCCTGCTTCCGGCGACGACTGTCAGCACAACGCGAATCTCGAACGTCCTACACACGATCCTTCGCCCGCAGCGCTCAAGGCGGGATGATCCCGAATAATATACCGGTAGGCCTCTCCCATGGACCAGAGACCCAGAGCAGAGCTAATCCAGAGCTGAGCGGAGGCTGAACCTGACTACTGACTAGAGCGGCGGGTCTGAACCATGGATAGCGCCGCTATCAAGAGTCTTGTAGATCCATCGTCGGGCATGTTGGCGTAGCGGGAGAGATCGGACAATGTCTCCCGACGTCCTCGTCGGCGAAGAATTGAGCCTACGGGGAGGACACACACCAGTGCCGACTCTGCCAAGGGGACACATATATTGCCGCATAGGCTTTGGCGCTACTCGCGACAAGCATTATCAGAAGCACAGAAAGAAAGCTTGTAATATGAAGCCGCGCCGTACGAATATCATTGTTAGGATGGCATAGCTTCCGTGGTTGATTCGCGATGATCTCCCAAACGGTTCGACGCGACCCGCCGAGATCGCCGAATCTACCAAGCCATCTAGAATTAGGAGTGACATTGGTAGATCGTTGACGCAAAGCCCTGACCATAAAAGTTCCCAGTGCTAGCGGCTGCTGCTCGCGCGCGGGGCATATGTAGTCCCAACGACTGTCTAGACCTCGCCGGCGTCTTCCATACCGCCGGGTCTAGTCAGGAGCGGGAGGCGCCCGAGCCAATGAGAAATAGGGGTAAGAGTTCTTCACCACGTGGCCCCCACTCCCGAAATAGTAGTCCGGCTTACTAAACCTTTCAAATCCGGCTGGTGGTCGACACTTAGGCCGTTACCCGCCGCATGGCTTCCGGTTACTAGATGAAAACATGGCACTGGGGGTGCGTGCTCGGCCGAGCCTCATTAGGCTCAGAGACTTGCTATGATGGCATGTGTCTGCTAATTTATTCTAGCACACTTAGCCTCCTCTAGACGGCCAATCGAAAACCTGCTGGCCATACATGTGCGGTTCATTCACAATCACATATATACTAAGGTGCTTAATCCCGACACACACCGTGACAACAGCAGGTCTCTCGAAAGTTCCATGACATGCGCGACGGAGACTTGCGGGGGTTAAAACTTGACCCTAAGATGAACGCACTTATGGTCACCAAATACGCTGGTTTGGCAAAGGAATGAGACCTATAGAATTTGCCGGCTGATATCTATTAGCTGGGTGGATTTGTATGAGTCGAGTTGGTTGATAAGCCAAAATCTACCAAGTTACGGACTACTAGTTTCGAGTCTCAAGAAATAAATCGTTGGTTGTAGCATGCACGACATGAACCCGGAGCTCATGGGAGGATATTCAGCATAATGGCACGGTGACTGTAGCATGAAGGTATGTGGTGGTTCAGCAAGAAAGGGGATCTTACGATATATTACAAACCTATACTTTAGTACAGTAGATTGGGGTTCGACTTACGACTGGCTAGATCCTCCACGCAAATACTGCCGATTAGCTTTGTGCTAGGCTTCCTTGTCAGAATACTAGGGCTCCGGACGGCCAAGCTCCGTCACCATGTACAATTCGGGCTGACCTATGGGTATCGGATCGGTTGGTCCGTCATATCCCGCAGAAATGAAAACGATGCGCTTGATGAACGCGTGGCCCGTCTCTTCCTTATACAGTCGGAGTAGGGTCAGTAGACTGCGCGTAAAGGGGTTCCCCTTGGCCAGCTCTTCAAAATTCGGCTCCCCCGGCTTGATCTCGACAAAGTCCTCAGACAAGAAGGTCATTCCGGCGTCTTCGAATGCTTTCTTGATGCTGTGGTAGGCAGCTGTGCTTTTGACCAATGACACTCCGACGAGCCGAAGCGTCTTCAGGTCGCCCCCTGCGGCTAGGTAGTTGTCGACTACCATATCATGGAGCCTCATCTCAGTAAGGCGAATGTAGTCGGGCTCACCGGGCACGCCTTCTTCAAGGCCTACTGTGTCCGTGACGTACGCGCACTGCGACAGGGAGGTGAAATATATGTTCAAGCAATACTTGACCAAGGTTTGGAAGCGGGGATTCATGTGCATCACCTCGTTAGCTTGCCATTCGGGGGGTCCGGAGCTGTCAAGTAGATATGGTCCCATGAAATCGTTTATTTCCATGTTTTCTGAAAGTCGGCGGACATGGCTGAAGTCTTCGACAAACATGCGGCGGCTTTTGCCAGTCTCTTTCTTGACTTCACCACTAGGTTCTCTGGACAGGGGCGGACTGGGATACGCATGATCCCGCTCCCGCTTTGCGTCCTTTCGAGGAGAAGATTGGGGAGATCTGGAAGACTTGTCAACCACAGAGTTCTTCACGTACCATGCATTCGATCCAAGGATTTCACCTTGTCTCCCTACGTTCACCATCTGGTACTCCTCTAGCATCTTTCGCGATCGGACAGAGTCACGATCCACCTTCCTTTGCTCTTCTTCTGACCTGCTTTCTGCTTCGCTCCTCTGGGGCCTCATGCCGAGCACCGCAGGGCGAGCTATATCCGCGACGATCTCGCGAAAGGGGAAGTCTGGGTTATGACAGAAGACGAATGAGTTATCGTCGATGAGGGTGAACCCTTTGGCGCCGTAGCAATGAATCACTTTGAAGCCGGCTACGCCGAGGACCTGCCTGCAGTCAGAGCGATAAGCGGGATCCTGAAGGTAGACGGTGATATCCTTTTTAGGATTCATCTCTCGTATCGTTGTGGCGATGACCCTCGCGGCAGCGTGCTCGTTGCTGCGACTCTCATGCTCCCGGGCAGAGCTGTAGGAAAGAGGTCCGAGGCCAAAGGCAAAAATCTTATCCATGTTATTCCCCCTGAGGTTATCTTGGATCATCTGGACCATTGCCTGACCCTCTTCGGATTCTGCGTACCTGTCCAGTCCTGCTCGGAGGCTGATCCTGATGTCTTCCAAAGAGCGAGGTACCCCGTAGTGCGCCCTCATGGTCCTGAGTTCGAGAGATTGATAGTCATCGGGCTTACCGAACTTCTTATATGCTTCCCAGAAGTATTCGCTCATAAATAGAACCGAGTTGTGCATAGGGTCCGGTTCGGAAGCAGGTAAGTCAGCTAGCCCATTGCCATGACAAGTGTTGGAGAATGCTTTGACCAACCCAAGCTCGTTTTGGATGGTGATGGGATCACCGTCCTTCTCGAGTTCGTTCTCGAACTCGGTCAGGCGTTCTTTAGTGAACAAGGGAGGATATGTGGTGGGTGTGCTTAAAGAGGCCATGGTGAACTTGCGTTGTTACGAGAACGGGGTTGGTTTTGAGGTTGTTGGATTGCCGGAATCAGTTAACCTCAAAGCGATGATATTTTCGAAATACGTCTACTCCCTCTGCACATGTTAGACTGTATATGTATAAAGTGAAACACTCTTTATCACCTTGAACCTATGGATTATGACAAAGGAATTGTTTGAATTACACAATGCCTTAGTTGCCCAGTGATAGAATGCGAACGTCCCCTTGATGTAGCTGAGTGGGATCAAAGACAAGAAAGCCAAGATCTTGAAAGGACAGCACAAGACCCAGACTAAGTCACTATTTCAAGACTTGCTGACTGCAATCAACCTTAGATGGCTACCACTTCCTGCACAATGTGATAAGGTAAGAGAATACCGATACGTTATCGATTTACAACTCTTGAATCGCCTGTGCCTCGAAGAGCGCAGCCTCTCTACTCCAAAAATAACCCATATCGTGACTGAAGGATGTATGCCTCGAAGAAGCCCGAAAGTCAATGAGCAGGAACGTGCTGAATAGGTACCGGAGCGTAGCCTACTATCATCAGTCCCCATGGCCAGAGTATCACTCATAGTAGTATGTCGTGATAATGACTGCGATGGCGGAGATAAGTCTGACAATGAACTTGACGTTTGGATGTTGGAGTTGACGTCTACTTGATTATGAAAAAGAAAGCTTGCCTCCATGGTACGGGTGGCTTGCGTCAGCCACGACCGGATAAGCCGAGATGCTACAATGTGTCTTCTTTGCGGATTACCTCGAACAAAGAAAGAACATGAAGAAAGACTTGCTGACTCGGAAGTACTTATGTGAGAAATGCAGCGGGTTAGAAGGCCACTAGAACAATGCGCGACGTAACCAGAGTAAGGTATTTGTGTGATGATGAGTACAACCACTGGAGAGGGCGACTGCCCACGATCTAATTCATGAAGTGTATGATGAAAACAGACACCGACTCCACAAATATGTTTAGAGGTATATACTCGGTTATGAGTCTTGAAGCGGTCTGGGAATCTGGATTACACCAAGGAGGGATCAGCACTTACGTACGAGCATAAATTAGTAGGAGCAGCAAATCGCTCAAGCTCATTTGGGAGCCAAAGCGAAGGGGGAACTACGAAAACGAAGAAACAATGTTATATAATAGTGTCTAGACGGATACAATGCCTTCGAGGACGTATTCATGGAATCCCGATCTGGCTCGGAAAAATACTGGGATCGGATGACTTGCCGCCGCTCATCTCTGCAGTATCTCAATGGCAAGCGTATAAGCGTTGTCCTTCGCTTGCCCCTGAACAGTACCCTGTTTCGCAGTCTTGTCCCACCCGTGCCCACACTGCTCCATTCTCCGAACGACTACGTTCCTGCCGCCAGCAGCGTCGACCTTTGCCGCTAGTGTTTCCGCCTCGAAGCACAGGTTGTCCTGCGCTGCTGTGACTACAAGTACATTCTGCGGGAACTTGTCCATTGGCGCGAACCCGGGCGATGCTAGCGGTTGTTTGCGGTCAGTCCCTGGTGGCAGATAGCACGCATCGAACAGGCGCGATATTGCGGGCGGGATCACTTTTCCAGTGGTGTCGGGCGTCTTGCGTTCGGCCGGATCTTGGGCCTTATTCGTGGACGGATAGAAGGTGAGAACAGAGCGGAATGTGTCTTTCGCGAAGACGACCCCGGACGCAGCCAGTGCCAGGTTGCCGCCAGCGCTGAAGCCCGAAATGGCAAATTGACGGGCGTCGTAGTCATCACCGTGCTTGAGGATCCATTGCACGGCATCCTCGACGTCGTGCAAGGCGGCGGGGAATGGATTCTCAGGTGCCAGCCGATATTGGAGGTCGACCACAGTGTAATTCGTCTCGCGTGCGACACGACGACAGAACTCGTCGTCGCTGCCATGAGCCGGCAAGATGAAGCCGCTGCCGTGCAGGTTTAGGAGAACAGGACCGGGCCTTTTTGATGTGACGGCAGGTTTGTAGATGTGCGCCTTGATGTTTCGGCCTCTGTCCCGACTTGGGAAGATTACGACATCGTCGGGAGAGGGTTTCGGAAGGCCGGCTACAAGGCGTGCGAGAAGGCGTAGAAGGCGCGCGATGGACACGAGATACAGATATCTCAGAAAGGCCATCACGGTGCCCTGACCAGTGTTGCTGCTTTGCGCCATGGTCGATCTTGGACGTTGTGAAATGGTCCTGCGACACTCGTAGTAGACTTTCTTGTTTTTTTACCGTTTGAAGTGGGCGAGAGAGTTGCCGCATTTCTAAGGTTATTTTTGAGGTCATCTCTGAGGTCATCTCTTCCGAGCTTACCATGCACAATTCCTTATGCAAACTTTGTGCAACAAGGAGTTCACACTCCCGAACTCCGCCGAAGCGGCATGAACGCCGTCGTCCTAGACGTAGCTGCATCGAGCGACTGTCATTCACTCCCGTACCCTGGAGATCTTCGACACGCTTGGTCTTACAGACGAAGCGAAATCCTCGAGCGCGGCCGGAAACTCACAAGCTGGAATGTGCGGGATAAGAAGACGGTGTTCGCGGACATTCATCGCGCTGAGATAGAGGCCACTGATTTCATACCGAGTCCACGATTTATCTTGGCATTGTTGCAGCAGGTTGGACTCTGGAGATGATACTTCCAATAGCCACGAATTCGGAATTCATGCGTGATACTCAAGCGACGTGACTCGGCAGTTCTCGACTCTACAAGGTGAGTGACGGCATAAAGCTTGTTACGAACAGTTCTGCCAATCTTTCCACACCTCGGCAAATGAACATAGCACCCACTAAGGTCCCACGGCGAGGCTCAGTCAACCGCATATATCTCCCGCACGAGGGATGTCAATCCAGAGCTCTGCGCGACCTTGAGCGCGACGCGAACAAACCAATTAGACAGGCCGGTCATCCAATCATAGGCGCTCTCGAGTCTCCGGAGTAAGACCATGACCCAGGAGATGAACACGACAAACGCCGCGGGACGACCCCCGCTCATGGCAGGCAGAAGCTCTTCTGCGACGACAGGGGAGCGGAGCCAGCCCTCTACGGCGTTCCAGCTGGCCCAGCCGAACTCGTCTTCTTTCGCTGCGTACGCGTGCGACGCCGCACGTACTAGCGAGTTCATAGCACGGCGTATCATGGGGACCTCACGCTCTGGCAGGAACCCAAGATTCTCCATCTTGGGTTCAAGCGTAGTGAGGACCAGCCACTTGTCGGCGGGTATGCAGCCCTGGTCCAAAACTGCCGCGGTCGTATCGTCGCTGTCTTCGATCTGTCTGAGCCCCAGTATGACCTGTTCGGGCAGACGGAAAGGCGAGCCGGGGGGTAGGATGGGCTGCAGCTGGATCATGAGGTCGGTGCAGCCGCGGAGAAGCACGAGATGGCGCAACATGTCTTGTATGGCGAAATCGTCGTCGTCGGTCTCCTGAGACTTGATCAGGTCGCTGACTACCTCTTGCTGCCCGAGAAGACGGCTGCACGCTACCAATGCGGTACTGTTGGCGCTCGTGGGGCACGCAACAGTGGCACGGTAGCCTGCTATTGCGCCGGCGCAGTACGAGGCAGACGCGCGCACGTGGTCGCGCCGCTCGGTGTGGCTTGTGGTTCCACGTGCCTTGTCGATGGCGGAAATGCAGAGGAGGCCGTACATCAGGAACGGATGCTTGTAGGCTTCTAAGACCATGGTGTCTACCCAGAAGACGGTGCTCTCGTTTCCTCTGTTGAGAAACAAGCCCGAGTGTCTTGTGTAGTGATGCATGTAAAGAAGGGATTCATGATCCAAAGGCGGGGCTTGTATCTCATCAAGAGCCTTGTCGGAAGAGCCTTCTGGCAACGAGAACACGTCGGGCTTCTTGACGCCCAGCTGGCTCTGTTTCCGCGTTTGGAATTGCGCGTCTTTCGGGCCCTCGACTTCGAAGTAGCGGATCTTGTTCCCCCTGAAGAACGTCTGCAGCCTGGCTTCACGGTATCTGATGGCTTTCGAGTTGGGCTCGTGGTGGACCTCGCTCCAGTGCTGGCACATGCGCTTGACAGATGTGCAGGCATAGCTGCAGCCGGCCGTCTCGCACCTGAAGCCGGACAGGACGGGCAGGTCCGCAATCCGTCGCGCGTCACCGGCCGGAATACCGACACGGTCGGGTGGTGACAGGCAAAGAGAGGACAGCTGATCCAGTATGCAACGGCGCTCGGAGCGTAAGATGTGGTGGTTCTGGAGATGGCTCGAGAAGGCACTGGGCTGGATGGCAAAACGACAGTCCTTGCATATCACAACTTTGTAGGTCGGAAGATGGGTCAGTAGTCCACCGGGGCCGAAGTCCGAGTTCCTGAGTGGCGGCTTGGCAGTTTGAGTCATATTTCGGGCGGGTTCTAGAGCAGAAGGTGTGTCCAACTCGTGATATAATCAGGCCACGGGTGTACCGGGTCGTCGGTCTTCAGTGTTGTACCGGTATCTAGAGGGAGGTCAGGTTGGATAGCTTTTTGAGTAGGGAGGTGGTGTCGGTGTGTCTAGCTGGTCTAATTGTGGGCAGTATGGCACCCCGTGTTCCGCTAGGCCTATTCCGTACCTGGGTATAGGACCTATACTCACGAACCATTGGCCAGCCATGCTATGTCGAGTGGGTTTTGTCATCCATTCGGGACGGGTCATCCAGTCAAAGCCTTCGATATTTCCGAGAGGCTCAGAGCAACAGGTGTCATACCCGACTGCGAGCAGACATGCGGTGGCTTGCAACTACATCCTACACCCCCGTCCTCCCGGGACAAGATGGCTATATATACTTGCCCCAGGGCGTCAACGACCTGCCTCCCAGCTTGTTCCATTCATCTACTTCCAGTCGCACCCCCGAATAGACAGCAAGCGGTCTGAATTCGATCAATTCCTTTGCTATATTCTGTTTTCAAGGTCTCGCCCCATACGAGTTCGAAATGGCCCAGTCTTCACCATCCCACGCCATCGAAACCGTTGACGGCGTCGAACGGTCCCCTCGTACAGGTATCAAGGTCGTGATATCTGGCGCTGGCATCGGCGGCATGTTCGCCGCCCTCGAGTGCTGGCGCAAGGGCAACGACGTCGAGATTGTGGAGCAGAACGCCGCCCTGTCGACCATCGGGGACTTCTTCGCCATTGGTCCCTCTGCCCTTTCGACGCTACATTACTTCCCCCGGATGCTTTCCGAATACAACGCGACCACGTGGAACTCGCCCCTATGGTGGTGTGATCCAAGTGGGAAGAAGCTCATCAGCGAACTGCCCGAGTGGAATCGTCCCGGTGCCGCGCCGCATGCTGCCAAAGATGTGCCCGTTGTCGGTTTCATCAAGCTTCGCCCCCAGATCATGCAGATGATGGAGGACCAGATCAAGCGTGAGTCATTCTTTGGCATCAGCCTCCCCTGATAATCTCTGGGCTCGGAAGGTGATCCCCTGCTCCCTGAGCCCTGCGTGCTGCCGGACTACCCATTAATACTGCTCACGATGGCGATCACAGCTGTTGACTTCCAGTGTTACAGGTCTTGGTATTACCATCTTCTACGGCCGCAAGGTTGTTGGCTATGAGGAAGACGTGCCCTCTGGCAAGGCCCGCGTCCGAACAGCTAGTAACGAAGTCTTCACTGGTGACGTTGTGGTCGCTGCTGAGGGCATCGGCACCAGATCTCATGAGATTGTCACTGGCGGCCCGGTACCTTTCGTTCCTAGCGGATATGCGATCATAAGAGGCGCTTTCAGTCCTACTCTCATTGCGCCTAACTCAAAGGGCGCCGAGCTCTTGCTGCATCCCGGCCAGACTCCCGAGGTCCGCACTTATTTCGGGTGAGTGGCCTTGACAACAACTGTGCAAACATAGAAGCAATTACTGATCATCAAGACAGAGAGGACATGCACTTGATTACGCTCTTCACCCACGAAAAGGTAGGCCTTGCCTTTACGCACAAGGAAGACGGCAGTGCCAAGGAGTCGTGGAGCCAGACCATCCCGGCCGACGAGCTCATTGCTATGTTCAAGGACCGCACCAACTGGGGGGAGCAGATCATCGACTTCGTGAACCAGGTGCCTCCCGACACGCTCATCGACTGGAAGCTCACATGGCGCGACCCCCAGCCCGTGTGGGCATCCAAGGGCGGATGTATCATCCAGCTCGGTGACGCGGCGCACGCTTTTCTGCCATCGTCTGCCAACGGCGCGACGCAAGCTATGGAGGACGGCATCTCTCTAGCCGAGTGCCTCCACCAGGGAGGCAAGGAACGCGTGTCTTGGGCGACTAAAGTACACACGAAGCTGCGATACCAGCGGGTGTCGGTCATCCAACAGGTCGGTATCGTGGCCCGTTACTCGCTGCATCACATCGACATGAGTCTGCTCAACGAGGGCAAGAACCCGTTCGAGGACGCCTTTCACCTCGGCCGCTGGATCTGGCAGCATAAGCCGGAGGACTATGCTCGCCAGCAGTTCGCAGCGGCGCTGGATCATCTCCAGACTGGCGCGCCGTTTGAGAACACGAATCTGCCTGAGGGACACGTGTATGAGGACTGGCATGCCAAGAGTGAGTTGGAGAAGCAGGCGGCGGGCATGCCGTCGCAGCTCATGTCCAACGGTGACTGGAGCAGGTAGATCGGTATTTCAGGAGTATGTCCTCGAAGGCATTTAATCCGTCTAGTTACTACTAAACAACATTGTTCTTCTTAACCCTGGGGACATATCGCACTGATTGGCATAGGGTGTGAGGCTCTGAAGCTTTGGACATCTTATCCAAGAACCTAGAGGAGCCTTGGTGGTCTGGCTGGTACCTGCTCCTGCTACCGTTCGTTATGAGTTCACCATTTACCTTTCATAGTTCAAGCAAGAAACAAGAGACACTCATACCTGTGGTCAATGACTATGTCTACAACATGGCTGAAGTCCAATAATATCACCCGCCCAGCCTTTTCTCGCTACTCACGCTCATCAACCTCTGAGGGTCTCGTTCGGTTACCCATAGCTGCTATTGACTTATTCCACGCATGTTTTAACAGTGACCGCTTAGACAAGCTGGAGAGGGTGCGCCTGGAGGTGCTCCTCGACAGTGGTAAGCCTGCCCCGGGCATTTGCGGCAGCCCAAGCCACCAACTCCTCCGTACCGGGGCCGAAATACCCAATCTCCTCTCCGCACTCGTAGGCCTCAACGAAGAGTTCAGCAAAGGCGGGCGGGAGCTGTAGGCTCGCCCTCCACTCTTCGACCGGGACCTGTTTGTAGACAACGGTCTGACCAGTAGCTCTGGTCAGTATGGCGGCGATCTCCTCCAGGGTGTAGAGCGCCTCGGCGGCGCAGAACTTCCTGCCCTCGTACTTGTCCGGCTCGGCTAGGATGGCATTGACGAACTTCCCCGTGTCCCCGCTAGCGTCGATGTAGGCAGCTTGGTCGTACCGAAGACGTGGCGGGCCAGGACCCAGGTGCCGTCCGCGGCTTTCTTCGGGGCCAGGAAGGGCTGGGGCGCAAAGTTCTCCATGAAGTAACCTTCGGCGAAGAAGGCGCTCTTGATGCCGGGCAGGCCTCGGATGTACCGCTCGACCTTGGCCTTGGCGTCGAAGGGGGTGATCTTGGTGTACTTGCCGCTGGAGATCTCCGAGACGTACGGGAGGGTGCTCCAGATGAGGTACTGGGCGCTCTTAGAGACGGCGACGTCGGCGATTGTCTTGCCGTTGTTGTACTCGTCCTCCACGGGGTTGGCGCTGAAGACGGACGTCGTCATGGCGAAGACGGTGTGCGCGCCGGTCAAGGCTGCCTCTAGGGATGCGCGGTCGGTCACGTCGCCCTGGATGACTTGGACGTTCTGCTTCTTGAGAAGTTCGGACTTGTCTGAGTTGACGTCGCGGGTGATGGCGCGGATCTTGAACTGCTCGGAGAGCTCGGGGTCGTTCAGCACGTTGGTGATGACTGAACCACCCTGCTGGCCGGTGGCACCGAAGACGACAAGAAGATTCGACATGCTGGATGTGGGCTGATGTGGTTTGGTCTGGGCTGTTGTAGGATAGGAGGGTGGGATGGTCACTGCTGTGAATGCTGACCTGTTGAGGAGACATGTTGACAACTGGTAGGATAAGCTCGATGTTTTTATACTCTTTCAAGATGACAAATGAGGAGTCTCTCTCTCGAGATGATTTCTCAGCTATGTCAAGTTCTCGTTGCAGGTAGTGGCCTATGTAGGGCATCGGCCATCCACCTACCTCATATACGTCGGGAAGGGTTCTATCAACAGCTACACTGACCCATCATGCTGTGACGAGCCGTCTAACCTATAAGGCTAAAGGGTTCTATAGGGTTTATGTTCTGAGGTAAGTCAACACAAAGAACGATAGAGGTAAGTCAACACAAAGGACGATAGAGGCTTCTGTCAATTAGAAGACACTCAGATGCTGGGGCTTGGTCTGAACTGGGTTCACTGTGTAGTCGAGTCGTCAGGAGATTTCTCCCACCTTAGGGTTGGCTAAGATGCTTAGATTGATCACTGAGGTAGAGACTGTCTATCTATCTAGTTGGGAAATGTTTGTCCTTATATATCCAATCTCTCCCTCACTGATGGAGTAGGATCACCTTGTCCCAGAGTGATGCTCACTGGCTCACTCCGTGATCCAGTGATCCGTCACGTGACCTTTGTTATGTAATCCGTAATACCCATTGTTCCGTTCCTGGCTTCTGATTCCATTGGTTTTTGGTGTACTCCCCTTGGCCCTGCAACAGGCCGTGGTATTTGTTGGTTCGTAACACATGCCTATTTTACACCAAAACACCCCAACTTCACGCTATTATAATAGATCAACTAAAATAGATACGGCTTAACTAGTTGTAGAACTTATGGGTTAATTTAATAGAATTATAAAGTTATTTAAATATGTAATTTTAAATATTTAACGTCTATTTTATAAATCTTCATTTATTAAATGTTAAAATTATATAAAATCTAACTTTTAAAATTAAAAAATTTAATAATAAAAGAAATATACGCTCACTATTAATCTACGTTATAATAAACATCTTAACGCTTTTTTAAAGCTTATAAGGCCTTTTATTAATTTTAAAGGATTTTAAAACTTTTAAGATTTTGAAGATTTATACTTATCTTTAAATATTGATTTTTTTAGTATTTTAATCATTACGAAAATAAATATTATAAAGTCATACTACGATAATCGAGCATTTTTAAACACTAGTCACTTATATTACCTTTGTGAGAATTCGTATGCGGAAGTATTAGTGGTACGTTCGTTCGTGGTTCTGCAACTACCTATCGCAGACAGATTTACACTTAAGTACAGTTGCAACGCGTCCAGCTAGCGTAGCGCTGGAGCTGTGGGGCAACGGTCGCTAATCGACCGTTCCCATGACGCTAGGACCACCCCAAGTCCACCTGGTCCGCGCACAGACTACCTAATTCTAAAAGCATCACATCTTTAGTTATAAAAGCGTGAACATAGGGCGTTTTGGTGTAAATGCGGAGATGCTCGGAGACTTATGGAGGGTCAGTGTAGCTACTTGGGTACCTTGCAGAAGTTATCGTACCAGCTCGGCTCCCATCATTTGATATTGAAGTCACCAGATATGCAGCTGGTGTAGAGTGGTATAGAGCGAGCATGTTCGCAAGTCGTGTGTAGCTTTGCATCACGAGTAGACACCTGTCAGATGCAAGCGAGTTCAGATTATTCATGTTGTTAAGTGTGTTCTGCTGTTGTTCTTGTTCTGCTCTGCTTCTTCAGCGTACAGAGCTTAATCATCTGTCCTCTTGGTGGGTCAGATGCCCTGTGCGTCTCTGCCCCACTGGAGATCTTCCGGTGTCTATTTCCGGCTCCCATTCAACAACACCCACCTTGTGACTTGAAGCTGCAGAGCCGTGAGCAGCTCCATGTCATCGATTCCAGCCCACATCGGCCTGCCCACATCGTTCCAAACCCCACACCAACTCAGGGGCCGAACCCCTGCCGGCCCACCCGCCCACATCGCTCGCCCATTCCCGTCAATGGTCATCCATCCCACATCGTCCAGCCCACAGCCCACTTGCTCATACTCACCATTACCACCACCACCACCACCACCATCACCACCGATCAGCCCACGTCGTGATTCTCCCGGATGCCGAGTTCTTCATCGGGCTCTCAGTCTCGACCCAGCCCTCTTCACTGATCAAGTAATCGACCTAGCTCAATTCGGCGTGAGAGCTCGCAGGTCGTAGGGGGGCACTGGCATGGCATTCCCCTGTCAACACGACGGGTGCACTCGCTCGTATCAGAGAAGAGAACATCTCATGTGCCATCAAAAAGCCCACGCGAACAAGCGTTCCTTCCGCTGTCAAATCTGCCCTTCCACTTTCAACCGCAAGGACTTGCTCAATCGTCATATTGTCCAGAGTCACAAAGTAGCTGGGAGCAAACCCCGAGTACCGAGCAAGCCTAGCCTACAGATGAGAATTGTACAGACGGTGGATCAGGATGAAGCCTCCGTGCCTGACCCCGAAGGCGGGCTCATCACGACTCGGCTAGGGGACAGCATGTTGATTAGTCTCGGAGCAGAGCTCTCTGATGCGTCAAACCAATCGTTACTTGAGCAGCTTTATTTCTCATATTTTCATCCACACTGGCCTATCCTGCATCGACACACGTTGCAGAACACGAACCAGCCAGACGCACTTAAGACATGCTGTCCTGATCGCGGGTTTATGGACGATAGATTCAGCCGAGGCAAGGCTTCTGGCAGAGTCCTATCATGACACGTTGGCTGATAGACTATGCAAGTTTGTTGTAACTCATTGCCGCTCTTCTTTGGCTACTGAGGGCGTCTATCTGATCTACGTGGCATAGTACAACGACCAAAACAGAGATGTGCTCAAGGCACCTCGATACGAGATCCTCGCTCTCATCCTGGCCCTCACGATCTCATCAATATTAGCTACCTACAGGGGAGCCAGAGCATTTCCATCAGCCATTACAGTGCACAAGCGTCTTTCTCAGCTACTCAATGGTTCCGGGGTGTTCGAGCAGCAGAGGATTGATGCTGAGAACCCACTTGATCCGATTTCACAGGAGCAATATCAACGGTGCGTGACTATTCAGGATCAAAGATGACACGAACTTATTTCCAAGCTGATTGATCTAGGGTGTCTCTCATCCTGTTCAAGACTTTGGTTCACTTGAATGCTCTCCTCATCACCCACCTTTCAATGTGGCCTCTCTTCCACTATCTCGACCCCGCCGCTCTCGACGTCCGAATCCCCTCATCGCAGATTATATGGGATTCGATTACAGACGGTAAACAGCAAGAGTCCGACTATGGCAATTTGACCGTAGGGAGCTTGTTTGTCGGCGAGACAAGTAGCCCTACCTACCAAGCATTGACATCATTAGCCGCGTGGGATTTTTCAACCGGCATGATTCTTGGGTGCTTCGTCAACAGGCAGCCTGGAGAATCTCTCTCGCAAACAATGCATAGAGTTAGCCCCTTTTTGTTCTGGCATTTGAAGGTCCAAGCTGGACAAGGGGCTGGATTTCCGACTTTGTGAGAGAACGCTATGATGATTTGATGATCTGAGGGATACCACACGACTTCCAGGCTGCTGCAAAACGCCACGTGCTGAACGAGTTCATGACCTACAACTTCAGAGGCGGCGGCATTGTTGGAATGGACACGTTCAACTTCGTGGGATTGCGCATGATCTTCGACGAGCCGATGGAGTGTCGGAGCGCCGAGTCAAAGGCCTCCGCCGAGGGCATCCAGCACGACCGCGACTATGAGTTCATGTGCGAAACTCAATTCCACAGCAACGGCAGCGACGAAACCTTTAACACGATGTAGCATCCGGCCATATATTACCCATCCTAGGCAACCATCATGCATAGGGGCTGTGTCAACTCGTCCTTAACTTTATGGAAGTCCATAGAGCCCTCGCCATGTCGGCTCAGTGAGCAATCAGTGTTCACCTGGGAAGAGCTGCCCAGCATCACGCTTGCGTAAATGCGCGGCCTGGCCGGCCGACATTGCAAACGCTCCCGGCCTGTGCTCGAACACCCTCATCTTCACTGGACCAAGCTTCTGTCGCAAGCGCTGGTGGAGGATGCCAAGGAGGCTGCATGAGCGATCTCTTGCTCCTGATTTAACCCATGGAATTGAAGCAAGGTCGTGTTACTGATTGAATTCTCAAAGTCGGAGCCTCGGAACCGGAAGTTGTGCTAATTAGCCCTCTTTACCGCGGAGGCAATGATGTTGGCCTTCAGTATTTTGCTCTGGACGAAGCATGCCCCTTTCGTGGATCTTGAGCAGAGCAAAGTACCAATTGGTGGCGACATTGTCAAACTATGCCAGGCTCGCAACATCGGGTAAAGTTCATTTCTACACATGGAATACTCCCATCTGAACACGGAGCGTCAGACTATGGCAAGAAAAAAGTGTGATGCGTGTTTTAGCTCATGTACCCTGGGCCGATCTCTCTCTCCTCCGTAGTCCTGCCCAGCAATTCTTGTTTTCCTGACCCAGCGGTTGGGTCCTCTACGTTCAGCAAGCATATAGCGGCATAATGACCCCTATTAGAGTAAGACGACCAACTTCTTGCCCGAGATGGCGCCAGATCTCAACCGATGAAGCCCATCCAATACCCCAATCCAGCCACCGGGAACCAGCTGCACGGGATGCGGCTTCAACTTCCCGTCGTCCAGCAGTCTCTGGAACACGGTGAAGAAATGCGCTTCCGCATCGTGTTTCTCCTGGTTAGCCGCCCGGTAGTAGGGTTCCGGCAACGCCACCTCCTTCCCGAAAACCTCAAGCGCCATCACCAACTCGACCTTGACAGCCCTTCGGGTGCGCAGCGCCCCCGGACACACTTCCAGGCGCGCGACTCGGCCGCCGGTGCGCCCGATGGCGGCCTGACAGAAAGCCACCGACTCCCTGTCTCCGATGCAGTCGACGGTATGGCACAGCCGATCGCCCGTGTGCAGGCGCACCTGCTCGGCTGTCCCCGGCGCGGCGTAGTCAAAGACGGCAGCAGCGCCCCGTGTGCGCACCAGGTCGAAGTTCCGCGGCGAGCACGTGGCAATGGGTGAAAATCCCGCCAGGCGTAGGAGCTGTAACGCCATCGCGCCGGTGGACGTGCTCGCACCGTAGACGAGAACCGGCTGCGGGTCGGCGGTGGGCCTCTCGGGCGTCGCAGCCAAGTCCAGGCCGCCAGCCCACAGCGCGCAGGACGCTCGTGGTCAAGGCCAGGCCGAATGTCGCCGCTTCCTCGATGGCGAGACCCTCTGGCACCCGCAGCAGGAGGTCAGCCGGCGCGCGGACGTACTCGGCAAAGGCCCCGCTGTGCGCGTCGGAGGGGTTGGAGCCGTGCACCGTGCCGAGCACCACGTCGCCTACGCGGAGCTCAGTTGTGGTGTCGTTCGCGATCTTGACTATAGCTCCCACGAAGTCATTGACGATGATGGCGCCTGGGTACGTCTGGAGGCTGCCAATCTTATAGTCGTAGGTATTGAGTGCAAAGCCCGCCGTCTTCACCAATACTGTCGCTTCCAGGAGGGGCGGGAGAGGCACGTCGCTGGCGAGTATTGGTTCTCCCTTTTCTCCTTGCACGACGGCTCTCTGAGAGCGTGGGAGCGTGTAGGAGCTAATCATGGCCAATGACATCTTGGCCTCCGAGTATGGTAGGTGAGAGGGGTGAGTAAGGCAGGTAGCAGAGGTGAAGGGCAAGGCAAACGATTTGTATGTCGCCCCCGCTCAGCTAACCAAGGTCTTCGCGGGCAAAATACACAGAAAGATTGAAGCCCTACTTTTATCACATACCGAACATTATATGGTGGTACTTTCACTGCGAGCCTCTTTTAATTTCTACAATTTGCATTACTGAACTGCCGCTACCCGCAAGATGCTTAATCCATTACTTAATCATGGCTTTGTCCAAGGCCGGGGAACATCTCACGCGCTGCGGCACCTGGAGGAAGACAAAGCGACGCCGGGGGTTGCGGCTGATAAGGTACGCTAGGAAGTAAAACGTCCTGTCACACATCGACTGCTGGTGACCCCAGGAATGACTGTACTTGTGCGTGAAGAAGGAAAGAAACTATGAAGCTAGCTAGAAGATATGATCCGGTATAAATAGGGGTTGATCCTGTGGGGCTGTCTAGTGCCGTGTCATTGTGGCCAGAATTAAGGATTCCTTCTCCGCGACGACTGCTGTATGCTAGACTGCATCTGTAGTTGCATTGTCCGAATTGGACTTTGACGGGGTGTCAGATTCGCCACCTTTCTTCTCCTCTAGTCCGTACTGGGTATCCAGCGCCTCTCTCAGGAGGACCTCGCGTTCGAGCAGGACCAGCAACGTCGCCAACCCTGCAAAGACCACACCAATGAGGAAGACTCTCTTCAGTGCTTCTCGGTATACCGCCGTATCTCGAGCTGTACGGCTGGAGAGAAATGCTGGACGACGGCCGCAGATGCATCCTGGTACGCACCACCTCCTGTCAGCATCTGTCGCGCGTCAGGGTCTGAGATCGTGCTCAGCATACTGTCAATGCGATTGTTGAATATAGCGGCCGGAATGGCTACACCCCATATGCTTCCGAATGCACGCAGGTAACTCCATGCTGATGTTGCCGCCGCCTGATCGGCCTCGGCCACCGGGGCTTGGAACGCAGGGAGAAGGGTGTCGATGACTATACCAATTCCCAAGGCCCCGATTATCTGGTAGACTGCCCACTCCGGGATGGAAGTCGTTTCCGAAAGCAATGACAACAGACCAAACCCCAGAGTCAGGATGGCAAAGCCTACAAAATGCACTGGCACGAACTTGCCCCATTTGCTTATCGCAATTGCAGCCAGGGCAGCTCCCGGGATACCAGCTATGGACTGTGGTAGGAGTGAATAGCCTGCGCGAGATGGCGAGTACAGCGCCACAGACTGGAAGTAGACGGGGAGGAAGAACAAGAACCAGAAGTATAGTACTGAGCTCAGAAAGATGTTGACCAGGACGATGATCGAGGTTCGATGAACGAACAGCCTTACTGGTAGGACACGTTCTGGTACGAAGGGGCTAGCTTCATAAGCTGCGAACAGGAAGAAGCCGACGAACCCCAGGAGGAACGGAACCAGCGTGCGCCATGATGACCACGGATGGACCGTTCCGGCGTACGTGAGAGCGTAAAGGACAGCCACGCTGCTAGCCATCAGTATGCAGTTGCCTATGTAGTCGATACGTTTCAACTTGTCCACGAAAGACATCTCCTTGTCGTACTTGACGTGGAGAAAAAAAAACATGACGACAAGCGAAAGTCCGCCGATTGGAAGGTTCAGGTAGAAGACCCAGCGCCATGATGTCGAGTCAACGATGGCACCGCCTATGAAAGGACCCAGTGCGGTCCCGACGCCGAAGACAGCTAGAATGATTGCGACGTAGTAGCCTCGCTGGCGCAGTGGAACCAAGTCGGATACTATCATATCTAGTGCAAAGATACGTCGGCGCTGTACAAGGACTCCATTTCGGACAGGCGGACTCACTGTTCATCAAGATAATGCCTCCTGAGCCAAAGCCTTGGACAGCGCGGCCTGCGATGGGCATAGAACCGCTCGTCGCGCCGCCGCATATGCCACTTCCCAGCGTAAATAGGGCCACGGTTGCCAGGTAGATCCATCTCCTACCAAGGATATTGCAAAACTGGCCGAGAAGAGGTTGGGATACCGCGCTGTGAAACTCAGTTAGTTTAACATCGACTAGTACGATGTGGAGAGCGAACCTGCATATGAAGAAAGCGTTCGTGATCCAGATAAAATCTTCCCCGAGATGAAGCTCAGTGAGGATCCTAGGAGCCGAAGTCGTCACGACTGTGTGCTCCAGAGCAGCAAGGAGCGAGGTAATGGCGAGTCCGCTTATGATGACCCAGAAACGGAAGCCGCGCTCAAAATCTTTAGGGGCGTCGCCAGAATTGGGCGGTGTAGCGGAGTCGGGAGCCATACCTCTCACAGTGGGAGCAAGACGGATCGATAACAAGCAGGAAGGGTGACTACCACAGCTGGCATATGATCTTCAATGATGCCCGGTAACGAAGGCCACAAGAACAGCAAGTGCGTGCCTTTTCTCCCCGTTTGGCAGTTAGGCTAGACCTCCTCTTTTGTGATGATACGTCGGTCATAACGTTGGGGTGCAACCCAGCGTCCGTGAAGTCTAGAGACCTAGGGTGTGACTGATCGTGATGAAGAATGCCAGAGTAGCAGTCCAGATGCTTGTGAGCCCAACAGAGGGTGTCCAAATGGATGCCAACGATGGATACTGGCTCGGAAGCTCTCTCGGCTAACCGACGGGACGCCGACTTGGAAGACGGGAGGAGAGCCACGAAAGCGGTCGTTGTATCGGGACGCCTTCGGGCTCTACATGCATGCATGTTGGTGGCGTTTGTTGAGACTTGCATTAAGTGCGTCGCAGTGTCTCGTTTCGCCAGACCTGAATGAAACCCTTGCTTGTGTCCGTGTCACCCACACTGTTGAAATGAAGGCGCGATATTGGACACAAGACCGGCAGGGACGCGGCTGTTGTCTTTGTGTAACCCCAAAGAGGGGCTTTGCAACCACTTAGGGTAGGTGGTGTCTGACCGACCTTTTGCCTAGGATTGCATTGATGAAGGGATGCATACGACGCTGGGTGAACCATACACCTAGGTACCTATGCCGGCGGGAGTCATCCGTCGCGGGTGGGTGGAAGGTTGCCAACCAACATTCAATGTAAGTACGCAGGTCAGCACGGGGGTCCCTAAGCAATACCCGAAGAAGGAAATGCGGTTACGTCGGGGACTGTCAAGTACCTGCAGGCTCCGTGGCACCCTCTGCATATCGATGCAGGTCATGTCGATGCTGTTGGCTGGGTCTGGGGCGAACGTGCTCGGCGACCTCGTTTGTGCCAAGTGAACCCCGACTCGTCCAGGTGTATTATTAGAAGCGGAATCAGACCCGGCTCTAGGCAGCCCGTTCCGCTCTGCCGCTAAAGATCCCCTTCTGAGACAACGCGCGCCTGCCAGGTAGTGCGTAGAGGGTGTGTTCAGTGCTGATTCTGTTGTTCTGAAGGAGTTGTTGTGGCCTTGGAGCCCCAAACTGCTTTCTCCGCGCTCAGACAAGTATCTTTCCAAGTGCACGGATCACTCATGCGCCCTTCGGGCTGGCCCCACCAATCTTAGTGCTGTGGCTCCCCGCCGGTCACATGATCAAGTATGGTTTGGAACATTGAAAGAGACCCAAAATCAAGCCACACTAGCCACAAGCCATAGCTAGCCCCCTAAATGTCGTGCTCCATGTCTTGTTCAGTGCACTGCCACCTCCCTGGCGGCTTGCGTGCCATTCAACAGCACATATCAGCGTTGGGTGACCAGCTACATCAAAGGTAGGTACAATCAATTGTACGCCAGTCCAGAGGTCGTACTCCTCAAATCAATGCCAAATTCAGAGTCAGGGAAATGATCAAGTTCACCGTCACCCCTGCTGCGTATACGTAGGACGTGAAATGGGTTGTTCATTAATTACATGACAAGGTCACAAGACCAAAAGTAAACGCCTTACTGTAAAAGGGCCATATCTAGGTAGCTAGCATGGGAATTCGAACTACTCCTTCAATATTCCCTCGTAGGCCGAAGCGCCCGAGCTCCCAAGGTCGCTCATGGTTAAAATGATAGTCATCCAACAGCACCCGAACCAATCGGCCAGCCACTTCTGATTGGGAAGGAAAGAATACTCATGTAGAAGTGAAACCCAATACGTTGATAGAACTCCTTAGCCGGGGCTCCCTTTCGTGCTCGCATCTCATCATCGTGGGACAAATCTCACCCTGACGTTGGGCTTATACCACATGATGTGAAGACTGTAGTCCTTATCAAAGGTCGCATCCTGACCCTTAATCATCTCCAAGTCAAAAGTCCACAGTACCTTACCGAGGAATAACCCAATCATGCTCCATGCGACCTCCCTCCCAGCGCATACCCTGGGACCCAGACCAAAGGGGTAAATGCTCTTCAGTTTGTCATTGGCGAACCTTGCTTCATACTTTGGATGGTCCGATGGTAGCCAGCGTGCAGGGTGGTAGTTCAAGGGGTCGTGGAAGTTCTGTGGGTTGCGGCCGATGGTGAAGTAACTGGTCTGGACGACAACCTGTTTGCTGTTCGCGGAGGGGGACCCTGCAGGAAGCCCAAAGGAGTTGGACTTACGCCTTTAGGGATGTAAATCCCATCCACAACTGCTCCTGGGCTTGTTCGAGGCATTCCGGCGGCACTCACTGAGTGTACACGCAAGGTCTCGTGGATGCACGCGTTCAGATAAGGAAGATGAGTCAGTGCATCGGGGGTGATCTCGTCATAGCTTTGGAAATTGGTAATCAGTTCCTGCTTCACTGTGTCAAGAACATCGGGATCTTTCAGAAAGAAGAATAGACAGCCGAAGAACAGGAGCTGTATGGGGTCGAAGCCTGCGATGAACAGCTGCAGCGCCACCTGTTCGATGTGTAACTTCTCCTGTTTGGTTGTAGGTCCAGGCCCGTCAGCTGGGACCATGTAATCGACGAAATCTGGGTGCTTCGTCTTCCCGCGATTGTCAATCCGACTTTGTACCGCCTGAGTGTTCATTTTGAAGGCCCTCGGAACCTTTATCATGAGTCTAGGGGGCACGAAAAGAAAGACGAGGGGTCTGAGAAGTCGAAACTTCTTGGAAAGCTGTATCATCATCACAAGGAGGTTGGTTCCCAGGAGTGTATCCATGAAGTCGGAGCTTTTTCCTGTTCACGCGTACTCAGTAAAGCGCCGTACGAGATGAGGTGGAGAATCGAAGGATGGGGGGAAACCTTACCGTCTCGTGTATGGTGCAGCTCGCGGCCGTAAGCAAGGTCTGCCGACAAATCCATTGCCAGCCCAACCATCCACTGTTCCAACGTCCCGTGAGTACTGGAACATCTATGCTGTGGAAATGCGGAAAGAAAAGTGGCAACGCGTGAGGCCTCCATACCTTGTCCAAGTCAACTCCCTCAGGTCCTTGGCCGACACTCTTCATCTTCTCGATGAAAAGGTCCATATGCTGGTGCATGACTGGCTCCTTGGTCTTGATAGCTTTGGTGCTGAAAGCGGGTAGAAGCTTTTTTGCCACCTTTCGGCGCTTGACGGGGTCCTGCTCCCAGATGAGACCCCCGTCTCCCGTACCGGAATTCATCAAATCTGTCTTGACCCAAGTCTCGTGATGCTTTATCGCCGGAATATGTATGTATGTGTAGGCATTAGTGGGTTACGCTTCGGTCCGCCTCGGCTCAGCGATCACGAGGGAAAGGAGTCAGGGGGAAAGTGAGACGCACCTAGCGATGCCTGCGTCGTCGCGAACACAATCTCGTTAGGGGCAACGCGTACGACGTCCCCTTGGAAGCCGTCAGTACAAGCTCAATTGATGGGTTCTGGTGCAAGTACCGTATTTCTTGACCATCTCATCCACTGCCCAAGGCCATCTCCCCCGCAGCCAGTGGAAGGCGAAGGGTATGTTTGAGATAGCGGTAAAGTTAGGACCGGGGAAATTTGAAGCCGGATGGAAGTAGAGGAGGTAGGTGCATCGCGCCGCGGCATATGTCAATAGCTACAGATCCTTGGTCAGATGTGACGAGACCAGCATGGCCTAAGGGGTCGCTCACCGCAGTCACTAGGACGGGAAGCCACAATAGCATCGCAGATGGAGCGGCGAACGGCATTGGCGGCATGAAACCAAGGAGACCTATCATTGCAAAGCTCGGGCAAACGGGTGCAAAAAGCCGGTATGCCTTGAAGAACGGAGAAGAATGATGATACTGGGAGAAAAGATTGAGATCGAAAGTTAGGGACATGCGAGGGTAGCCTGTTGGAGTAGGGGCGGAATCCCGCGTTCGTGTCGGCTGGCGTTACGCAAGAGACCAACTGGATGTTCCGCATCAGGCGCTCCTCATATAATCTAGGAGGTTGGTGCCAGACAAACACACGACCATCTCATGAATCGCAGCCAGACGTATTGTAACGCTGCAGCAGCCGAGGTGTGCGTAGATGCAGGCTGTGGTCCAAGAGCCCGTCCGTACATATACCTTGTCGCTCTTTAAGTTGCAAAGGAGGTACCTGGATCGCTTGACTGGTACCAAATTGATAGCTCGCTTGTACCTGCCAGATCCCTCACGAGACGTTGCGGAAAATCTATGGCGTACCGCACGGATAAATTGAATGATCAGTATGTGACTGCAATATCGCATGGATGACCACGGGACTGATACGCGGTATGCACTATGCATCGTCGGGTGGCTTCATCATTAGCCCCGGCTTAGCTACAGATTCATAACCGGATCCTGGATCATGCATCTGCTGTGTAATTCGCGGTGATGGTTGACCGTACAATATGCAGTTAGTTGCAAGAGATTGGACTGGTTGGTTGCTGCACCTGGGACGCGGCACGCCTCTCTTGATTTACGTGCGTGTTGCCCGGCGGCCCCAGCCGCCAAGCCAAGGTCAGGATTGAGGAGTCGGCGAAGCCATCAGCAATGCACAGAGCAAGCACAGAGCAAGCCCAAATAGCCTGCCTGGAGTAGGATCCCGACTTTTCACAAATGATACCCAAAAGCATCTACGGTGGTGCCCGAACGGTACTCATTGGTGGTTCCAGATGGGTGCGCTTTCAATTGGCGACAACTGTTCACTGAAACCGAACCAACACGCGGTCGGTCGGTGGCAGGGCACACAATACCCGTCCGCAGAGCCTCATGTGTAGGTACGGTAGCTTTGCTCCCAATCGTTGAAGTGTCACCATCCCGTCCCCATTCATTCATTGCTTGCAGGACTTGATATGCGTGATGACGTAGCACCTCATGCATGGCGGGTTGCCGACTATCACCTCGCTCACGGGCGGCCCGGATATGCAGCTAGGCTGACCTTGGGGGCGGGGGTTTTGTTGGGGTAGCTTTCAGTGGTAGCCTGAACCTCGCTGGGGCTCACCACGTGGAAAGTGGTGCGGGGCACGGGTAGGTTGGATTGGTGCTGAGGTCGTCGGGCGGGAGCACGCCAGAATAGGGGCACTTGGTCTCCTTTACGGTTTCGTGTCTCGGGGGATGAGGTACTGGGCGGAACACAGTAAGTATACCCCATTTCGGGGTGTATTTGCGCTAACTTCTATCTAGGTACGCGAGCAAATATCAAGATACCTGACGCTTTTCAATGCGGGCAGTGTATTGCTTAGACCTGTACCAAACCAGGGTAACTTAATAGTATCGTTAAAGCCTATCTCAGATGGAGCAAGACCAACGTCTTTCGAACCAACAAGTAGTCATCATAATTGTTAAATCGCATGCAACCAAAGTCCCAAGTCCCATGTCCCATGTCCCATGTCCCATGTCCCATGTCCCATGTCCCATGTCCCATGTCCCAATCCCGTCAGACAACCCCCTTTCTTTCCGAAGATTTGCACATTGAGCGCTCAAAGGGACACCACCCCGTCGGGCGATGGTCTTATCACGTTGAGTCTCGCGGTCAGGCATGTTCAACTCGCTGATGTAGATCAATCGTCTTGAGCTGATAGCCCGGCTCCCTGTCTACCTTTGGATCTCTACCTGCGTCAACTGACCAAGCAACTGCCGCCTCACTCGAACCCCCAAGGTGAAGCCAGCCATCGAGTCTCCGGAGCGAGCTCGACGACTCGGTTTCCCCATCTGGCTGTTGTCGAAGCGACTGAGAGGGCTTAGTTCGAAGCGTCCTTGAGCCTGAACCGCGACTTAGGGTGCCGTAGTCCGTAATGCGCGAGGCGAGTCGGGAGAAAAACCCATCCGCCGGAAGGATTGGCTTGAGTGTAGGAACACAGCAACATATGATACTGCATGCCATCTGCACAATTGACCAGGCTCCGATAAAGAATTTTCCGGCTTTGGCGGTATTGTTAGCTAGGTCTCCCCACTCGTTGTGTAAGTATGACTTGCCTCCGTTGCTGTGGTATGCTTCACCAATCTTGACGAGGCCAATGACACCGGCACTGTATTGCTATCAGCCGCTTGTTTCCACATAATAACTTTCAAATCCAGGTGCCAGCACTGGGCTTGGGACTTACAAGCCACCGAAAGCAATAGAAGGACCAGTTTCCATTTCGTCAGTGGCTTCAATAGAAGCCTTTGGACCATGAAGAAACCAAATATACCCAGGGCGAAGTCAACCGCAGAGTTGATTGTCTCCGCTGCGGCCACGGTGGCCAAGTAATCCACGCAGGTACCAGGCTCTAGGGTGTTCCATCCTTTGCTAACAGGCCGGCAGCTGAACAAGTAGATCGGGATCGCGATAAGGCAATATGCCACGTGAAAGAAACCGACGAGGTACATGAGTCGGACATAAGGGCGACTGACACCAAAGAGGCGGCAGTACAGGAAGAGTATACTGAACTTGGCAAAGGTCTGGTTGACCACGAACAGAGGCCCAATGGCGTAAGTAAACTGGTGCCTTGTCAGTCGAGGTGGCCTGATGAGTAGCAGGTCGGTGGCTATGAGCATCTAATGTTACGAGATGAGGACACGATTAGCACATATCATGGCTCTGGGACAGCACGGTCATTGATGTCAAACCAAGTGTCATACTTCTTCGATTGGCAGGGACCGTCTATGACGATCGACACAGCGTGCAGCTCAAGTCTTGTTGCTGTACATCAAGCCGTTCGACAACTCCGTTCTGGCGAATCTCGCGTCGCTGTGGTTACAGGCGTAAACCTGATCCTTGATCCGCAATTTTTCATCAGCTTCAGCAAGCTACAAATGCTGTCTTCCGAAGGACGTTCGCGCATGTGGGACGACAAGGCCAGTGGCTATGGACGTGGCGAAGGTATTGCAGCGGTGGTGTTGAAGACCTGTACGTTATTTGGCGAAAAACCCCGGCACCCTTCCTGGTTCCATGTATAACCAGGAGGTGGGCTGCCATCTCTTGCTAAGCTTTGTGGTACAATGGCTGACTCCGCCTACATCAGTGAACGCAGCTGAAGCAGATGGCGACCATATCGAGTGTATCATTCGCGAGACACGGGTCAACCAGGACGGGAAAACCCCCAGCATTACGGTGTAAGTATAATAGCTGAGTCTTTGGGAGCCGCCTTCATTGACAATTCAAAAAGCCCTAGTTCCACAGCCCAGAGCAGCCTGATCAGGCGATGCTATGCACGAGCAGGGCTCGATTTGGCCAATGCAGCTGATCGCCCCCAGTACTTTGAGGCGCATGGTACGGGCACACTGGCAGGTACTTGCTCAGATAGCCACACACGTTTGAACTTATGACTGATCATCTCTAAAGGGGACCCCGTGGAAGCTGAGGCTATCAGTTCTGCTTTCTTTCCAGTCTCCAAGCCGTCGTTGAATGGTGCTCAGCCGCTCCTGGTGGGCAGCATCAAAACCGTTATCGGCCACACAGAAGGCACAGCCGGACTACACTTGTCCCACATAAGTCTCCGTACGCTAGCCCCAATTCAATCTTCTGACCAAACAAACAACGCGGCACCCTCATCTTGCAATAAATCATCAAAAAATCAATTTACCATGGGTGTCAACGAAATCGGTACCGTTTTAAGCGGCACTCGCCAGCCGAACGGCGAATTTACTTTAGAGGCGCGTGCAGGCATTATTACGGGGCGCGCGGAGGGCCGTAGTCATAGGGACGTCGCACGCGCCTATGGCACAGAACGCGTCGAAACCATCTCTGAGATTTGCTCATATGCTAACACCACCAAAACCACGCGCATTGCGCGAAAGATGGGAACTCTGAGGCTTCTTTCGTATGGGCAAGAACGCCATCTAGTTTATTTGGTTCGGAGGTTCCCTCGTCTCTCATGAGAGGCGCTCAAAGCCAAAGCACGCGTCACCTGCCACACAGAGACCATCGTGAGGGCTCTCCGCCGCCACGGCCTCAAGAAATGGCGTGCGGCGAAGCGAATCTCTCTTATGGAGGATGACGCCACGAAACGGCTTACTTGGGCGCGAGAATACCGCACACAGCGCGCTCAAAAGGAGCTGATAATGGCCCTCTTCTCTGACAAATATACCATCCAAAATGATCCCAGTAGACCTGGCGAATGGGTCATTCGCCTCTCTAAAAAACGGTACCGCAAGGATCTCATGAATCCACCGAGCCACAGGAAAGCCCATATTTCGATAATAATTTGGGGTTTAATGTGGTTATATAATGACAAAAGTGGCCTAAACAAATTGGTCTTCTGTGAAAGAGATCCGGATGCACCACGCGGAGGAGTGTCTGCCAGGCGCTATCAACAGGTCCTAAAGGAAGGCCTACTTCTGTTCTATAAGGCAAGGGACCCTTTTTAGTAAGATAATGCTCCTATGCATATCAAAGGAGGCTCACTGGAGTGGTTAGAGGAGCGCGGGATCTGGACTATCGACTGGCCTCTTCATAGCCCCGATTCGAACCTTATTAAGCACGTTTGGGCAGCTCTAAAGAAGAAGATAAAGGAAATAGAGCCTCATTTTCAAGATTTAAAGAACAATATCGCTCACCAGGTGTGGGCTACAGAGATAATCCAAGCTGCGTGGTCAGAGTTAGATCCCGACCTCCTGAAGAAGCTCATCAAATCTCTCCCCGATCGGATCGCGGCAGTGATTCAGGCGCGCGGCTAGTACAACCACTATTAAACCGCTATCGAATACATATTTTGTTATAATTTTCGGCCTGGTGATGCCTTCGCAATTGAGCAGTGAATGTGGTGGTGATGGTGTGTGGAGGGCGCCGTACGGAGACTTGTGTGGGGTTAGTGTAGCAGGGCTTCTCAAAGTCGCCCTGGCGCTGCGAAACAAGACAATTCCGCCCAATCTGCTGTTTGACCGTCTGAACCCCCGTATCAAGCCCTTCTACTCCAATCTCCGTATTCCAACCTCGGCCACACCATGGCCAGCAACATGGGGTCCTCGGAGGGCTAGCGTGAACAGGCAAGCAACTATCCATTCATAAAAGCCGAATTGAGTGCTAACGACGTGAACCAGCTTCGGTTTTGGTGGTACTAACGCTCACGCAATCCTGGAAAACTATGAGTCTGCCGAATCTCTCAGCTCTTCTCCACCAGATGAATCACCCAACTTCCTGCCCCTTGTGTTTTCAGCTGCTTCAGAATCTTCTCTTTTGGCGTATCTCGACGCCTTCTGTGTGTATCTGCGGGGGGGACCCACACTGAGCCTTCGGAATCTTGCGTACACCCTAGAGTCTTGCAGGACGTCTTTCCAGATATCTACTAGTGTGGCTGCTAGGACGGTGGAAGACCTATGCACAAAGCTCGAAGGGAAGATCCAGGGCGCGCGATCTAATGCTGACGAACTCGCTGGCCACAGGTCTATGTTTAGGCTGCCGGACCACAAGCCGCGGATCATTGGGATATTCACTGGTCAAGGCGCTCAATGGCCACGGCAAGGGTCGGACTTGATCGAAAACTCCCCTACTGCTTATCGTACACTTGAGGCCCTCGAACTGCGCCTCGCGCGACTCCCTCCGCAAGACCGCCCAACTTGGTCATTGATTGAGGAACTCCAGAAGGAACCATCCTCGTCACTGGTTCACCAGGCTGAATTATCTCAACCGCTATGTACAGCGATCCAGATCCTACAGGTCGATGTGCTCCGCGCAGCTGGAGTGGTCCTTTGCGATGTTGTCGGTCATTCTTCAGGGGAGATCGCAGCCGCGTACGCGGCTGGTCGTATTTCGGCGGAAGACGCTATCTGCATTGCGTACTATCGCGGCCGATATTCCAATATGGCTCAGGGCTCGAGAGGCCAGCCGGGTGCAATGATGGCGGTCTCGACCTCCCTCGAGGATATCCAAGAACTCTGCGAATTTCCCGACTTCAAGGGGCGCATTTGCGTTGCAGCTGTCAACTCGAAGGCTAGCATTACCGTTTCAGGCGACAAGGATAGCATCGAGAAGCTGCAGGATATCTTGCACGACGAGAATAAATCAGCGAAAATGCTGAAAGTCGATACAGCATATCACTCGCACCACATGTTGCCCTGTTCCGATCCTTACCTCGCGGCTCTCGAAGCGCTGCAGATCCGGGTTCGCGCAAGCAACGGATGCAGGTGGTTCTCCAGTGTGTCCGAAGGCGACATGGCGAGCATACAAGACGCGCTGGAGGGCGAGTACTGGAATAGTAATCTCTGCAAGCCTGTGTTGTTCCTGCAAGCCGTTCGTCTTGCCTGCAGGGCGCAGGGGCCATTCGACTTCGCTGTTGAGCTCGGGCCTCACCCGGCCCTGAAAGGCCCCGCGCTTCAAAACATCATCGACGCGTCGGACAGCAAGCTGCAGGTGGACATCCCTTACGCAGGACTCTTCCACCGCGGCAAAGGCGCCATCGAGACTGTTGCAGAAGCTCTTGGCTGCATATGGTCTCATCTTGGGGAGTGCAGCGTCGACTTTGGATCCTATGACAGGTTCGTGTCGGGCCTCGCAGACAAGAGGCAAAGGTTAGTCAAAGGATTGCCAACTTACGCATGGGACCACAGCCATGAGTACTGGCACGAGCCGCGATATGCGAAGGCCCAGCGAAGTAGGCCAGACCCTGTGCACTCTTTACTCGGCCACAGAACCCCGGACAGCACCGGAACAGACATCCGCTGGCGTCAGATACTACATCCTAAGGAGATCCCATGGCTCAATGGCCATCGGTTGCAGGGTCAAATCGTCTTCCCAGCAGCAGGATATGTTGTCCTGGCGTTGGAGGCCGCACTTTCGATATGTCAAGACACCGCTGTGCGTCTGATTGACGTTGCCAAGCTTGAGATACTCAAGGCCATGACCTTTGACGAGGAAAATACTGGCGTGGAAGCCGTCTTTTCTCTTTCAGATATCAGTCCACGTAGTGGTCGATTAATCGATGCCAGTTTCAGGTATCATGCGTCAGATGAGAGACGTGGCGACTCTCTTAGCTTGCTTGCGAGCGGGCGTATACGTGTGACGCTCGGCGAGTCTGCGCCTGCATCTCTTCCCTCTAGAAGCTCGCGTCAAACGCACCTTTACCCTGTCGAGGTCGACGACTTTTATGCGTCACTGCGTGATCTCGGATACCAATACTCACCACCGTTCACTGGGCTGAGCCATATAGAAAGAAGGCTCGCTGCATCCACGGGCTTCATTGCTAACGTCCAAACAGCAGATCTCCTTATCCACCCCGCCGTGCTTGATGCCGCTTTCCAGTCTATCTTCCTGGCGCAGTCTTTTCCCAACGATGGTGGGATCTGGGCGTTACATGTTCCGAAGAGAATTCGAAATATCAGAGTGAACCCCGGGCTCTGTGCGGAGACCGCCAAGTCGGCTCTGCTGCCATTCGACTCGGTCCAACCTGAAAATGGAGCACCGTTCTCAGGCGATGTCGATATATATGCGGACAGCATAGGTCATGCGATGATTCAAGTCGAAGGACTGACGGTGAGCCCCTCCCTGACCCCCTTTCTTTTATTGTCAATTTCAACATAGCAGCCGAAATTCTACATGGTCCCAGTAGCTGCGGAGTCTGGTGCAAGCTCACCTCAGTATTAAGCAGCGCTGAGCTAGTTCTCGTTGAAGCTCTAATCATTCAGTCTGGAGAGATGCTGACAGCCGAATTGGCAGAGTGTTCCACTTGCTACCACCGCAGCCAGAGACGACAAGGAGATGTTCGCAACAACAACTTGGAGCGTTGCTGTACCCGATGCCAGACTAGCTCTGCAAGAAGGCATGGTAACGCCAGAACACCGCGAACTGGCTTGTACTCTTGAGCGGTCTGCGATCTTCTATCTGCGCAGACTGGACCACGCTTACCCAAGCGACCATCCGGCCAGGTCTGAAGGACCAATCACGGGTATTTTCCAGTACGCGTCACACGTTCTCGCCTCAGCTCGCGAGTCGAAGCTACCGTACTGGAAACCAGAGTGGGAATTCGATACGTTCGAGCAAATATCCATGGCCTGCCAGCGCTACTCTGATACTGCGGAAGTTGAGCTGCTTCAGGTAATTGGAAATGACTTGGTTGAGATCGCCAACGGCGAAAAACAAGCCCTTGAGTTTGGTATGGAGAACCACCTACTAGAAAGGTATTACACGCAAGCACCCGATATATCAGTCTTCACCAAATACCTGGCCACAATCATCGGGCAGATCACGCATCGATATCCGCACGTCCATGCCCTTGAGGTTGGCGCGGGCACAGGAGCTGCTACAAGGGAGATCTTGCAGGGAAATGAACATGTATTTGCCTCTTACACGTTTACGGACATCTCCTCCGGCTTCTTTGGTCGCGCGAGCGAAGTGCTCAGCGGTCAGCACAGCAGAATGGCCTTCAAGATCCTGGATATCGACAGCGATCCATGCTCACAAGGCTTCTCTGAGCACTCGTACGACTTAGTCATTGCATCAATGGTCCTCCATACCGCCAGCTCCTGGTGGCAACCTTACGCAACATCAGACGTCTTCTGAGGCCAGGAGGCTATCTCGTGCTTGAGGGCTTACCGGACACTGCCATTCGTCTCGGAGCGATATTTGGGGCTTTTCTCGGCTGGTGGGCCGGCTCAAACGACAATAGAACTCTATCGCCCTTCGTCAGCCCATCTAGATGGGACCAGTTGCTTCGTGCCGCAGAGTTCTCGGGCTGCGATACTGTCACTGAGAATCCTGACCTTTTGGCCATGCCCTTGAGTGTCTTCGTCTCTCAGGCCGTGGATAACCGGATCCTCTTCCTTCGAGATCCGGTGTCATTATTTCGGGAACAATTTGGGCCTGGCGATCTCATCAAAACCCTGGTCCTTGTTGGAGGAAAGAGCCTGCGAACATCTCGACTTATCGCGGAGTTACAGACGCTCGCACGCCCGTTCTGTCAAAACGTAATGCTGGTGTTGTCCTTACCACACATGAGTTCCTTACTATTCAACTCTGATGCCACTATTGTTAGCTTGACAGACATAGATGAGCCCCTTTTCAAGAATCCCTCCGAGGCTGCCTGGGAAGCTCTAAAGGCAGCGTTGCTGAAAGCAAAGAGTCTGTTGTGGGTGACACATGCACGGGATTCCAAGAACCCTCATGCGAGTATGATCCTTGGATTCCTGCGCTCTTCCCTACGCGAGATTCCCACCCTTGACTTCCAAAGTTTGGATATTGAAGACGCTCAGCAGATCAAAGCTCAGCTTATCTTCGAAAGTATCCTGCGACTGAATGCCATCAAAGCGTGGCAACGAGAAGGTACGACTAGCGATATGCTGATAACGGCCGAGCCCGAAGTGAAGCTAAGTGAAGATGGCCATGCGATGATTCCGCGTCTGCAAATGAACCGACGCATGAATAATCGGTACAATTCTTCACGACGAATCATCACGTTCAAAGCCCGCCCAGACAGCCAGACTGTCATTGTGGCCTCGTCTGACTCGGGGTATCACCTTCATCTCCGGCTACGCTCGATTGGACCCCCAAAGTCCGACTGCCTCCGTGTTTCACATTCTTTTCTGACAGCAGTCAAGGTGTCCGAGACTAGCTGCATGTTTCTGGTCATTGGGGTGGGATGCGAGTCTGGGGAGCAGCAGGTCGCTTTATCGGACTTACACGGATCTCTGATCCGTCCAGGGATACACCTCTCCGTTCCGGTGACTGTTCCTTCCGGGCTCGAGCCTGCACTGATCACCAATATCGCTCATACACTGGCTGTATCTGTCGTACTGAGGGGCTTGGTAGAGGGAGACCATGTTCTCGTGTATGAGCCACCCGCCGCGTTCGCTGCAATACTGGCGGAGACAGCTGCGCTCGTCAACGTCCATGTCACGTTCGTTTCATGCCGCCCAAGAAGTGGTGCCCACAATTGGAGGACGATTCACCCATACGCTCCTGGGCGACTCCTGTCTCTTTTGCCTCTTGAAAAGTTCGCTGTTTTCGTGGACTTCATAGGAGATAGTGAAAACCGCTTTCTTAGCGATCATATTCATTCACTCCTATCCCCCAACTGCCGCCACGAGAAGGAACAAACGCTTTTCAGCAACCGATCTTGGGTACCTCGCGATTCAGACCTCAAGGACATACGAACCCAGCTTCAGAAGGCCATAGCAACCGCTGAAGCCCACTGTGCCAGTCTCGGGCCAAGTGACTTTCGCACCATAGCCCCAAGTGATATCTCTGATCTCAGAACGGATCCAGCGCCTCTTGTCACTATAGACTGGACCAGAGAGCTGCAGACATCCATCAAGGTGCAACCAGCGGATTCTGAAAGACTATTCAAAGGTTCAAAGACCTACTGGCTTGCTGGCCTTGGCGGCGGACTCGGATTGTCCCTTTGCGAATGGATGGTTCGCCACGGAGCTAAGCATGTCGTTCTTTCCAGTAGGCAACCCAGCATTGACGACTCATGGCGGAGCAAGATGTCGGCCGCAGGTGCTATGATCAGAGTGTTCTCTTGGTATGTTGCATCAACCCCTTCCCGTTAAGACCCCACGTTGACCAGCGTCCGTAAAGCGACCTTACCAATCTGCAAGACACTTCACGCGTTGTATACTAAGATATGCTCGAGTATGCCCCCCATCGGGGGCGTGGCTCAAGGCGCGAGTGAGTCGGCTAGACCTTTCCTCATTTGAGTGCACTGTAGCTAACTATCTCAGTGGTCCTCGAGGACGCCCTTATACGTGACATGACGTTCAGTCCGCTGCGCGATGCTACCCTCCCCAAAGTCGATGGGAGCTGTATTCTCAATGACCTGCTACGTGACTGTACGCTTGAGTTCTTTGTGTTCTTCAGCTCCGCCTCTGCTGTGGTTGGCAACCCTGGGCAGTCCAATTACTCGGCAGCAAATTTGTTCATGTCCAGTTTGGCAGAGCAAAGGCGAAGACATGGACAAGCAGCATCGGTAATCAACATCGGGCCTATACTTGGTGTTGGGTATGTTACTCAGCAGGGTATCGACATAAAAGTACAGGTACAAGCAGAATCTCAGATGTTCATATCTGAACACGACTTTCATCAGCTGTTTGCAGAAGCCGTTCTCGCAGGGACGCCGGGCTCCTGTGGTCCCATCGAAATCACCTCAGGTGTAGCAAGGGTTAACCACTCCCAAAGGTCCCAGCCAGCATGGGCATCAAACCCTGTGATGAGCCAATTCATTCGATTTGACGAACCAATCGATTTGAATACAGCTGTTTCTCAACAAGACGTCCCTGTCAGGACCCAACTCGAAGAGGCGCGTACCAAAATTGACGTTCTAGGCATCATTGCCGAAGCTCTGATTCCGAAGCTCTGTGTTCTCTTCCAGCTCCAAACCGAAGACCTCGCAAGAGAAAATCTCAGTAATTTGCATCTGAACGCCATGGGAACCGACTCACTACTTGCTATTGATATTCGGAGCTGGTTCATGGCCATTTTTCAAGCCAACATTCCTGTTCTGAAGATCCTAGGCGGCGCGTCGGTGGGTGAATTGATCGAAATGGCGGCAGAAGCTATTCCCCTGTCAATGCTCCCGAAAATGCGGGCAGATAGTGATGACTCCTCCATGTTGGCAACTTCCGCGTCCGAGGTTGAAGGCCCCTCGAACCCCTCGAAAGGTCACTCTGACTCTGAACCTCAAAACGGTTCGAGTGGTAGCCATGAGACCAGACCAACCTCAACAACGTCAAGCCAAGACCATTTCGACAGGTCTCAAGACATCGTAGCCTCCGGGCCTTACCTCCAGCAGACAGCCAAGCTCTCCTTCAGCCAGTCTATGTTTTGGTTCGTCTTGATGTTCTTGAGTGACAAAGCTGGTTTGAACCACACTGGATCGTTCCGTTTGAGAGGGAGGATCAATCCTGGTCGATTTGAGATGGCTTTGCAGGCCATTGGGTATCAGCATGAATCACTAAGGACCTTCTTCTTCGAGAAAAGTGGCCAGCCAATGCAGGGGATAATGGATTCGAGCACCTTACGAGCAGAGTATCGACAGATATCAAGTGAGGACGATGTTGCTAAAGCGGTGGAGGAGCTGCAACATCATGTCTTTGACTTGGCTCACGGAGAGACCATGAGGATCATGCTTCTATATCAGTCGCCGACAATCCAGTACCTTGTGCTTGGAACGCATTCTCTCATTGTGGACGGTTGGTAACTTCGAGTATTTCTAAAGGACCTCGAGCATCATTATATACCCACTCCCAGGCCACTCACGACTCCGTCGTCCTTCAAGTACTCAGACCGGCAATACGTGGACTTCGCGCATGGACAGTTCGACGGCGAACTTACTTTCTGGAAATCTGAGCTTGCGGAGTTGCCTCCACCCTTGCCGATTCTTCGCTTAGGGCGCGCCGTGTCGCGCCCACCGCTTACTCTATACGACAATGAGCGAGCTTTTATCAGGTTCAAGCCGGACCCAAAGGGCAGAATCCAGACACTTTGCCGCAGCTGCAAGGTCACCCCGTTTCACTTCTACTTGGCCGTGTTCAGGGTGTTGCTGCTACGATACGCCGACGCTGGGGATGTCTCGGTTGGAATAGCGGACGCAAACCGCAATGACGAGGAGACAATCAACAGCATCGGATCGTTCGTCAACCTCTTGCCACTGTCCTTCCACGCCAATGCAAACACCAAGTTTCATGTACTGCTCGAAGAAACGCGCGATAAGGTGTTCGCAGCCATGGCCAACTCACGAGTTCCGTTCCAGGTCCTGCTTAACGAGTAAGATCGCTCCCGCTCTTCGCTCGCTTGAATGAAAGTCTCTAACTTCTTATATAGGCTAGATATTCCTAGGTCGGCCACGCACACCCCAATCTTCCAGTCATTTGTTGACTACCGCCTGGGCCAACGGGAGCTTACCCAATGGGCCGATTGCCAGCTCGAAATGCAGAGTTTCCACGTTTCCAAGCTAGCATATGACGTTGCCCTTGATATCATTGACGACCCCGATGGCGACTGTCAGGTCGCGCTTATAGTTCGCAGGGACTTGTACAGCGAGCAAGATGCTGGATATTTAGCTAAGAGCTTTCGAATCATGGTTGAAGCGTTTTCCAAAGATGCCGAAATGGAAATAATCCGGGCGCCCATATACGACCACACAGATGTCAGCAGAGTGACAGCGTTCGGACAAGGTATTTACGATCGCGCATTTGGTGCAAGAACTCAGTATATATGATCCTGAAACTGATGAGTTGGTCGCAGGTCCACGGCACAAATCCTCATGGCCAGAGACGATTCTTCATAGAATCTGCGATGTAGCTGAGTGTCTGTCAACCGAACTTGCAGTCGATTGGATGGACGGCTCGAGCGTCACGTATGCGGAATTACTAGTCAGGACGGCTTCCGTTGCCAACGCGCTGAAGAATGCTGCAGTCCAGTTCGGGCAACGAGTTGCTGTCCTACAAGCGCCTACTCCAGACTGGATAGCATCAGTTCTGGCAATCATGCAAGTTGGCGCTGTATATGTCCCTTTTGACCTGGGCAATCCATGGAGCCGGTTGGCGGCGTTGATGAGGGACTGTCAGCCCAGTGTCATTCTTGTCGACGACGAGACGCAACAGCACACCGAGAGACTGGGCGTGACGGTGCTCACAATCATCAACGTCGTAGGCCTAGAACTTAATGCGTCCATCCGCTTGCCCATCAGTGCCACCGCTCCAGGTACAGCAGCTATTCTATACACAAGCGGATCATCGGGCATCCCCAAGGGAATCATGCTGAAGCACAAAGGCCTGCGCAATTGGCTGGAACACACAGCGCAAGTATACGAGCTTGGTTCCGAACGCGTCTTGCAGCAAAGTTCCTCAGGCTTCGACATGTCACTCATTCAAATATTCACCGCTCTGTGTTTTGGGGGGTGCATTTGCCTGGTCCCTAGACGGCACCGTGGCGATGCTGTGGCTATCAGCGACCTCATTTACGCCCGACGGGTCACTTACACGTTCTGCTGCACGTCCGAGCTTGTCACTTGGTTGAAGTACGGTAATCCAGTCCAGCTTTCACGTTCAGCATGGCGTAGAGCAATAACAGGTGGCGAGCCGGGGGTAGGTGAACTACTCCGGGACTTTGCGGAGCTAGAAAAAGGGGATCTTCGCCTATATCATGCTTACGGTCCGACTGAAACCTCATTTACTGCCGCGACCATGGAGCTACTTTACAATGATCGAAACCAGGAATGGGCTTCCGGGAACGTTGCCGTCGGCTATACTCTACCCAATTACACTGTATATATTCTCGACGAGTACGCAGACCTTGTGCCCCCGGGCGTTCAGGGGGAGGTCTGCATCGGCGGGCCAGGCGTTGCTGCTGGTTACCTGAGTAGGGAGGAACTCAACAGAGAGAGGTTCATACCCAACGTAATGGCCTCCAAGAACGATCTGGGTCGCGACTGGAACACGATACATCGCACTGGCGATTTGGGTCGGTGGGGCGAGACTGGCGCCCTTTTCATCGAAGGCCGAATTTCAGGTGATACGCAGATCAAGCTTAGGGGCTTGCGTATAGACCTACGCGAGGTGGAACATGCTCTGCTCGAGACGGCCCAGGGACAACTTGGCGAGGCAGTAGTCTCTTGCTGCCGCATGTCGGCATCGGACCCGGAGTTCCTCGTTGCTCATGTGGTATTTAACCAGATTGTCTCAGAGGATAAGTGGTCCCAGGTTGCCACGTCCCTGCCACCCAGACTGGACATACCTCGTTACATGTGTCCTGGCATTGTTGTGCCGGTTACTAGCCTCCCACGAACAAACACTGGAAAGCTTGACCGGAGAGCAGTTGCGGCGTTACCACTGCCAAATATCAGCGTGAGAGAGGTCGGGCTTTCACGGACTGAGACTCTGCTGGGGAGCATCTGGTCAGACATCATTCCGGGCAACATGGCTAACACGAATCGCATCACGCCTAGTACGGACTTCTTCCACATCGGAGGGACTTCACTGCTGCTCCTTGAACTCCGAAGGCGCGTACGCGCAGATTTCGACACCGAGCTAAGCTTGATAAGCATGTTCGATATGAGCACGCTTGAAGCCATGGCGTCCGCGATTGAAGGCAGAGGCGAGCACCAGTCATCATCGGTCGTGGTGGACTGGGAGCATGAGGCAGGTCTCACTCTTGCAATAGCGCACGCAGGGCATTTGCAGCACGTTGTTCATGCTGATTCGAAGACCGTCGTTCTGACCGGCTCAACCGGCTACCTAGGCAGCGCAATTCTCGATGCTCTCATTGAGGATCCCTTGATCAAATCAGTGTACTGTATAGCCGTGCGCGACGTGGGCAGGCGACACATACCAGAGCACAGTAAGGTCACATTCTATGAGGGTGATCTTCTACGCGGCCGTCTCGGGCTGTCGGAGCAAGACGCGAAACGGATTTTCCACGAAGCCGACATGATCATCCACAACGGCGCTGACGTCTCGTACGGGAAGACGTGGGCGTCTCTACGACTATGCAACTTACAAGCGACCAAGGAGCTCGTGGAGATGAGCTTGCCGCGACTGGTGCCGTTCCACTATATCTCCAGTGGCGGCGCGTGTAGTTTCGCCGCTGCGGCAGGCTGCCACGAAATCGGCCCCGTGTCCGTCGCGCAATATCCGCCGCCCAGCACGGTGGCTCCTGGCTACGCTGCTAGCAAGTGGGCGAGCGAGGTCTTCCTCGAGAAGGTCCACGCCCACCACCCCGGCTGGCCCATCTACATCCACCGGCCATCCAACATCGCGCGTGCCGGCGAGCCGCATCTCGACCTCATCCACAACCTGCGCCATTTCTCACGCGTGATGCGCGCAGTGCCGGTGGCGCGTGGAAGCGCCCGCGGAGCGATCGACTCGGTCGACCTCGGCGAGGTGGTGCGGGGCATCATGGGTGCCATCCACCCGCCGGATGGAGAAGAGGAGCACGGTCGGGACGAGAAGCTGCGGTTCCTGCACCACGCTGGCGGCGATCACCTCCCGCTGGACGACATGCGTGCGTGGGTGGCCGAAACCGGCATGGGGGCCGCCGACTCCGAGGAGTGCAGGCCACGCTCTGAAGTCGAGCAGCTGCCCTTCGCGGACTGGGCGAGGCGCGGCGGCGAGCACGGCATGGACCCGGTTGTGGTGGCCTTCCTGCAGGCCTTTGAGAACCGTGGCGAAATGGTCTTCCCGCGGCTCATGGGCGAGGTGATCGTTGACAGGTCGATGTGAACCATGTTCGGGGTGCACCACTACTGTTGGTGGTGGAATATGTTGTTGAATTTCATCATGTCATGCTAGGGTTATACAGACGCTTTGGGAGATCTTCTCCACTTTTTTCGTATAATATACGCGTCTACTTCTTTTGGCACTGCCGTAGGTTTTTTAAGGTCAAGATTGTGAAAGGCCTGAGGGCGGCACCTCTCGGACCGTCTTGGCTGACTGGTATCCAGCCAGCTACGATCCCTTCCAGCTCTACATCGTACTGGGAGAAATCGCCAACAATACAAGCTCAGCCATCCAGGGGCTCGCGCATCTCTACAACATGCAGGAGGGCCGCGTAGTGAAGCGTAAAACCATTTTAATTTTTGTATATCGATACTACCTATCCGTTTTGGCAGTTTACGATATATCACAGTGCAGGGTGAAGCACCGAGTTCGCTTTAGGTTGGCACCTCTTTTCTACTTCCAGTCCCGCGATATCTGTTCTGGACCTGGTTGCTTGATGGCCACGACATGATGCCATCCGCAAGCTTCGCCTGCATTAGTGGCCTAGTTGAAATAGGGTGAGTGTACGTCGGCTTTGGAACAGGTGAATAACAAGCATCAGCCTTCACTGTGGCCTTCGGCAAGGGAAACATTGGCCTGCATGCCAGCGAGGCTCTTGCACAATATCGATCATTCCGGCAGGTCGTCTTAGCCCGGGGCCCGTTCTGGAACGCGTCTTCCCTGTGCATGTTCGCAGTTAACAATATAAGCGTCGCGTCATCGACGATATCCTCCCAACTGGCGCAGACGTACCCAAGTGACGCAAAGTGGATGGCCCTCGACGCTATCCTCTCCATGTATCAAGCCATACCAGGATAGCACGTCTACGGTTGTGCCTTACCCAAGCACGAGTGCATCATCAGAGACATACATACCCTCGAATCCGACCAGCAGGCCTCGTACCTGCCTGGTCGAACAAGGACCGGCCCATGTGCCTCACTCACGGTGGGCCCTGTGAATGACGGTACCACAGGACAAGACTCCTGCTCCGTGCGGGCGATGCGGAACAGAGGAAGAAGTCATCTGTCCATGTTGAATTGACTGCAAGCACGAGGAAATTATATCTGCGGCATTTGGACTTCAGTGCTCGCTTGAGATCACACTCGCTCTTGTCAAGCAAGTAAGGAGGAGACTTTCGGCCGTTGTCGGATCCTGTACCGGTAAAGCACAACACCAGCACCGTGGCCCTGACGTAGAGGTACCACTCTGCCGGGACCGCCTGGTCGATTCGAGACCTAACTCTTTGGTATCAGTGCCTGCATTGCATGTTCACCCTGACTCGCGTCCCGGTCTGGATTGGGCGTAGTATCGGAACCACTGACATGGCAGTCACCCCCACGTTCCTCAGTGGAGGTCGAAGAATCACCCCCCACATCTTCAGAGTATTGTTACATGGGTCTACTGCTTTTTTCTTTTGTCGCAGTTCACATCAGGGTCACCCTGGATGAGCATCATTGAGCAAGTTAGGCCATGCTGGGGTTCTTGTTCATGCAAGTTGTACGTAGCGGGTCGTCGGGTTCTTGACTCTGATAAGACCCCCACCAATGGACAATGACTGAGATTCAACGGTATTCTTGTGCTCCCAACGGTGGATGTGGTAAGCATGAGGAACAGGCTAGTGAGTTGGAGACTTAGAGAAGAACACTCGGATGTATTGCATGCCCTATCAGACATTGTACACAGGTGCCAGACACAGAGCATCTGGATCGAAAGTTCGAGATATACTTCCTAGATGGTATGAGAGCGAACTCGTTGCTCCTATCACACTGCCCGCTTCCCCGGCCGGCCGACTCCATCCACGCCGTAGTTGAATATAGAAAAGACTAGCCCAAAGCGATAGAAAAGCAATAGATGATCTTCCCAAAACTCCACATATCCCCCTAGCATCGAAGAATGGTCATATACAGTCCATCACTGCCTCCAGACCCTTGAGATAAAGACCTTCGCCAAAAAGCAACAGCTGTGGTTCATGAGATGGAGTAAGCCCTAGGCGGGATACCACGATAGTGGAGGAGAAAATGGTGGAGGAGACATCCATGGTGAAGGAGACTTCGACGTTGCAAGCTCACGGGCGACGCAGAGTTGGTCTGTGACGGTCCCCATTCGCAATGTCACCTTCGAGAGAATCATCTAAGCAAGGACTCATACATGAAGCTAATCAGCGGATGTACTCACGCGTTGCGTTAGCTAACATAACCACCACAGCCTGCGCAACACCGACCTGGCAAGACCCAGATTTCCCTTCCGTCGTCCAGACACGACGGGCAGCGTTTGCCAGGAGCCTGGTGTAGGTGGTCAGCTATGATAGTTGCGTGAAAGGAGGCGAACACATACCGTCCCGGACATGTCGACCAGCGGTGCAGTGTGGTTGGAGCTTGCCAGGACCTCGTCATGAGAGCAAGAAGTGCATGAGGATGCCATTATGCTGATAGTTCGATAGTCGAGATTCAAGACCTGGCTGGTTTGAGTGTGTATGATGGCGAAGTTGAGCGTGGATGATGAGCTGGAAAGGTTCGGAGAGTCTGGGTTCTTGCAACATACTTATACTTCTCAGACCCCTTGCTTCTAGGATATGGGCCGGGTAGAAGCTGCAGCATTAGGGTGATGATCTATCCCCATGATAATGGTCTTCTCTCGCTGGTGAGCGGGTAGTTGACCGCCGTGTGGAAGCCATCTGGTAGACCTGTCCGTACCCGGAGTAAAAAGGAGAGCTGCGGATCAGCACGCACCGGGAGGCTGGCGGCAGACTAACGCTGTCTATCAAGACGTCAATATCGAAGAGAGTTTCAACTGGAGCGTGTCGCCAAGTAGGTGGGTACTACTCTGCAAGTAGTATGGACTCGGTTCCCCAGCTCTATCAACTTTCGAAGGTGGAGGAGGACGAGAAGGAGTAGGGCTTCGGAGGTGATCTGGACCTCGAACGAGAAACCACCAAGTGGGGCCGGTAACAAGGGTAGAAACGTGGGCTGGGCACACGATTCTGGTACCTAGGTAAGTATCCGTTTCGTGATGGCGGATATGCGTTGAAGTTCGAAGACGACCATTGGGCCAAGAGGGCGGAGACATGGGTGTAGGTGCCAAGGCGAACATTCCGCCCATCGAAGCTGGAAGCTAGCGGAACAAACGAAGATTGTAGATAGGGGTCGAGCGGCCTGAAGTCTGACAGGCTACAGCACAGACAGAGTCACATTCGGGATATTTTGCTAGAGATCGGGCGTGCGTAGATGGTGCGGTGCGGGTACTTCGTGGGTCGATGCAAGCAAGTGGGTCGGTCATCTGCCTGGCAAAGTGAATAATTGTGCAACTATACGTACCTTACTATTGCTATGAAGGGGTCCGGTGAGACACCTCAATAGCAGGCACGTGGCAGAGGGGTTGTAACTTGTACGGTGGCCCGGCTTCCCGAACCTCTTGATCACTTTTCACCTCCTCCCTCAACGTCCTCCTCGGAACAATACTCGCACTATTTTATGACCTGCGTCCATATCGGATGCCGGCTATGTGTCGTCTGCGAAAATGACAGCCCAATCCACAAGCGCTTCCACTCTAGCACTCCCATCCGTATACTGGGTTAAGTCGAATAACAAAGGCCTTGGGTTGCTTTTGAGTATAGGGCCCCGTCACCGAGGCAGCACCCCTAGTAGCGGTCGAATCGAGGAGGCCTGTGGAACGACAGCCGTCCGTTGCATTTGATCTCGGATTTACGGTGGGTGCAGCATCGTGCTGCTGTGCTCAGATGTGGCCTGCAGGTGGCCTGCAGGTCGTCTGCAGGCGCTTTAAGCAGCACGATGCTTTTACCCAGATGCTTGCTACGTCAGTTCGCAGCTCCATGATCTCACAACGCTCGTGGATTGTCTTGCCTTACGTCGAAGCTCTCGCCTCCTCATAAATGCTACCCCGTCCAGAATCACAAAGGCATGGACGTTCAAATGGACCGTTATGTACGATCATGGTACGTTCTAATGAAGAGTCTGAGCCAGTTCCCTTCGACGTCCCGTTATAACTCTGCCCATATCGATCGTGGACCACCGGCTTGAAGTTGCTTTTCTCCTCTTGACCGGCCCCGCCCCGAAGCCCCTCACCGGTGAGCTGTATAGTAGCTGTCGACAACCTCTACGCTATCGTATCGGCGATCAAATACGCAGTAACGACCTCAGCGGCCCGGTGACTCCATCACTGCATGGTTCTAGGGGTGAACATCAGGCGGATCTCCCAAGGCTCACCTACTAGGCCCGAGGCTACATTACCAGTCGTCGTTTCGGGGCGCCTTTTCACCGATGGTGGAAGCACTGCTTTCCATCTCGACGGCTTTCTCGACACCGACATTTCCTTCAGGCCCATCTCATGCCAAAGGGCCCCCTGCATACACGATAGACCTAACACACGAGTGAGGTGTGCTCGAGTCCTCCCTAATTTGACAGGTCACATTGAGCTGCTGCACGAGGCAGGCTTGCCAACCGCCCAGTCCCTGAGCACCATATTCTCGCCACAATCTGGCTCCACTAACGAACGATCGCTGTGCTTAGCCATATGGTACAGGTCACCTGTCACCTCACAGTTTGAACGAGGATATATCATGTTTCAACTGTCGGCTCATACCGAGCTGTCAGAGCGGTCGAGGGCCACAGACGACTAGCACTGTAGAAGCCCATGACTGACGCCACTCATCCGTGACCTCGGGTCTCATCCCTGTGTCCATCAACAGGTGGTTGGGAACACAAGCCTGAGCTACCATACTGTCGGGACTAATCATTCAACAGCATCTGGCATTTGCCTGTTTACTACTTGTCAATCCTCAGGGATACTACATATGGCTTTCAAGGCGATATGTACGCAGGGTATGAACAGCCCGTGCCTTATTGGGCGTATCTTTGGCGTCCCCCAGCTGTAGGACTTCTTGTGATGATTATCCCAGCTCAGGATCATCCTGCCTATCCGCCTTCAGCATACCAGTACCGTGGACAGACTCATGTTTTGAAAGAAACGCAGCTCTGCGAGTATCCTTTGGTTACGGCAGTCTTGCCGCGGATTACATTGGATTACCTCCGCGTACCCGCGAAAGATGTGATATGTCATTTATCACATTCGTGCAGTGGCGCTCAACTGCCCGCTCCCCCCCCCGGTTGTCAATCGCGCAGGTGTGCCACGTAAGCCCAAACTTCCCAACTCAGCACCACAGGATCTCTTAGACTCTGATGCTGCATTAGTGGCGCGCGATAGACCCGGGAAGAAGAAACTCATCTCGCATCATACTCTAGCTTGAGCCAGACCGCATGTTAAAGGGTTACCTGATCGAGAAGTTCCGTTTCTTTATCGGCAGATGATTTCAGCTCCCCACACAACAGCCTCAGCCCAACTATACTGTCTGACCAGCTGCTCAGGGAAAACTTTCCTCCACATACTGCATATGGACGGGGCCAACCCGGAAGAACGAAGGCTGCTGAACTGCTGGATAAGGCGTAACGCCTCAGCGAGACACGGTTCAGCTACTCATGCAGCAGCTGTGGCGTTCCCATCATCATTCGAAACATCTGACTCGTCATTCCTCGATGTCATTGCCGTTGGGAGAACTACCTTTGGTCTGTCATTCAACGGTGTCTTGAAACATCTAGTCTCGGCCGGCCACGCATAGCGACCTGTCACTTTCGCGGACCGAGTCGGTCAACGAAACCCAGCACACCGGTGTCCCCGAGTACACCGGTCGGTCCCTCGACCTCATTTCAACTATAGAAGTGCGGAACTAGTATGCGGGGATGGAGCCCCTATAGCTGACATCCATCTCAACTTTTGTCCCTCGACTGACTGACTGACCCTCGCTGCCCCTTGCCTGCATGGCCGGCTAGTCACGGAATGGATTTGGTCGCGTACACAGAACGCAATTGGATATTCTATCATTATACTTAACGCTGCCCCCAGCCGATACTTTCTTCTTCCTCCGCATGCAGGGACGCTCCCCCAATACCACCTCGATACTCCGCAGTCCCTGGTACTGGCACTGGCAGATGAGAGATAGAGCGAGAGTGCCCACTCCAATGACTCTATGCTTGCCTTACTCCCTGGATTGCTTCTTCATCACTGTGCTGCGGACCTGCGGTGATCCCACCGCTATCAATACGAGAGCCAGCGGATGCGCCATCAACGTTCTAGACGCCCTCAGGCCCCCTTCCGCGCATGCTCCCGATGACGTAGTTGCGGGTTGACCCATACCGCATCTCCAGACTAGGCTTTGCTTTGCTTCTATTCTACAGCATGTAGACTTGACAACATCAATTACTCTGTGGACCACGTTATCACATGCGAGGGACGACGATGCTCCCTCCCTCCCTCCTGTTCAGCCTGAGGTAGTGACTCATTCGCTCAGGACGGTCCACCTGCTTGGCCTAATAATAAGTATTGCTCTGCCCCTTCGAAGACGAGCGACTGTCATCCGATGATGAGGAAAACCCTCCTGACCTAGGTGGCCTATCTCCCTATTTGCCTTACCGCAACCCTACTTGCCTTATTGCAACGCTACCATGGACTGCAACCCTACTACGGGACTGCAACCACACCACCAAACAGAACATGCAATCAAGACCAAGCACCTAGATATGACGACCTACAGTCCAGATTACCTGGAGTCGGCCCGTCAAGCAGTCGACCGTGCATGCATACACACCGAGTTGGCTGCCCAGGAGTAGCGTAGCAACTACGACCATAGGCAACGGGATTGCGTAGGTAGTAATCTCCATCCAGTCCATCCAGTCCGTCAGTCCGTCACCGTCATCAGCGGACAAGGACCTACCCCAGATTCCGCTGTCCCAGATTCGCGGGCGACTTAGTGTGATGGTTAAGTGGGCATACATATTCAGAGTGTTGAAGAAGTGTCAGAATATGCGGCTTGTCTGGCCACGCCGGTTTGAAAGAATGGTGGGTACTTAGTAACCTTGGCCTCTCGGAACGTGTCACCGTCGGAACGCGTTTGTTCGAGTCCACATGTCACATCGTAGGTATCTCTTTTTGTTTTGTTCTACTTGGGCAGCTTAGCTGCCAATGCTGGGTGGACCTCCCGCCAGTCTCGTTGATTTGACATATGTACGTACGTGTGTTCGAATACAAGGTGCGTTTCGCGCGAGCTACCATGCCGTCTAGCTCCTTGGGTATCCCAAAATATCAAGTCGCCCAATGCTCCCACCTGTGTAACGCCGATCAAGACCCCTTAGAGTAGAAGAAGCTCTGCGGTGACGGCTTCTCGGGCCATACACATACACAACCAGAAACAACCTACCAGTAACGACTCCCTTCCCAATAAGGTACTGAGCACCTAAGATCGCCCGCATTCCATCTTTTCTATCCAAGCCACCCGCTGCGCCCGAAGTCCAGTTGGGGCGGACTCGTACGGTTCGGGGCGAAGAGTGGCAGAAGAAAAATGACGTCTTTGCAAACACAAAATATGACAGGTATGCAACCGTAGCAATCCCGTGACATGCGAATGGTACGTTGCGCTTTGTTGCGTTTTGTTGCGACCTCGGTCAGCTTGTTCCCGTCACCGAAAATTCTTCATTATTTTCGCGAGCAGGACACCTTGCGTTTCATTGCCGTTGAGATCCAATAAGTGAATGAAGCGGAAACCCGTTGCGAGACGGTCGAGTCGTATGCAGGCCCAGCCGGTGAAGTCGCGAGACCTGGGTACTAGTCTCGCGTCGTCTTCGACCTTGAACCTGGGTAAAAGGACATATGTTAGTGTGGTTCCATCAAAAACCCCAAGTTCTCGAGAACAAGGTTGCAAACAGCCCCGAGAGGGAAAGAAGGCCGAATGTTACACAACCGGGAGCAGGGGCCAGAGCCGCAACCGGTGAACATGAGCTGTCAAAAGGAGATCCCAGGCCTCGGCCCGCTCCCGACGGCATCTATCGAGTTGGTGTGACATGGCGTCTTATATCGTGGAGCTCCATCCATCGCTTGACGGGCCACTGCACTTGCCGCCTCGGCCGCTTCCCTTTCGACCGCATACAACGCGAGGGCTTGGCCGCATGAACGACGTACAGGCCCGACTGTTCGGAATCGGGGACGCAGGCAACCCATGGAGGATGTAGGAAAGCGACGGATGGGAGGACACCGGTGATGAGAAAATGTCTTACCTGACGAAGCTGAGCTGCTCCACCACATTCTTGATGCCCGTAAATTGAATTTCTCGGCTGCCGGGGGCGAACTCTGGATGGTCTGTCATGCCAGCTCCAGTCTTCTGCTTGTATTCAACTTCCCGCAGCTTTCCGCCACCTTCAACCGAAAGCCCAGACCGCTCGTCTGCTCTCTCAACGTGCAACTCGCACTTCACCAGTGGTCGGAATGACCTCCCCTTGGCGCTGCGAAGGCCCTCAGGCAACGGGATGTGCTGGCCCGCGAGGATCTCAATGATGAGATCAAATGTGCGGTGAGGTAGTCTATTCACCAGAGAATTCGGGGCATCGTCGCTACGATAGCCCGGCGGTTTCAGGACCCAGCCGTCCTCGCCTGAAAACATGGCTTTGTTGAGCATCATGCCTTCATCCCATGACTGCCAATTCATCGCAACCATCTGCACCCCTTTCCGCCAGAACTGCGAAGGGTCAAGGTTGGATGAGTCCCAACGACTACCTTTGGGATAAGCTCGCATGAAGAAGTGGCGGTTATGTGAAAATAGTTCATCGTGCTTTGTAGCGGCGAGCTCCAAGATTCTCGATTCACTAATCGAGAATATATGTGACGGTGTCTTCGCAGCCGGTAGTTCGAAGTTCTGGAACGTTTCGCTGTGCGTGTGGATGGCAAGGTTGCTGAGGTTTTCACAGATAGGTACTTTTGGCTTCTTGCCGCTCGCCAGAGTCGGCCTGTCATCCTCGGAGCCAGACGCTGCGTCATCGTCGAAGGTCAAATTTGGTGACAATGAAGCCATAGTCCCTGAGCTCTCCAAGCTTGGCGATGCCTTCTTGACTTTGACCAGTATCTTGTTGAGTAACTCCTCCAACCTTGGCATCCGCCCATTCGGACATGTCTCATGAGGCTTTTCAACCATTAGACCTGCCCATTCTTCTTTCATGATCTGAACCATTATCTCTTGTTGATCCTGATCAGCATGAACTTCCAGACTGACTATGATAGGCAAGCTGGTAGTCTCGAAAGCAACCTCGCGAATTGCCTTGCAGACTTCACGGAACCCCACCGGAGCGGTAAAGGTCCATCCGTGCATGACAATAGGCTCGTCCCTTGGTAATGATGGCCTAGATCGAATGGATAGTCGATCCGAGTCTGATCTCTCTGTGGCGGCGGCAGGATCGAGGGTGCCCCCGCTCTCTCGACCAAACGGAGGCACTGCCAACTCGGATTTGCTACACCTGGGACTATGGCTGTGGATCTTCTCGACGCCCAACCTCTGTCTTGTATGCTCAATCTTATCCTCGACGGTGGTCTTGACATGGGCCGCAGCGCTGTGCAGACTTCCTCCAGAGATGTGGCGAGTATGATCGAGTCTTGGGCCACCCCTTCTCGATCCTGACCGAGATTTCTCTAGAGTCGAGCTTGGAGAATCACCATCCCACACGTCTATCTCAACACATCTGCATCCCTGGCGAAGAACACGTCGATAGGCGTCTGCTGTACTCCTGCCCGACAATTGGTTCCCGGACAGGTATGTATTGTGGCTGCTGCTAATGAAGTAGTTGCTGATCGGTTTGGAAAGGTCCTTGTCTCCCTTTGGAGCGGGTTTCTCTGCCGTGAGTACGCCAAACTGCGTCCACCACACCTCAAGAAACTTCTCAAATTTGTATGTTTCGTCGGTCAAGACAGGCGCCCTCTCTCCTTGTTCGGTCTCTAGGAAGTTCTGGAAGTATTTTCGGGACAGTGTGGGCTCGCCTCGACGCAGGAAGTCGAATTGTTTCCGCAAGTGGCGTTGAATGGCATAGCTCAAGTAGATATCCTTCTCGCCAAAGTGTATGACAGTGGGTGTGATGAAGGAAGCCAAATTGATGGCCCGTTTAAGTGCCATTATCGTATGCGCTCCATGGCCGGCGTTCAGAGTGAGGCGGCGCCGCAGTGTCGTCTTCGAGTCGGTCGGTTGTTTTCGCATCTAGACATCTGACCGTCAGCATTGGGTGTGGTAGGACCGCAGAGGGTTTCCACGTAGTCACAGTCCGGGTGACAACGTACAGCAAAGCACGACGAGGTCAGCATTGGGTGGGCTGGTCGGGTCCCCAGAGGGAAGAAGGTCACTGAGCCAGTGCTCAAGGGGAGCAAGCAAAGGGGATTATGTATATCATCAGGATAGAGGGGCGCTGCTGATGATCAACGCGTGTCAAGGGAAGCAGTACAGGGTTGCCAATAGGCCAAGAGCCACAGATGATGGCAGACTGCTCGACACCTCAGGACGTAGAGCTCGTCGAGACAGGAGAAAGGTCGATTATCGAGGTAGAGAGGAGGGAAGAAGGAGAGCCAGGCGACTGGAAGCTGTGAGATTCGGAAAAGGAAGGATGTAAGCAAGCATTGATTATTTTATTGAAACCCCGGCGCTGCTCATCCAGCTGAGCCAGCCTCGTTCCCAGCAAGACGGAACCCCGCTAAATACCTAGTAAACCAGGGCCAGATCCCGAAGCTTGCTGGCTTGGTAGGGCTGTCACCTGTAGCTCCCGCTGTCTGGCTGTTTAGTGTGGGCAACTGGGATGACCTCGTTGCGAATACTGCAAGAAGGAGAGGGAAAAAGAGGAGAAAAGGAGGGAGAGAGAAGAAGCGAAGAAGCGGAAAGGAGACAGACAGACAGAAATGAACCATCCAAACCGTCGACTGAAATTTTAAGCAAGCTGCTGTAGAGATAGGCCCATCATTCAGCTGTTGGGGGCTGAGCCCGAGATAACCAATTGCCAAGCTGACCCATGTCAATGGCCATGCAGATAGACGATAAGGTGGTGAATGATGGACAGCAAACACAGGTGAGCTTCAAGAGAGACCATTGGTCTATGTCCACAACGGAATCTGTGCCCGGTATGTGAGCAAAACGACGTGCTGGTTGCCAGATATTTACCACTAGGTAGGTTGTCGAAGGAGTATGAAACAGTGTAGAATCTCGTGAGAATCAGACACAAGGTTGTACTTCGGTTGAGATTGAGACAGCGGGGCAATCCCCGGATAGCCCGATAGGCCATACCTACTGAGTTATCGGTGGCTGTGGCGCTGTACCTGTGTGCTGGCGCAGCCCTAGGCCGCCTGAGTGTCTCACTAGCAGCAGGCGCCCAACGCTATGATTGGCTGGAGATGTCAGAGCGTCACAGCGTGCCGAGGTTGCATCAATCCAACCCACAGCCACAGCCACACTGCCGAGACTGCCACACCATCTCCATCAGACTCCCTCCCCCATCCCACCCTGTTCCTGATTCTCGAGCAAGAACTCCTATCCGTCAAGGCAGACTGCCAGTGAAGCAAGCAATCCCACTTTAGGATACGAAGTCATCCCGAGGTCATGGTGCAAAAGACTCGCAAAGACCACGAAGCCGAAGTGCGGTCTTGGGGCTTCTCTCATGTCTTCACCTGGACAGATGGTCCGTACGTCATCACATGTCAGGCACCAGAGTATCAGACGCAAGGCTGACCATCAACCCGGATGCAGCGATGCCCACTACCGTCCGCATAGCCATGCCGGCCTCACTACACACCTGATTCTCAATGGCCAGCTGACCATCATGTACCCGAAGGATGCCGATCCCGAGAAGCAGACCTACTCTGTCGGCGACCGCATCGATGTCGATGCTGGCCGCGTCCATGAGGTGTGGATGGGGAAGGAGGGATGTACCTATGTGATAGGAGAGTGAACCGATGCTTTCAGCCCTTTGATGAGAAGTTTTGAAAGCGTCCTGATGATGTTTGCTGCCTCGATGAGCTTGCTCGTCTGTTCAGAGGGGCCACCCGAAACATTCTTTTACTCGTCGTTGGCGACGTCGACCAACATCCAGTCTGCAAGAAGGTTTCGGGTTGAACATACTACATCAGCTTTTGATCATGAGCGACAGTCAGATCGCCGGCGAGGATCCCTTTGTCAGTCATATAATGTTGGCCAGCAACCTGGAGGACCATACCACCGACGAGGGCAAGACACTATCAATACACAATGTGAGGTCGAAGACTGAGAGTCACTCAGAAGAAACCACAACACACGACTAGCAAAACCTAGACTCGGTACGCGTCTGCCTCTATTGGCTTTTGCGCACCACCCAGCCTACTCGAGAGGAACGAATCACCATCACGCGTACATACGGATCTCGTAACAGGGGGCATTGTCCACGAATTGCGGCCACCGACACTCGCCCTTGTCCAGGCAGCCCGGGTCTTTGCGACTCGCTCAGGTTGGTCCTAGGTGGCGTTCAAACACAAACATTCCTGAAGCAATGAGAATAGACTATTTTCCAACGTCATACCGACCTCTCCCAACTTTCAGTAACTTGACGCTTAGCGAATTAAGGACTTCATCTTGACTCTGTAATGAAGTAACGCATCAGGAAGTCACTCGGAGCTTGTCCTGCTTTTGGTACAACGCCTCCGCGCCACCGACTCTCGATGCTTCATCTTCAAGCCAAGCATTCAGTTTTATGGCAATCTCATCGAGCTCGAGCAATACGCGTTCTTCTCTCCACTAATTCATCTCACATCTGGCAATAGGCATCTCCAGTAGGGCAGGCAAGCTCTCGCATAGCAATGACAACAAACACATCCCGAGACCAGCCGAGCGATGCCCAGAAGCTCTACGATGGCCGAGCGTCGTGTTAACGATGACAGCTAGCATCCATGTTTCGCCCGGCACATGATAGAACTTGCCAAGATTCGACTTGGCGAAGACGTCCTCGGCCTAGCATGCGGTACAGGACTGGTCCACTACTCGGCCAGTACAGCTGTTGGGGCAGACGGTAAATTGACTGGAGTCGACATCAGCAGCGGTATGCTTGCTGAGGCAGCCGCAAAGCAGGACGCGCATGGCATCAAAAACTTACGCTTCTTCCAGCATTCAATCACCGAACTGGATTCCCTACCAGTGATGAAAGGAAGTATTTTTGACGCGATCATCCGTGCTTCAGCTTTACTACTTACTACTCGGGGGGGTCCGTCGGAGTGATCAAGCATTGGGTCTCCTACCTCAAGCCAGGCGGCAGGCTCATGGCAGACGCAACACATCCGGGAAGCCAGGTCTCACTGATGACATTCGAACGAGTGGGACGCGCCGTTGGGAGAACACTCCCATCTACCGCGCACCATCTGGGAGACCCGCAGACCTTAGGCGGCTTATGAAGTAGGCAGGGTTGCGAGATGTGGACGTCGTCTTCGTTTCGCAAATGGGCATTGAGGGGACAGACGAGTTACAAGATTACGTTGGCGATTTCGAGCATCCGCGCATAGAGCCTGCCGAGGTCAAGGGGGTTACGAAAAAGACGCGGACCGCATCTTCGGCAAGCACATCGACCACTGGGCCGTGGAGATCTCGCTCATCAGGACGCGAGGAAACGGGCCCGAAAGACATGCGGGGAAGGATGGGCCGAGCTCGCGGATGATGAAGGCAACATGAGGGAAGTGAACGGCGGTTTCGTTGGTTTTGACAAGAAGCCAACCAGAGTGCCAGAGTACTGTCTGGGGAACATTTTCATGCATCGTCGCATCTAGCTTCGAGTCATGAGAGACTTGGGGTAGATTCGGTAGGTACACTCGGCTATCGATCATTTCGTTTCCAAGGTTGTCAGCAATGAGAAGTATGCGGCCCGGTGAATATCCGTTGTTTCGATTGGCTTGTCCAGACCCCGGCATGCTCCACCACCTCCCTGGCTGTCAACCCACAATCCCGAGGTCCACGCGACCTCACTTCCCCATGGGATCCGGCGGCATCTGCCGGCCAGGCTGGGGTGTTGGGGCACGTGCGGGGACGCGTTGCGCTGTGTTTGAAAATCTCACTAATGAACATAAGACGGCAACACGGCCACCAAATCTGAGACTCGTGGTTACCAACTTTATATCTCTCATACTTGTGATCATGGCGTCGAAGGATGGTATACAACGCGTTGAGGACGCCGAGGCGAACTCTAAGATCTCGGACGGTGAAAAGGGCCATTCAGATTCTACCTCCTCACTGTCTAGCGGCCACAAAGAGTACATACTCGCCCGGCATGGCACCCTCGAACTGGAGCCCATGCCAGACATGGACGACGCTGACCCGCTCAATTGGTCGTCCTGGAAGGTATGTACAAGTCGCTGCAAGCAAGAGGTTGGCAGTTGGTCATGGCTGACCCGGTTCCAGAAAGTCATCAATCTTCTCCTCGTCGTATTCCACGCCATGATGGCAACTTTCACGGCAGCGGCGATTCAATCTTCCTTTGCACTCATCGCGGAGGACCTCGACGTCCCTATACAATCGGCAAGCTATCTGACATCAGAGGTTATCGTCGTCCTGGGCGTGGCGCCTCTTCTCTGGAGACCCATTTCGCATCGGTACGGTCGAAGGCCAATCCTGCTCGTTTCACTGCTGCTTAGCATAGTCGGCAACATCGGTTGCGCAAAATCACCAACTTACGCCGCCATGGCAGCCTGCCGTGCCATAACGGCCTTCTTCATCTGTCCGGCGAGTGCCATCGGCAGCGGCGTGGTGACGGAAATGTTCTTCAGGCAGGAACGTGCGCGGTGGATGGGTGTCTGGACGGTGATGGTGACACTGGGTATTCCACTCGCGCCATTCATTTTTGGATTCGTCGTATTACGGGTGGACTACCGCTGGGTCTACTGGATCCTTGCCATCGTGAGTTGAAGCCACGCAGCGTACAAAGCATGCGTTCGCTGACATTGATCTCTCTTCAGACCAACGGTGTGCAATTGCTGCTCTACTTCTTCCTGGGAGACGAAACTAGGTACATCCGCAACGGAGAAGTGCGTGGCGGCAAAGCCGGTCCAAAGTCTCTCTTACGCTTTAGCCGAATCGACCCGACTCCCTTGTCGTTGCGAGACTTCACCAGACCGCTCGAACTGGCTCTCCGCCCCAGCGTGGTCATCCCCGCGGCCGCCTATGCCATGATCTTCCTCTGGCAAGTCATGATCAGCATCGAGATCCCCCAAGTCTTCGCCATCCAATTCCACCTCAACACCCAGCAAGTCGGCCTCCAGTACCTGGCCTTGATCATCGGGTCTCTCATCGGCGAAGTCATCGGCGGCACGCTGTCGGACCGCTGGATGCTGCTCAAACAGCGTCGGACCGGCAGCGTGCCGCGTCCCGAGTACCGTCTGTGGCTGAGCTACTTCGGCTTCGCCCTGGGCATCTGCGGGACGGTCGTCTTCCTCGTGCAGCTGGGGAACGCGGGGGAGACGTGGAACATCACGCCCCTCATCGGCGCCGCCATCCAGGCGGCGGGCAACCAGATCGTGACGACGGTGCTGATCACCTACGCCGTCGACCGCAACCAGAGCGACTCCGCGAGCGTGGGCGTCTTCATCACGCTGGTGAGACAGGTCTGGGGTTTCATCGGTCCGTTCTGGTTCACCGACATGATATTGAATACCGGGTATGGCGCCAGTGCCGGGATTGCGACGGCCATGATGGTGGGCGTCAGCGTCGTTCCTACTGTACTCCTGCAGTGGAGGGGCGCGGGACAGAAGTGAGGTCAAGTCGTGGCTGACTGCGAGCGCGCTGTACCGGCAGGCTATGCATACTTATGTACCATATGTAATCGCTGAGGAGCGGTCCCCCAAGCGGGCCTCTGGCTTCTCAGGATCGATTGGATACATCTAGAGGCGGCTAAGACAGCTGTCTCTATCAAGGGGACCATTGCTTTGGCTATGACATATTGAGCATCTGCAAATACATCTCCGCCTGTATATAAGTACATATATATATATATATAACGTAGCTGACAAGCGAGTTGACATTACAAGCGAGTTGGCACTCGTCATGAACTTTCCAACCAATACGATTCAAACCATCATATCTCCACCAACAACAATGGCACCGCGTTATAACGAATCAGACTTGTAGCTAGCTGTTCAAGCTAAACGACGTGACCCTCATATTCCTATATTTCAGCTTGCGAAACTCTTCAACGTCCCTTGTTCCACTTTGAGCAATAGAGTCAAAGGAATGCCATCACGACGCGACAGCATGCCCAATACTTTGAAACTTATGGTTTCTGAAGAGAATGCCATTTGTTCCTTCATTCTCGACCTGGATACGCGAGCATTTCCGCCCCGGTACAGTTATGTTGAAGATATGGCGAATCAATTGTTGGCAGCGCGTGGGGCTGGACGCGTTGGAAAGAACTGGACGCGGAACTTCATCAAACGTACACCAGGCCTCCGGACGCGTTTTCATCGGAAGATAGACTACCAGAGGGTCTTGAACGAGGATCCAGACGCGTATCGCGCGTGGTTTTGCCAAGTTGCAGCAGCAGTCGCGAAACATGGTATCCAAGACGCGGATACTTACAACTTCGACGAGACTGGGTTTATGATGGGCATTATTGGGTCCGGCATGGTCGTTACAAGCGCCGAAAGACGTGGCAGGCCTAGACAAGCTCAGCAAGGCAACAGGGAATGGTCTACAGCAATCTCTGCTGTTAATGCTGATGGTTGGGTGGTCCCACCGTTCATCATTCTACAGGGCAAAACCCACCTTGCGTCATGGTATCGCGACACGATATTACCACGCAATTGGAAGGTGGCCGTGTCCGACAACGGGTGGACCACGAATGAGATTGGTTTGGAATGGATTCAGCATTTCAACAAGTATACCAGACCGCGTATGACTGCCGGTAAACGCCTCCTCATCCTAGATGGTCACAAAAGCCACCATTCCCAGGTCTTTGAGGATTATTGTCAGAATAACGGTATTATCACCCTTTGTATGCCTGCCCACTCGTCACACAGGCTCCAGCCTCTAGATGTCGGCTATTTTAGCCCGCTCAAACAAGCTTACGGTCGCATGATTGAGGATCTCATCCGGCGTCATATAACCCACGTTTCGAAGGAGGACTTCCTTGCAGCGTTTTGTGAAGCACACAACGCTGCTATGATGCCAGGAAACATTCGAGCAGGTTTCAGTGCCACTGGGCTTGTTCCTTTTGACCCAGAAAGTGTCATTTCAAAGCTGGATGCTGTCGCTGTCATACGAACACCGTCGCCAGACCCCAATCTGCCACCCACTACTTGGACTTCGAAGACGCCTACCACCATTAACGAAACGGTAAATCAATCGGTTTATATCCGAAATCGAGTCAGAAACCACCAGGGAAGCTCACCTACATCAATAGTTGATGTATTGAGCTCGTTTTCGAAGGCTACATACGGTCTTATGCATAAGGTCGCTTTGGTTGATTCCCGGGTCAGCGAACTAGAAGAGGCCAATCACTTACTAAGTAAACACCAAAGAACAAAAAACAAACGTCTAATGAAAGGAGGAATACTTTCTGTTAAAGATGCAATAGATCTTCAGGCTACAAAGGATAGTACTGAGCTGGCAAAACAAGAAATGGGTGAAAGTAATCGTCGTCCGAGGCGGGCGGCAGCGCGTGGGCGACGGTGTGGCATTTGCGGCAATACTGGCCATAATGCGCGAACTTGTACAATAGAGATAGAAACCTCTGAGGAAGAGGAATCCGATTGATTGAATTGAACTGAATGCGTTGTGGTGAAGTTATTTGACATGGCAGTTGGAGAGTTCATGACGAGTGCCAACTCGCTTGTAATGTCAACTCGCTTGTCAGCTACGTTATACATATATATATATATTGTTGGTGCGCCTGCTGCGTTAAGAGCGACCACCTCACCTCATCTTTCCACCCGCCGCCATGCCGTACCAATAAGTCTCGCAAGTCTCCTACGGGAAAGCTACACCATCCTGCCCTTTGTTTGTGGTGGACTTCGACCCGTATAACCGCGGCTTTCTCGTTGTTGTTGGAGATGGAGGAGAGACTAGGAGCGGCGTACAGTACCCAACCAGATCGTATGTAAGTACACCGGAGCTATGGAAATTCCTCTCTGCTGACTGCCAACATGAATGCAGTCTGAAGGTTCTCGATGTGTCCAACTGCGCAGTCACATCCACCGCAGCCGAACTGCCATTTTCCAGCGGCGAAGACTCCTCGGTACAATCACTCACTCGCCAACCTCGTATTTAGTACGGCCGGGGGCTCATGACCTTCGCCGGCGTCAAGTTCATTCATCCGAGGCCGATGCAGAACGAAGGCAAGAACGAGCCATCTCCGCGCCTTCGACGTCAGGTAATCCTCAGCCCGCAAGAAGCAGAAAACGGAGGAGAGCGAGCGAGAGCGATGGTGGGGACGACGGCGAGGTCAACAAGCCGGTTGGCAGCGATCGATCGCCTGTTCCAAGTCCTTGTCTGCGCCGAAAGCAGGAGAAAGTTTCGGCGTATGTCGCGTCTGTCACCAGCCCAGAAGCGGGAGTCAAGCAGCTTGAGGCGGATAGATAGGCGCAGTAACGACGGGCACTTTCGCGAAAAAGAGAAACGAGGCCGTGGTCTACTCTGGGTGAGTAAGTTATCACAGCTGGTGCGCAGTCTCCTCCTTCATGGCCGCAAGCTGAACATGACGGTATACTCAGGCACTATTCCAAACCACAAGCCGGGTGTCATACACGGCAACGTCGGAGCTACGCCCTCGGCCTTGACATCTCTACTGTATTGTGGTGTCGTTTTCACTCAGGGGCTAAGCTGATAGAAGGGAATCGCAAGGCATATCCTGGAGTCGTGGGTAGTAGCAAGTCACACAGTCACAGGTTCATTCCTCGCATCAAAGTTTCCATCTTAATAAGCGAAATTGAACTTCTTGCCCATTTTTCTATTATCCTTAGCTATGCCCTGTCCGAACGACACCAGGTATATAGCAAAGCACCCCGCCAGCTGCGAGAGGGATGAAGTAAATCAGTAGAATAGACATACGGCGAAGAGTGCAGTGCACGGTACCTTTGCTTCTTATTCTTATTGCCCACCCCAAGAACACGGATGTGACCCATTTCAACGTAAAATACCATATATAACCAATCCTGGGCAATGGTATAGCAGGCTTTTCATGAGCTGATATCGCCACCACCTCCCCTATTCCCATCTCACGAGCAGACTAGCGGGAAGGGTGCGGTGACGATAGACACGGTAAAGCCAGGAGCCTTCTCCCCAACCCCCTGAGAAGTGAGTCCACGTCCAAGCACGTGCGAATGCTGCTTGCAGTAAACCACTGACCTGGTCTTTCCACCGCAATGGCATATGGCCCGGCCATCATTACGGGATGTAGCCCAGCATGCTCGTAAGCGGAGCGGAGGGGCCAAGCTCGTCTGCTGGTGTTGTATCTGCCCGGATCTAATATGTTCATGACGAGCCCATATGGAAGAGCGACTGAGATGGCGACGACTGGATCGATCTCATTCGCGCCCTCGCGTGTCTTTTTCATGTCGTGAGTGTCTGTCTGCCGGGGACATGGGGGCAGGAGAGTGTTTAGTGAGGTAGGTGGTCCATGATCGTCTTAGACTAGGCTGCTAGAGTTTCCCTCTGCTCTCTTTCTTGCGCCCGGTTCGCCCGTGCTGTTCTGCCGTGGTTCCATCTAGTACTGAGGAGGTTCTGGGTCGTGAAGTCCCGGGGAGGCAACTCAGCTTCCCTCGAGGACATACCCGCGTGGGCTGCTTGCTATGTTGACAGAAGATGGGGAAGCGGCGGTCATGAAACTAAAAGTAAGAATCAAAGTAAGAGAAAGCAGAACGAGAGAAACCGCCTGGACAGCCACGCCAAGATGTTGATGTGTGTGGTGTGTACTCTTCTCTTCAACCACTACCAGACGCAGCTCCTCCGAAAGTGTCGGGACGAGTTTCGTTGCGGCGTTGGCTCCTTCCACCGTCTCCTTCGAAGAAATTGTACACCCGGGATGCACGAAATCCGGGTTACAAGGTTAGCGTAGTCCGATGACAGAAGGGTTGAGGATTCCTGTGTCGATGGTACAACACCGTATGTCAGTCGACGACTCTGGAATTGCTCGAGCCTACCTGGCGAGGGGAGGTGCTATTATTTGGTCGATCCAGGATACCACCCATCGTCTTGTGTTTCGGGGACGACGTCATTCCTTTCCCGGCATTCTGAGGTATTGAGGAAGGATCCTCGGGTGATATCAAAGAATTGTATGTTGCCGGTGGGAGCCCCATGAGCTTTCAGACACCGATTCTCACATAATAGCCACGTTTGGAAGTTCATGGTTCTACGAACGGGTCTTTGATCAAGAACATATCACTTTTGGATATACACAGACATGTAGAGGCGAAGGTCTTAGCCTCAGCATATGTAACGTGGCCATGAGCTCTGCCTAACCGAAGGGATAGACACACATGTTTGCCGCCGCATGACACTCTCGTGCAGCATCAATTATAACACCAGCCCTCACAGCAGCCCCAATCAAAAGAGACTCAGAAGATACGTGGACCGTCTCTACGCCTAGACACTATTCTCCGATATCGACGTTATCCCCAAGTCCACAGAAACGAATCCAGGAGAGCCATCTGCCGCGGAGGCTATTTGAATGAGGCAGCGGACCTGTTTGAAGTTGCTCAAGTTGTCTCATGTTGAGCAATCTTCACTGTCAGCTTTCGCAAAAGAAAGACACTCGACTGAGCAAAGCCACGGCGTAGGAGTGGGTGGTCCACGAGCTTCGTGAGACCTGTGGTGGTGGTGTTTGTGGCTGACTTAGCCGTCTCGAAGTTGGTGCTTGAAACCCGTCTGACAGGTTCAAATGTTGTGTTCGCTCATGCAAGCCAGGTCAGGGCCAGGTCTGATCGAGGACGGGCGTTTGCTCCCCCGCACGTACATAAGTGTGCGTGTTCATGCATCGTCGTGTCGACATCTGTTGCGTGTTTGTACGAGTCGATCTGCTCACTCTATCTTCGTGAAGCTCTGATCAGCCGCATTATTGTTTGGGATTGCGTAAACAAGCACGACAAGATGGCATGTCGTGAGGAAGTGCAACTTTACGCCGGCATTGAAACTGCATTGCAGCGGCGGCCGCTTGCATTTCATATTGTCTTACTCCCCATCGGGAGATGATCAACGATCTGCGTCCAGGGCGCAGAAGTCTAATCGTGAAAGTCGTCAACGTGTATCTCTCTCCATGCAGGTCTCAAGTGGACGTATCTTGCAGCGGTTTCCATGGCACAGGGCGCTGATGATGTATCTTGCAGTCTTCCTGGAGGAGACGGGATGGGAGGCCTTAACCGCCTCTGCTATCAGAGACCAACATCTGCAGCTAACAGAGTATCGTCACTCTGTGGTCCTGATAAGATGAAACAGGTGCAGGTGATTGTCGATTGCTCTGCAGTCGCCGGCGTTGTATCAACACCGAGACATAGGTTCGTGACACCCCGATGGTTGATACGACGTTGAAATGATGAGAGGCTCCCCACACTCTCCCACATTAATCCCACGGCAGCTCTGAGTTTGGTAGCGCCGCCGAAACTCTCCAGTTTTGGGATGATGGATGAGGGATGAGGGATCATGTGATTTGACAATTGCGATAGACGCAAGACGCGTGGCCTGGTTGAGCAGCAGTTTGCACTTGCACATACACTACCTCACCTTACCTTACCTTAGCTGCAGCAGCCTCGTGTCTCAAAACTGAAAACAAGATCATTCTGGAAGAAATGACGTTGCCGATGCTCTCAGCGGCTGAAGGAGAGAGCACAGCCTGCGGGGGAGGCGTTTTCGGTTTCTCTTTCGTCAGGATTATCGGTCTATCAAAGCTTGCCCTGGGGTAATCCCCCGAGGAACTCGAAATCTGGTTGGCCAGCATGCCTTGAAACGCATTGTAAAGAGATGAATCGGATGAAAGAATCCGGAGCATTTGCATATCCCCGACCTTGTCGCTCCAGTTTCGAAGCGAGCGGCCTCTCTGGGCGGCAGGAGGTGGCCATGCCATGCCTGCGACTAGACACCATTAACGCAGTTGTGCTATCGCTGCGGAGCAGGCTTTGAGATTGTGCGTTGCAACTTCGCACGCGGCACGCGCGACCAGCTCCAGGTTTGATCGGATATTGGCTGCATGGCTGCTGGATGCGGAGATTCAAGGACACGACATGCCTTGTGAGATTAGACTGATGAAAGACGTTGACGTGACAGAAGGTCGATGGGATGCTGGATGAGGAAGTATCCGGTAGCAGGTCACACAGCTGTGCCAGCCTCGTAATCGTGTTGTGTCGTCTTGTTGCCCCCGTCTTCTCCCCTTGGACGTATTCGCCACTTCGTCTCGCCTTCTCCGCCGCTCTTCTCCTGGGCGCTTTGATGGATTGTACTACCGATGTGTACAGGAGAATGTAGAGGCGAGAGGCCAGAGACGAGAGACGAATCGATACCACTCGGTATGCATCTCTGACTGCTGTTCTGAAACACTTCCAAGTTCCAACGGCCAAAGCCACCCTTGGGCATATTGATCTGCACCACGGCGCTCGGTACTACTGCGATGGATCTCGGTTGACCGATGGACGCGGGCAGGGAGTCAGGATTGAGAGGGATTGTCAATTCGTCCATGGCAGGCTGGCAGCGCTAAACATGGCAAAGGCAAATGCCCTCTGTTCCTTTTGACTTCCTCTTCCCATGAAGTGGCTTCCCTTGGACAAGGGTACCTATAATTAGTGCTCCCGGACACGACTGAAGTTTGGACGGCATTTGGTGGTTGTCAGCGCAATAACTTGATTTACCTTATCTGCAGCAAGGACTCCCATTGCGATTCACGTTGTCGCAGATGGGACGGGATTCATCAGGAAGACCCGAAGACCCGAAGACTGAAGTTTTGAGTTTTTTTAGGGGGCAGGTACCTTATCGTTAGTGAAGCTGCTAGGCCTCATCCGTGCTGTAGGTTCCTGATTGGCCTGATTAGAGCAGTACTACTAGTATAGTACGCGACTATAGTAGGCCGATCCCACTAGTTTGCCCTGGTATCAGTTTAGTCTCTGCCAGTGACGAGGACTAGGTAAAAGATTGAGTTCATCGTCGTTGGACACGAGGTCACCTTAGTCATGTTAGTCTGGTGTGCGCCGGCCATCTTGGGAAACTCGATCGAGGAATCGAGTGGACTGTCACACCGTCTCATGCTACAGTATTCTCCGAGATCTCGATTGGATGATTCCCATCTCAAGATTCAAGAATTCAGGTTCTGCTGCAAAGACCCGCATGCCGGAGACAACTTCGCGCAAGGCAGTGGCAGAAGCAGGGTAGCACCTGGCCAATTTCGCCAAAGCCTAGAGGAGCCACCGGTACCTAGCTCCAGCCCCCTGCCGCCCCAGCAGTGATCAGTGATCAGTGACCAGTGACCAGTGAGCAGCCGCTTCAGATTGCCTTGATTCCTGGTGAATCTTCACCTCCTCCTCCCGCCTCGCCTACATGTAACTTGCATAGGTATCTACCTTACGCATACCACCCAGCTTGTATGTCGCGCTGTTTCTCTTTTCCTTCTTCTCTCCTCTTGTCTCAGACTTTCAGATAAACTATAGTCCGATGGGTCAGGCTGTTGGCTGTGACTTCCAAGAGCAAACGCGGATAAAGCAGCAGGTCCTGCTGCCACGCTCGTTACCCACACCCTCAGAGTTCGAGATAACCACGGTTAGTCTGCTGGTCCCGCGCCTCCTCGCTCAACATTATACTACCTAGATATCCCAGCCCCAATAGTCTATGCTGTTAACCTGAACTTTGAACCGTCCCCTCTGCTCTCGCCGCTTCGTGCTTGCATCCTTTCGTCTATCTGAGGTCCCACGTCGTTCTTCGCTAACAAACGGTGGAGGTGTACGGCATGGAATCCTCAATCTGCGTGTAGCAATCTCGTGCCGTGCTCTTGGCTTGAGCCTCGTCCTCATCATGGGGAATTCACCCTCCCAGCCCTCCATCGAGGCTTCGGGGAAGGGCTCGAAGTTTACTCAAAAGCTGTCCAAGCCTCGGGCGGCTACCGTTTCGACAAATGACCTGTTGAGCCCCAATGCCCCCCCCGACTTGACACGGCGCTCCTCCCTCACCAGGCGCCTCTCATTGCCCTACGGCTCGACGCCTGCGTCCTCTCCGAGGCTCCCTAGATTGCATACCGAAACTATGACGAGCCTGCTGGAAGGAATCGAAGACTCGGAACCTGGAGATCGCTCCTCGAGATCACTCTTCCGCTCTAATTCTTCCCAGGCAACACCCAGCCACCGGAGGAGTAACAGCGTTGGAGTCGTAGCTGATTCCCGGGATTCACGCCGTTTTAGCAGGGCAAACTCGGTCAGTGCTGCATCAGAGAGCGCCTGTGCCTATTCTCAAGTCAACCTTCAGGGGTAAGCCATCACAATATCCATTCCTTCGTGATCATATACTCATTCGTCTTGGTTAGTAGCTTGTCAGTGAACGGATCGCGTACTTCGATCAACTACGACATGTTTTCCTACGAAGCAAAGCGGCTCCTGAACCTTGTCGAAGAGCCATCACACGAGGATAATTCAGTAATGCCGGAGAGCTATTTGCAAGAGTCGGATGCGAGACGGAAGACTCATTCCAACCCTCTGAAGTCGCCCAAATCCAATCCAGTGTCATCCTTGCCTCGTTCTACCTCCGACGTGTCTTTATGTACACCGATGCGAAGGAAGTCGCTCATGGTACCTGGAGTCGCAACGCGGGCCCCACCAACATATCCTAACCCAAAATCGAGGGCCAGATACAGCCTTCCCTCGACTCCAGCTCGTCGAGATTCGATGGAGTCAATGAGCGGGGGGATGTTTTCCCTTTCTACATTTACTGAGGATCCCGCATCGGTGCCGCGAGCACTGACGCCGTGTGAGGCGGATTATAAGCAGACGGGGGCATTCAAGCTCGGCACCTTGCGAATCACTAACGGCAGTCCAGTGAGCAGCCCAGCTAGCGAAGTTGGCAATGATCGAACGACTTGGAAGACACCTCAGCAACACCAGGGACATGACTACTTCAAAGGCGCGCTGGTGGTCACCAATGGCAGTGCTAAGAGCAAGGGATACGTAGCGGAAGGATTACAGGCCTCCAGTCGCGTCGCTAGCCCCAACCCTATCGTAACGACATTTGCTGGAACAGAGTTTGGGAGCTCCGCCTCAGCAGTGGCTTCTAAGTCGGAAGTTCACCCGCAGTACCTGCCTGTGATCATACAGAGCCCATTGTCGGTACATGAAGCCGAACCGATGTCGCCCGCACTGCAGGCTACCAGTAAGCACATGGCCGTTGAGGACGACTTGTTCGAAGATGAGCAGCAGGAATTCACCTCCGCCGAAGTCCTTGATGTGCGGATCGATCTCAATGCTCGGTCTCTCCCCCCTCGCCCACGACTCATGCCGGAAGCGAAGAACTCCAAAGAGATCAGCAGATCAGATAGCGGCATTGTGGCTAGTCCAGCGTCTGATGAATACTCTCATAAGCCCCTGTCCAAAGCCGACTCAGGCTACAGCTCCAACGTATCTCTCCGCTCATTTTCGCTGAAACCCAGAGGGCCAGAAAGAAGTTACCCTTTCACCCCTGAGGCGGAAAACCCCACTGGTGCTTCCTTTGAAGAGTACGCAACACCTCAATTGGCGAAGCTCGCGACTATTGCCTCCCACAATACCGTCCCATCACCAACCCGACACGCACCGCCGCCACCCGTGTCACAGAAAGAGCTTACACCGAAAGAGCCGACCTCCTATTCGCGCCAGAGTCTGTGGCTCATGGGTGCCAAGCACTCGGTCAAGAAGAGCGAGGCTCAGCGCCTTGCGGACGCGGAAAATGGGAGACTGGAATCTCCTGAGCCTTCTCCGTCAAGCCCGACCAGCTCATCCACATCGGCGTCCGCCTTGAGCATCGGGAATGGTTCTCGGAAAAGGCCCGGCAAGCTACAGAGGCTTCTGAGTGGAAGCCGTGTGCCTCTGGCCGTTCATGCTACCCACCCTGCCGAGCAAGTGCCGGCGGTGCCTCCGATCCCGAAAGACGTGCAAGCAAAGCTACACGAGCATGCCGGGCTATTGTCAATGCCGTTCAAGAAACTTACTGTGCGGCCAGAAGCTAGCAACGAAACTCCAGGCAACATCGCGAGTGTTAGCAATGTCGCAGAGGTTCACGTCACTCACACACAGCCTTTGCAAGCTGCCCGCGACGATAGTGGCGGCTGTCCGCAATCCGAACCAGATGCTTCAGGCCGAAAGCCGTCTTGGCTCACAGGCTCGATCGGCTCTACGTTTACACGAGCAGCTTCCTCGGTCCTGGCCAAGAAATCCATCATCAGAAAGCCAGTATTTAACCGAATGACCAGTGAGGATGAAACTGTGGAAACCATGCCGAAGCCACGGAGAGGGCGAAGTGCTCATGCCAGTAGCCGAGCAGCACTGCATCAGCGCGTCACTGGTGATGTCCTCGATCCCGCAGTTTTGGCAACCGCCAATGAGAGGGAATCATCCTTCGCCCCGAGCCATGTGCGAGGCCGTTCGAAAACTATGATTGTGCAAGTGCAAAATTCCGGGAAGGATCCAGACACATCATTTGCAGCATTTCAGCGCAGTATGGCACTATCCGGACGCGAGTTACGCTCTCCAACCTCCCTCAACGTACCAACAGGCCCCCCGCACATCGCAGGTTCCCGAACACCTCCACCTGTGAGTATGAGAACTCGGAATATGGGAACACTCCGAGTCCCATCGCCACACCGGGCCCAGTCTACGCCACCCAGGGCCCTGCGAACGCGTGATGGCCCGTCGCTTTCACGCAAGTCGAGCCGGGAAGGTATACAGAATTACCCACCTGCTGCCGAATCCGTGGATCCCAGAGGTACCGCGCTGTCGAGAAAGTCTAGCCGGGAGGACTTCTACAGCTTAGCCCAAGTGCAGACTCATTCTACTCCTCAGATGCCGTCGATGGATTTTAGGCGCTCTATGAGTTTCCAGACGCAGTCTGGAGAACACAGGGTACCAAAATGGGATGTTCAAGCGGATCATGGAGCATCGCTCTCTGGTCAGCCGTCTTTTGATCGAAGCAGACGCAACTCACTCGTCGCTCAACCCGATGAGGGAAGTGCCCCTATCATCCGGCCTGGTTCCGCCCAGTACATATCGTGCAACCCACCTCCTCTACGCCATCGCTCGAGCTATAGTGACTATGATTACGTGGGCCAAGAGAGCATTGCCAAAGACAACGGTCCATATCCGTCGATGCCTCGTGCGAATGGGCAAGTGTATGTGTCTGATCCATGGAATGGCACTCTCCTGCCGCAGCAAACCGAGCAGCAACCCGAGCAGCAACACGAGCAGCAACCCGACCAGTACGGACAATACCGTCCGTACGTCCCACGGGCACCGCGCGCGCATTCTCGGCACCGCAGCCTGGATCAGTCCGGAATTGCCGCTCCGTACCGCGTCCTTCACAGTTACAACTCACCAGCGTATAGGCATGCCCCGATTTGGGGTTGAATCAATTACGCCACTGGTTCTCACTTCTTTGAAAAGCTTGCATCTAAGAGGACAGCGGAAATTTTCTGCAATTTTTATTTGAGATATCCCGCATTACTGGCGTTCAACATTTGACTGCATACAACCAATCACTATACCACCAGAGTCACACCGCATTCCTTATCGGCGCATTCGATTTCTTCATTCATAAAACCCTCAGCCGGATGCTGCAGGGTATCACCTGGTACAGGCTGAGGGACTGGCATTTTGGCCCGGCGTTCATTCCCCTTCTGGATGATAATGGCAACAATTTATGACACTAGGCAACGGTCGGGAATAAAGTTATGGGGCAGCTACACGCGGGGGATATACCAGGACACTTGTGGATGAGGGATTCTTGAAGGATTGATTTTGATACCCATCCTACACTGGTGGCATTTGTCCAATATTCATCAGGTGCGCACACTGCATACGCTGGACCCTATACATTCATAGTAAAGTACATACATTATGAACCCGAGTTTGGTTACTTGGTCTGAATCCGTTGAGTCACTCGAGCTTTTTACTTCTTGGCAATCGTTGTTGATTGTTCTGCCGCTGACGTGTCGCCAATCGTACATCTCGGACTTGTTCAAAATTCGTCAAACGTGAGTTTGCCTCAACAACGCGGCTTATGCCAGAGCTTTTGACGCGAGCAGGAGAGAAGTGGCCGTAGGAGGTTCTTGAACATCATCAATCCGCCTGATCATGGTCGTGTGGGTCGTCACATGTCCAGACATTGCATCTGCACTGATCGCACCGCCTAAAGTCACGTCTAGAAGAAAAGGGGTCACTTGTGGCACCTCTGATTCGTGCTACGGTCAATTTGAAGCCAACTAACTGCTGCCTTTGGATGTGATGTCAGCACGTTCAAAGTGGTATCTCCGAGTACATGGATGTATTGGACGTATATATTATTTACACTTCCACGCCTCAGGGTGTAGTTTGGCCAACCCCGGCGCACGACAAAGTAAGTAGCAATATCAGCCAGCGGCCACGGCGGTCTGGCAGGTGCGTTTGCCGTCTCTTCTGTGAAACGTGCACCGCGCTGACAGCTTTTGGACAGGCCCGCTTGTAGCTGCCAGAGAGCCGGGCTGAAGTTGAAGTCTGTATCGGCAAGTCCATTCCCAAAATAACTCGATGTGTATATCAAGTCGGACCTTCTGCAGGCATCATCGTTGACTACTTTGCTCATACCTCAGATCCAAGTACTAGCACAGTTTACGAATCACAACGAATGCCCTCGGGATACGGTGTGGTTCCTAACCTCTGCTAGTAGCAAGTCCAAACGGGCAACATCCATCTTGCGTACCCTGGTATGGCAGCATGCTGTCAACGGAAAGACCCAAGTTAGATACTCGCACATACTCAGGTATGAAAGTTCAGTGGCCGAGGAAACTGCCAGCTTCGGGGGACACCTGTGTCGCTGCCCTTTCCAGTTGGATCGATGGTTCTTGGAAGGCACATGTGTCCGTCAACGCACCCACACCAGCCATCTACCAGACACCTCCGGACTCTCGCCCTCTCTCTCTCTGCTTTCATCACCGTTGGAAAACAACAATACTCCTTTGGACTCCACTACCATCGTTCCATCACGAAACATTCGCTACCAAGTGCATCCTTTCTTTCAGTCACCTAAACAACAGAGCGAATTACTCACGCCCCATCAGCCATCCATCCCCCTGCGTCAATATTGCACAGAACCACCACGAGAAGATGTCTCCCCGCGTCAAACTTGCACAGAAGCACCATGAGAAGATGCTCCCCAGCGTCAATCTCGCACAGAAGCCCCACGAGAAGAACCCCCCCCCCAGCGTCAATCTCGCACTGAAGCACTATGAGAAGATCCCCCCCTGCGTCAATCTTGCACAGAAGCACCACGAGAAGACGTTCTCCTGCCTCGAGCACGTGCAGTGCTGGTTCGTCAGCGCAACAGACATCGGCTGCACGAATATCGACCACGCAAGCACTTCAGCCAGCGGCACCAAGGCATTCTACTAGTGCGCCGAGCACGGCATCTACCACCGCATTAACCACCGTCGCACGAAACAAGAGTTCGATTGCGGCGATTGCGCTCGGTGCTTCTTCCGGACCAGGGTCATCATGCGTGTCAAGGGGGACATTGATGCTCCTTCCCCTGCTCCTCCTTCCCCTGCTCCTCCTTCCCCTGCTCCTCCTTCCCCTGCTCCTCCTTCCCCTGCTCCTTCAACACCTGCTCCTTCAACACCTGCTCGGACGGGGTGGAAGACACCCAAGCACAACAATCGCGGCGGCACGCATGCTTCCCGCGGCCGACCTCCTGCCCCAGTGAAAATTCCGACGAGACGGCAGCGCAAGAGAAAAGAAGGACGCAACTACCGGCGGGCGGAGGAGAGTGATTGATTCCGTCGAGTGGGAGGGAGTGTTGCCGATGCTGTCGAATATCCGCCCCTGGGGTCAAATGTAAGCGAAGGCTGATGAGATGGAGAGAATAGCGTTTCGGGTATGGGTTATATGTTTCCTGTTCTGTACGATAGATACGTCGTGGATTCACATTAGACTTATTAGCTAGCGTCCCATGGGAGTTCGACTGAATACTTAGGTATTTCTACTTGACTCAACTGTTTCATTGCAAATTGTCTCGTGCGGTAATGGATATGCTGCGCGCGTGTGAGTATGTGGTTGGGTACCTGGTGAAGGATGAACGACAGACTGCGTCTTTGCAGCGGGGCCAGTGACTCACTCGGCCAGGAGGTTTGAGGGATCACGTATGTGAGAACAGGCAATGCAAGAGAGGTTATCTTCACATGATGTGTCTGACTTATGTCGCGTGGATTCCTATTGTTCGTACACTAAGCCCTCATAAGTCTCCGTGCGCACCATGTTGGGAGTAATCCAAACCACACGTGCAGATTTGGAAAGAATGGAATAAGCACACTGGGATAAGCAATTCTGGGTTTATACACTTCTTTTGATGCTTATCCCAGTGTGCTCATTCTAAGTACGATGGGTCTACCGTCGTTTGCTGGATGGGTGGTGTACGGAGACTTATGAGAGTTCAGTGTATCAATAGGGGTTGCGACTCTGCCCCTTACTGTGACTGACGGAGCGATTGCTTGAGACCCTTTTTCGAGTGTGGCACTTGTCGAGAGTTCTTCGAAGGGGCCCTGAATCACCGAACCTACCTACTAGAGCCGGATGGCATTGATCTTATTACATCCGTTGCGGCCCGTCATGTATTATACGCCTCTATGCATGCACATAGCCAAAGACCGGTGCTACTGGTACCCGTCCCAGCCTAATAACGTCGCCAAGCTCCAGAGCCGTGGTTGGCTAGTTGGCCCAGGCCATTGACTCGATAAATTGGCGACGAACTGGGCTGACGGGCTGACTGGATAAGCGCTAGTGGTGGTTGTTGCCTGAAACTGCTGAGATCATGTCTCTGCAGAATTATCCAGTTCGGCGCCGTATTATCGAGTCAATGACCTGGGCGAAGCTGAGGTGACTCAGGTGAGCGACGTAAGAAAGTCTGGTAAGTCCGGTAAGTCCAGTGGGTCTGGTGAAAAGACGCTTAGAACTGCCCGGCGTTTGTGACTAACAATACGAAAGGGGGGGGGATCGAGTAATGAAGGGGCAATCTGGAGATTGGGCTGACTAGATCCCATGTTGGCAACTCCACCCGCAACCCAGGTGGGCATGGACAAATCCAGGACAATGGATCGCGGAAGCAGGCCTCTCCATTTGTGCAACTTGTGACTACCTACTGAATTATTAATACACGTTATGCAGACTAGCTTGGCCCGCTTGGCCCGCTTGGCCCGCTTACCATGCATCTTTATGCATTAGATCTCGCCGTCGTGGACTGCCATTGGTTGGAGGCGAGCTGGATGGAGGCATTCTGGGCGTGCATATCGGCTCGGCTTTATCGTCTGTTCCCGTGGTTAGCGTGATGCCCTAGGGAATTGGACCTTTGCTTCTAGAAAAGGGCATGGACGTCATAAGAGTTTTCCCTAATGCCGACCGGCCGAATCCTACAGCTATGTTTATTATGATCCATTCCGCCCTGCTGGTAAAGTTACCGTTTGTGTCTCTACCACAACCACATCGTACCACCTTGTAATACATTCAATTCACGCTTCTACTTCTACATTTTCATTGCGTCTTCTAGCATCGCTGAGCTTGTCATCGACGGCGCATCTGCGCGCACAGGACCAGCATTACCACCACCATGGCGGAGAAGCAGGACGTTGAGTCCGGCAGGAGCAAAGGCTTCTCACATTTCCAATTGGTCTTCGATCAGGGTGCGCCACGCTCTCTCCCTTCTCCGGAAACGCCCACCACTAACGCGCATCGCAGCACGAGTAACCCCCGAAGTCGAGAAATGGAACTACGAAGGTAGCGGTACGGAAGACGACCCTTATGTCGTCGATTGGATCGACAATGACCCCGGAAATCCAATGCTGTTCGCCGATAGCAAGAAGTGGTTTCTCACCATGCTTGTCGCCATCGCAACCCTGGCCGTGGCCTTCGTTTCTAGCGCTTACTCTGGCGGTATCGAACAGATCATAGTGGAGTTCGGCATTGGCCAGGAAGTCGCGACACTGGGGTTGAGCTTGTTCGTCTTGGGCTTCGCGATCGGTATGTTTATCTCCACAACATGAATGCACTGGGGGACCGACGAGATGCGGCGGCTGACATAAGAAATCCAGGTCCTCTAATGTGGGCTCCCATGTCCGAACTGTACGGTCGTCAACTCCTCTTCTTCGGCACGTATGCTGCCCTGACAGCATTCAACGCCGGCGCTGCGGGAGCTCAGAATTCGTGGACACTCATCATACTGCGATTCTTTGCTGGCGCTTTCGGTAGCTCGCCACTTACCAACGCTGGCGGTGTCATCGCGGATATGTTCCCTGCGAAGCAACGAGGGTTGGCTATGGCGCTATTTGCGTACGTATACACTCTTCTCCCGGCTGAGAATTGAGAATATAAATGCTAACAGGATTGCGTAGGGCTGCTCCTTTCCTTGGCCCGACACTTGGCCCTCTCATTGGCGGTTTCCTCGGCATGACAGAAGGCTGGCGCTGGGTCGAAGGGCTCATGGCCATCTTCACCGGCGCCCTCTGGCTCATCGGCGGCTTGCTCATCCCCGAGACCTACCCACCCGTGCTCCTCCGCAAACGCGCCGCCAAACTCTCCAAGATGACGGGCAAGGTCTACAAGTCCCGGGCCGAAGTCGACCAAGGCCCTACTACCGCTGGAACAGCCTTTAAGACCGCCTTGACTCGTCCGTGGATCCTCCTGTTTCGCGAACCTATTGTCTTCTTGTTGAGCATCTACATGGCCATCATCTACGGTACGCTGTACATGCTCTTCGGCGCCTTCCCTATCGTGTATCAGCAAAATCGTGGGTGGAATGAGGGTGTTGGCGGTCTCGCCTTCATGGGTGTGTTGGTCGGCATGCTCATCGCTGTTCTCTACGTCATCGTCTACGAGAACAAACGATACTCAAGAGCTGCAGACAAGGCTGGTGGATTCGCCGCGCCGGAACAACGGCTGTACATGACCATGGTGGGCTCCGCATGTGTCCCACTCGGGATGATCTGGTTCGCATGGACCAATTACCCTGACATCCACTTTATGGCCTCCATCACTGCTGGCGTGCCTTTCGGGTTTGGCATGGTCTGTGTCTTCCTGGGCGTCATGAACTACCTCATCGACGCATACGTTATCTTCGCCGCGTCCGTCCTCGCCGCAAATTCAGTATTGCGTTCACTCTTCGGCGCCGCCTTTCCTTTGTTCACAACGCAGATGTACGGCAACCTCGGCATCCACTGGGCTTCCATGGTCCCCGCTTTCCTGGCACTGGTATGCGTGCCATTCCCTTTCTTATTCTTTAAATACGGGCCCCAAATCAGGGCGCGCTGCAAGTTCGCCGCCGAAGCAGACGCATTCATGAAGAAGATGCAAGCACGACAACAAGGAGGCGCCGCCAACGACGAGCAATGGAAGGACGCCGAAGAAGGCGACCAAGAAGTCGACCACAGGGCCGAAGAAAAAGAAGCCGAGAGAGATCTCGCGGAGGAAGACACACAATCCACATCCTCGAGACCGCTATACGCGGAGATCAATACCAGCAACGGTGGAGGCGCGCAGAGAAATAACCTCAGCCGCACGGGCACCAACCAGACCGGCAGAAGTGTGAAGTCGACCAGGAGTATACGGCATCAACCGTATTACGATGATAATCCGTATGACATCGATCGCGTCAACACGAAGGAGTCGTTCACGCCGAGGAGTAGGGCTAATACCATAAGAAGTCAGAAATGAGAATGCTTCGGGGAGGGAGGGGGTTTATTATGTTGAGGATGGGTCTTGATGGGGGAGGGTGTTGGAGATGACTGGTGCATCTTGCGCATGGCTAATGGCGTTCTAGCAAGTTCTGGGTGTACTTTTTTAATCACGAGGAATAATTATTAATGCTCTCAACTACTTATGTTCCCTCTCCGACCTCTGAGATCACCTTTTCTGTGCTACTACCTACCTACTTAAAGAATGCCGTTCCCATTGTCGGGCGGTGATGCTCTCAAATATCCAGTGACTCGTGCCGCGTGTGCAAAGGCCTTTAGCGTGACCCGTACCCGACCATCTGGCTGGATTATTTGAGGCTTACAAGTTGTCGCATGCGAGAGAGCCCCTGAGCTCCTGGCCAGCGCGACGAGCTTACCACGACGGTACAATCGCGGCAAGATCATCTACAGCATGGCGAATCGCGGGTACCACGTTGTTAACGACGTCGTCGACGCGGAAGTCAGCGCGGCCAAACTGTTTTCTCAGCACCCCCGCGTAGCACATGCAGCCACACTGACTTGCAAGAAAGAGGATATTGAATTCCACAACTCAAGTATGGTATGGTGTGGCTCCTCAACCCATTTTCCAGCCACAATGACGAATGGGTCACGGACCAGGGTACAAGGTACCTTGGAGCCCAACTGGTACCCGTTTGTACCTGATTTGTACCCAACTGGGATGATAGCTACTTCTGGGATGGGGACACCACCCATCCCTTCTTTCAATCAAGCAACTTCCAGAATACAGACCAATAGCCACCTATCGTGACCCTGGTCCTTATTCTGGATACCGCTACCACAAGGCACAATGGTATCACTGAAGCTCTGGCTCTTATAGATGCATGCACAGTCTGTAGGTAGGTGTCTTTCCGGGCTGCCAATGGTGACTGGCGACTGGCGAGGCGGGGAGCATGTCGTCACACTGCGGGATGATGTGCGGGAAAGGATGACATGCTGGAGGCTGTGCGTCTTGCAGCTTGCATCCAATAAGATGCCTTATTCCTACCTAATTCGCTCGGGACTCGGGAGAGATCGGCATGCATGCACGTTGCGATGGCCCCGGGATGACGGGATGACGGGATGACTGTGTAAGTAAGTAGGCACTTCCACCATCTCACTCCCTGTCAAGATGCTCGATCGATTCTTCCTGCTGGCGTGGTCGTTCCGACGACAAGTTCGGGTGTATTATGCTCATCGTGCACCCCAAGTCTGAGGACCGCATTGATAGACGTACCTACTACGCTTCTCGCTTGACGTTCTTTCGTCTTACAGGTCCTAAGTAGTAAGATGCCTCTGGTGAAGATCCTTGCGAGACCGCATCGACATCCATAGGTAGCACTTCGGCAGTAGAGCACCATCGCGAGTTCCGCTGACATAGGCTTTTCTATGGCCGTAGACGGTCTTTTCTGTAGAAAAAGCTTCAAGAACGCAGTTCTTTGAAAGCAACTTTATATTAAAAAAAAACAGTCCCACTACGTGCACCTTGATTTTTGATCCAGCTGCAGCCACCTGCCACGGACCAGGCTCACCACCACCAGCCAGCCCAACTGCTAGGGACATGATCTGAAATTGTATGGAGTCTACACACAAACCCCGATGGTGGTGGCCATCTAGTTCGGCCCCGATTGAACGCGACCGATAGCCATCCAATCAAGCAGATTAACGTATCTAGCTGTGAAGGACATGATGATCTTGAGTTGTATGGCATTCCCACACGAAACCTGATCGTAGTGGCCATCTCCCTGGGAAGCCTCTTGCAGTTAAGCGCGACCGATGGTTATTTAGCTGCGAGGGGCATGATGATCTGGAATTGTATGGCATTCCCATACGAAAGCCGATCGTGGTGGCTATTGAGCCCGAAACAGGCTGGCTTGGTTGCAGTTGGTGGCAGATGGCTGCAGGCGTCCTGAAAATCAAGGTGCACCTAAGGGTTTTTCCAAGGTGCACGTAGTGGGACTGTAAAAAAAAAGTGATTGTGAGATTCTAGAAGGGTCACAAGCCTTGGGGGTGTGAGTGGTTGCTGCAAACGTTGTTGTCATTCTCAAGTATGCTCGGCAGGGCTAATCTACAGCTAAATACCATACTGCACCATGCCAGGGTGGATCCACTGGTCCCCTGGCAGCCCCCTAGCGTGTACTGCACCTAAGGGCACCATATCTGGGATCCAACATCTGACAAAGGGATAACAAGGACAAGAATAACACTGTCTCCAGATGTTGAATAGGAGCCGGAGATAGACACGGGAAGATCTTCAGTGGGGCAGAGACGCACAGGGCATCTGACCCACCAAGAAGACAGATAATCAATCTCTGCACACAGAGCACAACAATCAATAGAATCAATCATCATCCATGTATTTAACACCAGAACAGCCTCTATTCCTATTAACCTCTTTACAAAACCTGTTAGTCTCAGTGCCTCTATACACGCTATCCAGGCCCAAAACTCGGCCCTACAAACCCTGCACCAAGCAGTACCCGTGCCCCGCACCACTTTCCACCTCGCTAGGGCTCACCACGTAAAGTGGTGCTCACCACAGTAGCACACCAACCACAATAACACACCAGTCTTCCAAAATAACCACCCTCCAGCCAAAACCACACCAAAGTCATTATCTCTTTGGACAGACGACTTTTTCGCGATGGAATCCCGTATTTACGAAGCCGTAGAATATGCCGACAAGCATCCAGATGCCTCCGAACGCGGTATCTGCCGCCAATTTAGGGTTCCAAGAGAGCGCTTCCGCAACCGCCTGCAGGGCATCCCTTCCAAAAAAGGACCACGAGAACCACCCACCAAGCTGAATGCGATACAAGAAAAAGCCGTCTGTGCTTATATCGACCGCCTAGATGCCATTAATCTCTCCGTAAGGCCAGAATTCATCACAGAGGCTGCCAACTTGCTGCTCCAGGAGTCGGCAAGTACCGCGGTCACGGAACTACCTACAGTTGGCAAGAATTGGGCCTCCCGCTTCATCAAGCGCCACAGATATTTTAAGCAGCCTTAGAAGGTCCTTTCACAAGATCGGCAAGCTGCTGAAGACTCGAAACGCACTGAAGAGTACTTCCAGAAGCTGGGGAGGGTCATCAGGGAGGAGGGCATCCTCCCTGACGACCTGTGGAACATGGACGAGACTGGCTTTCGATTAGGGGTTGGAAAGGACCAGATGGTCGTTACCAAGCGAAAAAGAGCCCATTATTTTGGAATACCAGAAATAGGGAGTCTGTTACTGGCATAGAAGCTATCTCTGCCGCCGGCGAGGTTATCCCAGGCTTCCTTATCCTCTCTGGCACCCTCCACATGTCTCCATGGTACAAGGTACCCGAATTAGACCCCAGGATGGCAATTGCAACCGCGGAGAGTGGTTATTCGAACAACGAGATCAGCTTAGAGTGGATTAAACACTTCAATAAACACTCTAAGACCTCTCAAGTTGGTATAAAGAGGCTCCTAATCATCGACGGTCACGGTAGCCACCACACAATACAATTCATTAGATATTGTGACGACAACAGCATTATCCCTTTTGGTCTCCCTCCAAAGATGACGCATTTACTGCAGCCGCTCAATGTGGTGGTTTTCCAGCCCTTGAAGCACTACCATGTTAAAGCCCTGGATATTATGGTGCGTGATGGTCTCACGCACATCGGGAAGATCGAGTTCCTATCGTGTATTAAAGGGGTTTGCCAGCAAGCTTTTAAGAAGACCACTATCCTCTCTGCCTTCAAGAAAACGGGCATCCATCCTTTCAAACTGTCCGTTGTGATTAATCAGTTGAAGGAACGCAAAGCTCGCGCGAGGACCCCGTCACCCCCCCCTAACCAGCCTGGTTCCTCTCCAGTTACCACCCCAGCTACAATGCGGCAGATTCACAAGGTCACATATCAAGTAGACGAGGCCTTGAACAACCTGGACGATGGCAAGGATCTTACTCCTGAAGATATTGAGAGGATCAGGCTCCTATTCAAGGGGGCGCGCTTCCACGCCTCCCAGCTAGTCCAGACCAAAAGGGACCTTAGAAGGACCGAATTAGCCTCTCGAGTTAACAAACAGCGCAAGTCTGCAAAGAACACTCCTCTCCAATCAGGAGGAGTCCTCACAGTTGAAATCAGGCGTCAAATAGCGAAGAAAAAGGAGCAGGAGACCGCGGCAGGCCTCCAGAAGAAGGCGGATGCCCTGGCAAAGAAGGAGCTCCAACCACGAAAAACCCTCGCTAAGGAGGCAGCAAAGTTGGCCAGGCATTGGAGGATTACTAAGAGACTACCTGCTGCTGATATCTACGAATCTGGCAAGAAGATGCGGTCGCTACGTAAATTTTAATGCTAAATAACCTCATATTGGTGTGTTATTGTGGTTGGTGTGCTACTGTGGTGAGCACCACTTTACGTGGTGAGCCCTAGCGAAGTGGAAAGTGGTGCGGGGCATGAGTAGATAAACGACGCCGCAAGGAGAAAATTCAAACAGTTATCCTGGAACTCATCGCCAGATCCCTTGATACAGCCATCGCGACCGTGGCAAAGGACCCAGAACAGCTGGCCTACGCCCAACAGATAGTCACCAGCTCACAAAACCAAACAAAAACAAAAAAAATTCTTGGCGCCCCGCTGTTAGGGCGCAACCTTGATATTTGTACTAAAGTAGGCACTTCTCTCAGTAACTGACTATCTCTGCCAAGACACAAGAAAATTTTTCTTACAAGCCGGATAGCACCCTTCCACGACAGGCCCCCAAACACGCCCGTGGCCGTCCCAAAGACGACCACCGGCGGCGTGCTCAAATCCCCGGCCCCTAGAAAGACATACGGCTTGGCAACTCTGAGCAGGCTCCGCCAGGCGCTGTTTGACAACATCAGCAGCAGCCCGTCACAGGTCTTTGAGGCTGACTTTACCGTTATTTCCCCTCTAAAAAAAAATCCTGAAATATCAATAACAGCAGCACCACTGGAATGAAACGACCTCAATTAAACAAAATCTCGACAGA